TTGTCTAGCCGTTGAGCTAGCTCATTGCTGAAATGGAGACGGTGAGCAGGCAAAGACAACAAAGCAACATTCAGCTTACCTGGGGGTCGCTTACCTTGAGGTCTCCTGCGAGGCTGTAGGCGAATACGCATCTTCGAGATGACGAGGCGGTGATCGGTCCACCCATCAGCACCCGCGATCGCCTTCGTCACCAGCACGTCCCGCTGATCTCGCCTCCGGACGAGGACATAGTCCAGCAGGTGCCACTGACGCGACCGAGGATGCCTCCAGGTGGCCTTCTCTCGCTCCGGCAGACAGAAGAACGTGTTCGTCAGGATGAGGCGGTGTTCTGCGCAGGTGCGGAGGAGAAGCAGGCCGTTGTCGTTGGAGCCGCGGAGACCGTGAGGACCCAGCACTCCCCTCCAGGCAGTATGGTCTGTGCCGACGCGGGCGTTGAAGTCACCAAGGACAATCAACTTGTCCGCCTTCGACACAGTCGCCAAGAGGGCGTGCAGGTCCTCGTAGAATTTGTCTCTGACGGCGTCGGAACTGGTCATCGTCGGAGCGTAGGCGCTGATGATGGTGGCGAATTTGCCTCCCCAGAGAGGCAGGCGGAGGCTCATCAGGCGATCGTTCCTAATACGCATGACTCGACCTCCGGTTTGCAATGCCGTGATGCCGATCGATATCTGTCTCTTTATCGACTGGTTGCAGCCGGACGAAGTTTGCACTCATGAATTTCGGCTGCCACTTGACTAGTTATAACGGTAGCTACAAAGGCCTGCGGCGATGCCTGTGCACCCTCTGTTTCAGTAAAGATTTTTCAGTCTAACTATCTTCCCGGTCTTCTGATTTGGGAACTGTTAAGCTGTCCACCATCGTCCTTCGACAAGAACTCTTGAAATTCTTAGAGGTGCGACATTAATTATCCGACGTGCTGTTATGCTGGAAACGTGACTTGACAGAATGAGCATCATAGGTTAAATTCGTGGTTAGGTAGCTGTTTGGAGCTAAGCGATTTACAGTCTTAGTTTCTATGAGGATAACGCTAATGGCTTCCTCTGAGTAACCTTTCACCGGTAATCCTTAACCCATAAACGAATTAGCTTCCTCAACATACCTAAGTATAAAAGGTGCCGTGCAATTAGAGGAAGACTGGACACAAAACCGAACTTAGAGCAGGCAGATAGCGTCGAACCCACTTCATGCTGCTTACTTTCCTGTCGTATAAATTAATCATCTTTTCCCTCCTTCTCATCTTCCTCGACGTAAACAATTTTCCTACATATGTTCCAACAGTCGTACAATGCTCACAGCCATAATATGAATTAACGCGCTTAACCTGCTCAACGAAGGCTCACGCGGGTGCATCGCAAATAATACTAGCTATGCGTACGCGCGTCCTGCCTGCATCATTAGTGAATCGAAACCCTTTCACTTTGAGGACAATTATTTCGTCTTTCAGGTGTTTGAAAAACACTTATACATTAGGCGGTTTGCCGTTTTCATAGTACGTGAAAATGACAAATAGGTTACTAACAAACGACTTTATGGTACAACCTAAAATGGGCCTCAGTTCAACTCTCGTCTTACGATAAAGAGACAAACCATCTACAGCAAGATATGAAACTGTCTGCGCCTATGAATCCACTGTCTACTTGCCTGCGCAGTGGCTTTTTCAGTCCAACACGAACATACTAATCACAACTTACGGGGGCTACTTGCAATTTATACAATGCTCACAAAGTTGTGCGGGGGTACTAACGAATTGACAAATTCTCCTACTTAGATTATATGTCCGTTAAAGTCTTATCAATAAATTTTACATGAGGACCACAATTTTCGAACATATGCGACCACGTTGGCAAATCGGCCGCCAGTGCAATAAGACCGGAGGGTCGTTAGAAAAAGTACGAGAGTTGCTGACATTGGGAGGGCCATACTCAGACGAATTGAAGAAGATCGCAGGCCGGAGCTTTATAAACTTTTCAATGCTACTAGGGCACTTGACTATAAACAGATTAATAAACCAACTGCAGGCAAATCTTAGCAAACTAAAACCAACTAAGGTCGTATATTAAGTAACTCAATAAAGACTGCTTAACCCTTTCCCTAATCCACTCTTGCACGTTTCATACACCTTTATACACTTTAATCCTTTGCCCAGCATTTTAACTTATCCAGTGGAAAACGGGAACGTTGTTGTTATTTCACAGAAGGGAGTCGAAGAAAACTGGCGTCTGGACTTTGGAAATCACCTTTCCTACAAATTGAGCAGCTAATCGAGAATGGATTCTTTAGCTAATCTAAAAATGAGGCGGAAGAATCGCATGAGAGGCTTGCCGTCGGCGATCACTCCCTTGTTTTTTTGTGAGTTGCTCACTACTTTTACAAAAACTCATATTACCCCCTTTAAGTTATTTCCTCTATTTTTTCTCTTTAAGCGTGCCCAGAAGTGTTCTTTTATCCATCCAGAACTGTCTAATTGAGTGCAGGTTTAGTGCACTCGGTTACGCGAATCTCGCTATTTAGTACACTCTATAAGGGGACTTAATTTACTCGTAGTAAGTATCTGCAGGTGACCCAGTGTTCTGTAATGGTTCCACATTCCCTCTTCAAACTAGTCAGAATCTTACTCTACGCCTCCTCGAAAAAGGTAATATATGCGCAGACTGCTCCATTATGTTGGGTCCCGTCACACTTGCGTAACACATGTTTTTCTAAGAGACGACATGAAACTATTGGCTAAGATGGACATACCCCTCCCAGCCTTGGTAACTTCATACGAAGCCTGATCCATAGATCCATGATGTTACTACTGCAGTAGTTCCTTCGTCTTCGGTCTTAAATTAGAAAAGGCAGAACATACAGGTGCCCCACTCGCCATAAACGCGGACGCCCACCTGGACGGATTTCAACAAATCAACAGCAAGAAAGCTCGTTACTGCGTATATCCCCAACCACCGCTTACCCGCAACAACTTAGACTCGTGACCTCTGTTAACGGAGCCGCTCATTCGTTGTCGTTTTCGCGGTCTTCATCGTAGACAGTAGAGAGTTTCGAATGCTTTGGTATAAAATGTCATTTTCATATCTTGTCTTATGCTTGATAGGAACGGCAATACAAGCATGGAAAGGACTGTGGGGTATATTAGTCTGAGTGAGAAGTGACATCTAGAGAAGGGGTGCTCGCCGAGATGTTCGATAATCAGGTCAATACGAGACCAGGGTTGTTTTTACATTCTCCACCAGAAGAAGTGGCTCAAGCTACTTCTTTGTGGCCTCCCACTCTGTCGATTGGGCAAGTCTCTGAGTTTTTATTTTCTGATCCAGATCTCTGATTGTCTCCCATGTTTACATGTGACTGAGGTAGCCTAAGCCGAACAAATCCCTCGAAGGTAGTGTCTTTTAACTGTGCTTTCTGTACAGGGGATTCCGGTTAATTGAACCGCCCGGTAATTGGGGCAGTCACACTCAGGACAAACGCCGAAGAGCAGAAGCAAGTCGTGTATGTGCCTGGGTAGGACGGCGCTTATGGAGTTCCGAAGTCAAATCCGAGGAATGATGGCTCGATTTTGGACAGAAAACGAGACAGCTACTGACTGCAAGTGGAGTTTAGTTTGAGTGTCATGCCTCAAGGTCAGGCTACCTAGTTAGTCGCGAGGACCTGCGAGCTTTGGACACGTCGCGCCAACGCGCAGATACTGAGATCGATAAAGTAGGCAGTACGTCGTTCTCGCATACCTTGGGAGTACGATCTCAGGAAACACCAAAATCGATGATGAAATCGCAAATCGAATCTCTAAAGCCAGCTAAGCCTTCTACCGGCTAAAGAATTCCGCCCAGGACCGTTGCGGTATCACACGCAGCACAAAACCGAGGATGTAGATGTCTGATGCCCTTAAAACGATTTTGTACTGTGAACATAGTGGACCCTTTATGTAGTCCAATAAAGAAGACTCAACTATCCTCACCACAGCTGTTTTGGAAGAATATTGAAGATAAACTAGCAGGAAAGGACCCCAGGAATTCAGATCCTGGATAGAAACGTTGTCCTCAATATCCACGCCATGGTGAGGTAGATTCAGTTACGATGAGGATAGATAACGAGCGCCTGCCCAAGCAATTATTATACGGCGACGTAGCTATGGGTGGTCGCAGACATGGTGGACAAAAGCGTCGCTGCAAGAAAACTTCGAAGACCTCACCCAAGCACCTGAGATGACCTCATTCAAGGTCGAAAGACATGATGCACTACCGCAAAAACTGGAGCAGCCATCTTCCAAGCTAACCGAACGATTGCTGCCAAGGCAAACAGGGATACGCAGACTAATGGCGCCAGCACCCAACCCCTGCCATCGTGTCCACATTGTCAACAGAAATTCCAGGCGCAGATAGTAGGTTCCGTTAGACATCTGCGGACTCAATGAAGTGCTAGCATGACCATCCTGCTTCTCATCTCACAACACACCACCACTAGCAACATCAATGAGGACACTCCTATTGACCTACAAAACATTACCGTCATTGCCTCCACTACCAACAACGCGGACTCATTTCAGGCCTGTCACCATTAAGGTCGCAGTTTCTCACCACGCATGGGCCTAGACGGTCATCTCCGGATCCATTGCATTAAGACCCGTGCGGCTGCACCTGTAGTCCCGTCACACGCGCCTCTTCTGCTTATAATGCATCTGAACATCGGGTCTGGTTGGCCATGTGCGTGTCCATGACACCGGAATTCACCACGACAGACCTACTCTCTACATCTGAAAACTCTTCCATCGTCACCACTATCAACTCCATCACGGCAATCGTGGCCACTTAGGCCACCGCCAGCTCACTAGCCATCCTGTCCTTACTGCCTCCGCACATTTGCATGACGCGTTGGCCTGCTCGGGCTTTTGCGAATCCATTACATCGAGACTGACGTATCAATGCCAGTAGCCCTAATATACACCTGCCACATCAGCCCCATTTGCCCACACAGCTCAAGAACATTCAGTCATATGCACCTCTAGGCAAATCTTCGATAAAACCGCACTTCAAACTCCATCACACCTTACCCTACCTGCCCGCACACGTTCCTAGGCTACACAGAAACCCCTACCACACCACGCATCACATATATCAATCATACCTTTACTCTGCAGCAAGCATGTTATTTGCTTCGCTGTCGCCGTCATGACTGGCGCAACCTCGCATGTTAGAACATTCACATCCTACTTAAGCGAAAAGCGTGTCTTTTGATGTATCCTAGTAAAGTGACCAGGTGGTGTGTAGCACCTGTAGACAGGTTCTCCGAATTTCTCTGCCACTGCGTCCAGTTTCGTCACGAGTTGGTTGACGGGTTTGGTCAGTCGACTGGTGCGTGGGAGAGAGAAGAGAGAGTGGCTAACCCATTCCCATGGCACGACCCGCCTTGGAATTACCACCATGTACCGAAAGTCGCGACTTGGAGGGCTGCCAGCTGACTGAATAACATCGGTAATCTTGGCCAGTACTGTGTGTGTGCATACGAGATGACTGGTTTGCGGACTAGGATTCAGGCCCAACGACTCCTTAGTGTGGCCTCTATGACGCCCATAAACGTTAGATCGGAGCTCGCCCTTGTTTCCGCAAAACTTGGCGCATTTTGCAGCGATCAGGTCGTGCATAGCACGCGTAGACAGGCTGCTTGAATTTGTCTGCCACTGCGACCAGGCCCACCACTAGTTCTGTTGACATTGTCTTGCGGTCGGAGTCTGGCAGGTGGTGGAGAGACTGCGGTAGGTGCTGCACAAGTCAGACTAATGCACTCGCAGGTCATCCATACTGCGCTCACTCTGTGGGGCACACATTGATCGTCATCGCCATCGATGATCAACTGCGTGCTGTGTCGCAGTGGGCGCCTGACGGGACGCAAGTAACACTGCTATCGTCCACCGACTATGGTTGACATAAACCTATGGGCACCGTTTTGAGCAAGGCACCGGATCGCTTTCCTGTCTTGTGGTGCAAAAATATGCCTAAATGACAAACAGCATCTGCTGGTTAGTTTAGCGAGCATTAAAATTCGGTGCCTCAATGGCTCCGAAAGTGACGATATACCCTGTCTATATTATGTGACCTTAGATCTTTTGAAGAAGACGCTACTGCGGCAGGATCCAGAACTGCAAGGGCGAACAACACTGATTATTTTGCTTTTAGAGACGTGTCCATTTTTGGATTTTTTAAAACAGTCTTCTCAAATCTATCCCAAATGCAGCATTTTGAGTACGGTTGATGCATTTGTGAATCGAAAAACGGACTCCATCTTGTCGTATGTTAGTCGGAGAGGCCAGACACGAAAGTGATCAAGGTGGTAGATAATGAAAAAGGTTTTTGTGACGGTAACTCGTCAGAAACTATGACTGCTTTTCCCGTGTTGACGAGGGATTTTCATGTAATGATAAGTATAACGGTTGTGAGGGTGGAATCATTGGATATTGTATGCCAATCAAACAGAGATATCAACAGGAGGGGATTGCCTACTTAAATCTGTTGATTACTTTTCCCATGCTTATGACGTCCTAACTAGAGTTCCAGCAACAGGTTCGGTTGGCGACGATTCCAGCGAGGAATTTCATGGCGTTCGACCACGCTTTTAATGTTTGCTCAACGGCGCCATTGAGAATCCACTCAACGTACTCACATGGAGAGTATGACACACAGAACTCCGCTGCATCTTTCAAAGACAGTTATTTTCAACAATTTTAACTGTTTTTCGAAGTATTAACAGATCCTAGGTTAGATAAAACTGCCACGATCAAGGGTGATTTGATGCCGAACCCTACATACACTACTACATTCAAAGTCACTCCAGAGCTTTACAATGGCTCTTCGTGAAGTGCACCGCAGACTCGTCTTCGTCTCATGGTTTATTTGCCCCGAGGCTGACATTTATCCCGGGTGTAGACACGGTCGGAGGGTCTGAGTCGCAGTGTTTGGAAAATTTTCAGTGTAATTTGGACCCTCGCAGTCCTGTCTGTGCTGATTTGAGCTGAGTCCAGATTGTGAAAGAAACCACACCTAAGCTTTTCAATTTCCTCAGAAATCATGGCCCAAACCTTTTCAGACTCGGTCCGGAATCTAATGTGAACGTTTGAACTGAAATCCACCAACGTAAAAACCGACGCAATCCTCACACGCTACTATCAGGAAGTCAGGGGTTTACAATTGTTAGTATATTTGCAGTATCGTTGGCATGGGCACCAGCCGAAAGCTTACAACTAGTACCCATGCTGGCATTACGATGGATGAAATCAGATCCCCTGATACAGTCTAGGGATATTATCAGACGTAACACTCGTGCGTAGTCAACTTCGCTTTTCGGCACTTTTAATTTTTTTTCCTGAGCTTCTCTCTTATAATCCTCCGTCTTCACAATCCGCTCATGGAAATGGGCTACTTGTGTAACTCTAGATCTTATCCATGAGCTTGGCATTTCCGTTCGCTGCGCTTATCTTTTTGGGTTATTTCCTATCCACTGACTGCAAATAGACGGGTGTAAAGGCGTTAGTATCCATTCTTCGGGTTATTTTAGTAACCAGAGCCATAGCAGCATTACATTGCATTAAAACAAACTTAAATGATACTTTGTCAGTCTATTTACGCATCCTCCCCTGTTCCAGTCCGGAAGCATTGCGTCGTGCCTTGGACAACCGTTGAGGCTTTCTTAAGCGGCAGACTCATGCTATACTTTTTAGCCAACCTCGACAATATGTCGTTTGTGTCTTTTTTGCTCGTTTGTAACCCTTTTCAAAAATGCCTTTTCCTCTGGCATCTTTATTGTTTATTCTCTATAGTCTACCCCCCGTCCTGACTTTAATTAACTTCCAATAGATTGTAGATGGGACCCCAAGACGAGTGCAGTGGTAAAGAAACAATGGAATTTAACTGCTCCAAGGAACTTATATTTCTGCAGGCCGGTCCGGCCTCTAATTGGGTTGGGACTCACTTTTGGAATCTCCAAGAGGGTGCCGTAATTCAAGCAGACCGTTCACCTCTCTGGCCTTCTGTTCTCTTCCGGGCTCAAGAAACATCTCATCATTCCTCTACCTTGAGCCTCACTCCCCGTCTCATTGCCGTGGATGTGCTGGGTAGTGTTCGTAGTCCCGAACTGGAATCTGCTGGAACAGATGGCCAGACGCCGAGGCCGAAGTCGGCCGACCTCATTGCCTGGTCGGGAGATGTGCAGACCATCCGAAAAGATACTGCGGTCTCTCAGGGTGTTGAGAGGAATTCACAGCCCTGGTACTGGACGGACTGTCTCCTACCGGCAGTTAGGCGGCGATGGCGGGGTGAGCAGACTGCCTTTATCCTACGTGACTACTTGGACGCTTCCATGCCCTCAGACAGTCTGGCTTCACCCACCACAAAGGCGGAAGCTGTAGTTGAGGCCTGGTCCGAGTCGCCCTCTTACTTCACCTCGTTTACTCAGGTATATCATCAGAAGGCACTCTGCCCTCAGCTTTATGACCATTGGCTGCGGTCACGGGTATTAATTGTGCGCAGCGGTTTCCCACGTGCCCCTGATAGCAAATTTTTCATTTTTCATAAATGGTGCTTCATTTCCTCTGTTGGTTTATCTCTCAGATTCTCTGGAAGCCTGTAGGTGTTATAAGCATAGCTATCACTGACAGATCGTTCAACGATCAGGTTACGGGATCTGCACGTCCTGTTGCGGCTTAGGATTTAGTTTAGAGTCCTCGCAGGCAGTCCAATGGCGACCAGTATTGTTGCAGAAAGGAGTACCGACAAAGACAAGGGGGACTGAGATGGCAGTTTCTCCTTTGCTAGCCGCCGTCAGCCAGCCATGCCCAACCCCAAATTAGGATAACCTAGTATTCAGACCAGAAGTCTTTGGTCATTGGGCGTCGTCAAGTTCAGCACCTCACCACTGAACGTTCGAATCCGATCTTGCCCAAACCTGGGACTGGGCATGGCTAACTAACGACGTCTGGTGAGCCAGAAACGTGCACTCAAGTCTTTGTTGGTATTCCCTCCTAGAAGCATCGCGTTCAGTCAGGGAGAGATCAGCTCCAGTTCGGTCACATAAGGACGAAGTGGCAGCGGGACAAAATATGGAAGAGGATGTGCAAACGGACGATAACAAAATATTTATATTGCCCACAAACTTAGAGTGGTTGTAGCGTGGAATGCCCTGCCTACCGATGTTGCAATCTTCTCCTGTGTGAATTCCTTTAAGTGTGGACTTGACGCGTATCAAGCTTCCCAATTACCAGCCTCACATCCACTTACATAGCCCGACACAACTTATTCGTGTTTATACTACTTGCAATTAGTAAGTAACCGTTATTGACTATTTTTCGACTAGCTGTCAGCTGTCCGCGATTATGTACAAAATCCCTTTTTCACCTTCCCACTTATCATTGTTTTTCTCCGACAACTTGTAGCCTATAGGGATTTCAAAGACGCTCGCTTATATTCCCCTTAATAAACTGAAACTCAGTGATAAATCGTAGGCGATTCCTCTCCTGCCGCAAAATCTCTGTGTTCAGGACTTCGGCCGCGTGGGAATTTTCCCCCTGCATGAGGTTCGAGGCGAAAAAAGCCTCGAGTTCGACAGGCCTTGCCATTAATGTGTGCTCGTCCTCGCCAAACGATGCCCCCAAGGCGAGCCGTGTCGAAACAACTTGAAAGTATTGTCTAGTCCCTCGTCTGGCTGTGAATATTGTTTACAATAAACAATAATACGATGTGTGCGTGTGTGTGTTGAACAGAGCGAACAAACTTACCCCATGATGACAATTACTTCGCAGGGTACGGTTTCATACCGAAATCCTGATTCCTCGTCCTCGCTCTGTTCCAGCCGGTCGTAAAAGAACGACCATACGTGATCGCATATGAACCCTGGTGGGCTGTGTTTTATTCTGTTTCCGGGCCATGTTTTTTCGTCATTTAGTAGTCATATGCCCATCGTACTGCACCTTGTCAGTTGACTTTGCGTGTGCCTGCGACGTAGTAAAGGTCGTCTGCATGGAAGGACATCCATATGTACTCGGAGGGTAGTGATCATGCTTGCTCCCTTTTTGCCTATTGTCCTGAACGCCTTATTATCTTCAGATGACGGGCTAATGGTCACGATTCCCTTTAACTTTGAACCTCGCATCCAGCCCTTTGTCTTTGCCCATAATGCATCATCTGTGGCAGTTTAACCGTTGTTGCCGACAATGTCCACCTTGTGCTCCACAGCAGGGTGAGATCAGGGACGATTACTCGTGCGTGAGTTCGCTTATAGTGATAGTAGACCTGGATAGCGTTTATCGCACTCTCTTCTCCCCCACCTGGGTTCGGTGTCATAATAGAGTCAAGATCGTAGACGGCAAACGACAATACGGTGGTCGGCCCAACCGTCGACGTTACAGACAGCTTTGGCCTCCAGCACGTCGTGTTGATCTCGTCTCCAGACGGAAAAGTAGCCTAGCAGCTGCCAGCGCCGCTATCGCCTTCGTGCGTATCGGAAGGCAGAAGAGCGTGTTGGCGAGGAGAAAGTGGGGTCGGTGTTCTGCGCAGTTTCGCAGGAAAAGGAGGCCATTGTCGTCGCAGCCGCCCAAACCCCGGGGGACCCAGCACTCCTCTCAGGTAGCATGGTCTATATATACTGCAAGTCGTTATGCAACTACCAGTCAGGGCCATTGGATGAACCCCCATGTACAACGGGTCGAGTGTCCCGTAACCTGACCGGTGAGCGCCCGTCCCAGAAATTTGGGGATTTTGTTGGATGGTAATCCATATTACAATGTCACCTTTGTAATTCTTTTTAGCCGGGATCACGCTTGAGGGATTTCGTAAATCTTATTATGAGTTACGTCGCCCACTGTATTTTCCAGCTCGTATAGCTGTACTCACATTATTCGTCCAAATAATCCCTCATAGATTTCATCCGACGCAAAGCTGACAGCCGATGTACATCCCCTGCGTCAGACCAGAGGCACTATTAATTAACCAATAAGCTGCAATAGGTGGTTTTTCAGACAGCCTTTAGGGCAAACTTATACGAGGGAGATATTCGCCGAGCCTTCCTATTTACGGCGCGGAAAAGGGGCGACTACGTTTTGCAAATGGGCCTCAAGTGAGCATTCCAATCTCCGCAGTCCAGTTCAGTTTTATTGAGGGAAATGTAGGTCTTCACCTTTGAACTCCCTATTTGTTTACAAGCAACTGAACAATTTCAAGAACTGGCAAAGGCATCATAAAGGTAACAAATAATCGAAAAAACGTCGGAAAAACAAACTGTCTCGAGTGTTAGTGGTACGAGCAATAGTACAGCGGTCGTTTCGAGTGCAGGGAAATAAATAATATACCCAGTGACAAAAGTTGCATAGGTGCATAGGCGTAGGCGATAGGTTGGGGGCAGTAAGAAATTCAATCTAAAATGTTACTAACATATAGCAAGTAGTATTATTTAATTATATGTCATCCAAAAACTATTACTTCCTATGAACTGAATTATTTCGCCTGAAAATAATGGACGTACTTGAGTCTAACTCGCCAAAATTAAACTTACAAAGTCTGGCCGCCATTTTCTTGTAATCATTTGAGTTGATTTACGCCAACCGTACGTTTATTTTTTCAATTTAAAAGAGAATTTGGGATGATCAAACCTACGAAGCAAAGAAGTGGTAGAATAAATCGGCTCAGTTAATTATGGCCCCTTCGATAACGGAGGCAGACACCAGCTTTTTTGTTTTCGTATGCTCATACGATTAAGAGTAAAAACAACTGAGATGCAAGAAATTCAGCACGCTGACTAGGCATTTAGAAATCGACTCGATTTGAGACCCATACTGCGGGCCATTACGTAAGCACCCTTCTGCAATGAATAAGTGGCAAATATTCCATTCGACCCTTTCCCCCCCTTTTTCACTCGACCTTCCATCTCTTTTATTTGGTCGGGACGTCCATCAGGGTGCCGAACTATTCCGGCCGGACTCGGATGCTTTTGACGAACTGGAGACTCGCTTCCGTCGTCTGGCTGAGGAATGCGACAGTCCCAGCGGTTTCGTCCTCCTCGCCGACTCGGACTCTGGGTTCGCGGGCGTAGCCCTGCGCCTGGGTGAGTACGTAGGGGAGGAGTTTGCCAAAAGACCTCTCCTCACTTGCCCCCTGGCCTCAGTGCAGCAGCGGCAGCAGCAACAGCGGCGGCGCCGTTGGTCCAACGTCTGTCTCAATCGTCTCAGCCTCTACAGCAGTCTTGAGGCCGCCGCTGCCAGTGGTTGGCCCACCTTTTCCGCTTGGCTACCTCTGGCAGCTGCGGTTCCCGAGGCCGTATCAGGCCCTCCCTCCTGTTGCTCTCTGGCCGCGACTCTTTCTGCGGCCCTGGCAACAGTCCTGGCTCCCGTCCAACTCCGGTCACACCTACCCTTCGCTAGCGACCTTCACACCGTCCTTGGGGGACTTACACCCACACGGAAAAAGGTAATTCGTCTGCCTCCCTCCCATCCCTTCCGCCTATCACAGGTCGTAAAGACTTGAAATCCGCTCGTATTAGTCACAGGTACAGAAAAGACGGATCGGCAGTCTGACAGGCCTGCGCTCGTCAACCGCTACTTCGACACACGGCCAAATACTTTAAACTAGTCGTTGTTGTCTCTGTTCGCCGTTCGTCCTTAGCTCTGGGTTGCAGACCGACATTACTGGCAGCATGGGCTGTCGGCGTATTTTAAGGTGTTCGGCGATCTTATGTGGTTGTCGTTTTAAGTATATACTTCATATTGACCCAACTGTGAAAAACTCGGCGCCTCGGCGGGATTCGAACCCACGCAGTAAGGGGAAGGCTTTAGTACAGCTAACGCTCTAACTACTTGAGCTACGAGGCCCCGTCGGACGACGCGAGTTTAATCATATTTGGGTCAAGTTGCCCGCCCAACCTGCTGCTACGTCTGGAATTCACCAAAGCTGATACAGTAAGTTGACTGCCCAAGCAGGATTTCCTAAGTAATTCACCTAGAATCCACCAGATGACTACCAGGCTCACGTACTTCATGATTAAACTCGAGTCGTCCGGCGGGGCCTGGTAGCTCAAGTGGTTAGAGCGTTGGCTGTACTAAAGCCTCCCCCTTACTGCGTGGGTTCGAATTCCACCGAGGCGCCGAGTTTTTCACAGTTGGGTCAATATGAATTATTTAAAATCAGCCAAAATATCTATGAATTAAGTATATGCGTAAGGAATGCCCCCATTCACTTTTATACGGACTCACCAGAGCTGTCTCTCAGTAAGTAAAACGTTAAATAGTTAAATGACGAATTCTCGTTTAATCCGGCCGGTGTTACTGACGTCATTCAAGTCACATCTGACCAGTAAATTGTTCGTCCCGACCATAGCTCTTCAGTCCTTTAGAGCCCGGCTAAACGCTGAGTTGAAAGACAATGCTTACGTGTGGCCGCTAGTTGGAATAGTGCTTCCATGTAGTCCCAGCATTTGAAGCTGCATGCTCATTCCCGTCCCCCCGACGCTCTAGTTCTAGGTTCGAGAATTACGCAGGATGATTATGATAATCGCACCTATGTGGGGTCCGAGTCACCCATATAATAGTCTGGCACCTGCAGCTGGAGCCGAGTCGTGTGTGCGGCGCGCATAGACGGCCTGTTCAACTTTACCAACCACCGCACCCACCTCCGGTCGTTTTGCCTCGGAGCAAGGTAGGCGTGGGAAGGGGAGTGTGGTATATGCTACGTAAGTCAGCCTCATTATAAACTAATTCACATGCAAGTCAAGGGTGCTGCGCCCACTCAGGGGGACCCACAGTGGATGTCATCCCTCGCGATGGTTGGAATGTCATATGGTTGACCAATTTGCCAGACCGGTGTCCACCCAAGCCTCGGTGCCTTATTCGTCGGACCAGCCGATATCATTCGCTAAAGGCAGTCCCTCTATTCGACACTTGTGGACATATCAGGAGGCCTGTAGCTTGGATGTCAGGTAGGTCCAGTCGTCCCGATATTCCTGCCGTTCCAATGACTCATGACTCAAGGAATTAGAAGAAACTCCAAGCTATAATGATCAAAATAACCAATCACAGACGTTCGTGCATGAGAACATGCAACACAAAGGGCAGCATCGTTGAGAAAGTTAGACAAGAGCAAGATGGGGAGGCAGCGGGAAAGTGAAGGCGCATGCATCAGAAATGGGAATTAAATTGCCTGATTTTTCGAACGCGCATGCAACCCACACTTCCAGCCCGTCGGAGCCTAGGTCATGGTAGCAGCCGCTTGTTCTGGCCGCGTACATTTATTCCATCGCTGCCCGTTTTTGGAGGCCAGCTCGCCCCCGTGGAAGAATATGCGAATTTTTGAGATCTGTCGCATTTTGTGTAAACCTCAATTCCTGAAGATGGGGCTATTTTTGTCCGCTTCCTATTAGCCTTGACACCTTTTGGAGCAATCACCCGTTCTTCTCGGTACGAGGCCTTTTTCTGACGCTGTTATATTCAGAGAATGCATTTTGACCCAACTGTGAAAAATGCGGTGCCTCGGTGGGATTCGAACCCACGACAGCAAGTGGAAGGCTTTAGTACAGCCAACGCTCTATCCACCTGAGCTACAAGGCCCCACCGGACGACGCGAGTTTAATTATATTACAGTACATTACATTCAGAGAAGCCTAACTTGAAAATAACTTTGATCGTCATCTCGACGATGTTTGGCATTTTTTTAGTATGTTTAAGGGCTACACTTGCCCCCAACCGAGTTACGAGATCTCCTGATGATATGTATAACATTGATGGGGAAGCTAGCCACTCTTTGATTGGTTGAACCGTTATGCTAATAAGATGGTGTCCGGGTACTACTTACGTTTATTTTTAACTTTTCGATCTTCGAATAAAGTTGTTTGAAGTTGCCTGAAAAATATCTTTTGAGGACCTCTCATCTGCAGATTACGTAGTTATGCGGATCTTAGTTTTTGCTTCTTCAAAAGGCAAAGTCTCGGGAATACGGACCCCCCTGTGGCCTTGTTCTAAATTCCAGGGCTAGGGGGCGTTAGAGTTAGGCTTGGGGTAAGGCTAAGTTAGGACGCGGAAGTTGGGACCCCTGGAACTTATTTCGAAACCACCTCTAGTAGTGGGGGTGGAGGGTAATATTCCGGCTTCCGACCACGATTTTTTTTACAAAAATTCAGGACAAAACACCGACTCCCGCCACGTCACTGACTGATGCACACCTGAGGTTCAGATTGGAAAAGTTTAGAGATCCGGGAAGATTATTAGAAGAAGAAAATTGGCTCTCCGGAATAGGTTTATTTAACTGCTGACGTTTCAAAGAGCTGGGTCGGCTCTTCATTGTCAAAGCGTAAACTGCACCTAATCGATCAGAAATTTAATTTAAAGTGGCAAGCTGTGTTGGCTGGCTGTTGGTTGTCATCTTGCATTTTGTATGTCGCTGCCAAGCCTTGAATGTAAGACAAGACACTGTAACGGGAACCGTCCCTACTCTGGGGGACTTGCTTTAGTTTCCAGGGTTATTGAGGTTAGGTTCAACTGCAGCTGTTGAAAATGGGAGTCTACTTCTTATTACTATAACATTTTTACTTATTTGATTTAGGTAGACATGCTATAATAAGTTTGTGTTCCCGTCAAGGCTTGAGAAGTGGACTAAGGCCAAAGTTCGGGCTAGAGGTAGAGTTAGGTTGACCTGCCGCATATTCTCTTATTTAAACAGACCCTCCCTGACCGCTAACCATGAATTACCTGTTCTCTTCTCGTGTACACGCCCTAAGTCGCATCTCCAAAACTGCGCGGTCTGATCCGACACCTCGTTGGAGTAATAAAAGAAATTCACGGCAGAAATGCGAGCTTTGTCAATGCCTTCCGAGAATTCCGTTTATTGTCGTGCGCATCTCCCCTACTGGCAGACCTAATACCAGCATTCATCCCATATTACAGGAGTCCCTATGCTCTATTTCCCCAGTGAGCTTGCATATTCAATCCTTACCGGCCTAACGTTAGCACTTTGCATTACGGGGGGGGGAGGGGGTTCCTATTCTCGTGTCCTGCTGATTTAAAATAAAATCATCCCAGCACAAACGGCGAGTTGGTGCCGCTGCCCAATGATGAACCGCGACAATTCAGACCGGAGGGAGATAAGCAGTAGGACTAAAATTCGTCTCCCAGTTCCAAACAATTCGTCCGGCGGGGCCTCGTAGCTCAGGTGGTTAGAGCGTTGGCTGTACTAAAGCCTTCCCCCTTTCTGCGTGGGTTCGAATCCCACCGAGACGCCGAGTTTTTCACAGTTGGGTCAATATGAATTATTGAAAATCTGCCAAAATATCAATGAATTCTGGAAGTGTAACATCATCTAAAGTCCGTGCAAAGAAGTAATGCACTATAATTTCACCGATGTTCCTTTTGTGCGAGAAACTGCTCAGTGAGCAATCGTTAACCCCTGGGTATTTGTTTCCTACTCCGACTTGGACAGATAGTAATGATCTAAAAAAGTTTTCCAAGGGTTTCGCGGAAGTAAAACTAACTCACGAGGTGCTGTGATCAATTACTTTGCGCAACAACACAAGCCATTGTTGCCTTTTAATTTCCTCAGAAATTAACTTCTAACTTGGAGTAGATCAGTTTATACTAGGGTTTATACCTAGTAAACTCAAGCGCGAATATGCAGTTTTCAGTCTATTTGGGACTTGTCTTTCGCAAAATTTCCATTTTAAAACGACGGCAAAGGCCGATGAGTCTCGAGGCAGCCTTGAGCCGTTCGTCAACGCTTTGCCGGTTTCGCTGCCTTCAGTAGATCGTTTCTGTCCAGGTTTGTGGACGCCCTTTACCTCCGCATTCACTGTAGCTTGCGCTCGAGCACTCAGGTCTCGCCTGCGGTACGTTTCAGCCCAGGAAGTCACCCGGGGATACCAAGAGCTATCGGCCTTTACGTAACAGAAAACGTCGGATGGTGTTCTGTGAGGGGGAGGCTTCATACGCGTTGTCGTGTTTGGCCGATAAACAAGCTTCACAGATAACTGGACACTTCTGAATAAATTTCTGGGTTTCGGTCATACGGTTTTACCACCGAGACTGGCCAGTTGGCCTACATTTATTTGCGGTTTTGTTTTTTTGAGTGTGTGAGTGAATGGAACTTGCTGGTTCTTCAGAGAGACTTTCCTTCCGCACTGTTGACCATTCGATGTCAGAGTGCATTGCATGGATTGGTATGGTCGTTTTTTTGCTGAACTTCGTGCAGCCTCTTTCCCCGAGGGGCAGTGAAACCAGGTTAGGGGGTCCCGAATCGTTTAACGCTTAATCGAACGGTATGGCTGAAGCAACATAATTCGAAGCTATTCGAAGGAGTTGAAGGTATTTCGGTCTATTCGATTTCGAAAACCCAATGTTTGCGTTGTTTTACTTAAGTAAGACATCTAAAGCATTGTTGTTCTTTAAAGCATACGGTGGTCGTCCAGCTTTCTTACTAAGCATACTTATTTCGTGGCTGCATAACCCCACTATTAAAACGACCTTCTTTTCCCTTTTTGTTCGTCGGGACACTTTAACTTCTGTCACTAGAACATTCTTATGTGTTTTGATACCCGTTTAAATTAATTGTATGCGAGGACAGCACACGAGTATTTTTTGGATTCCCTCCTCCCATTTGCAGATGCTGACCCTTTCCTTCGCATCCTTCCCCTCGAAATCTCCCGCGGTGGGCCACAGTCAGCCCAACTGGATGCATTTAAACCCCCTTGCTTCTTGCCCGCCCTCCAGACCCACCGACTCTGCGCAAGTTCCTTCCCTGCCCTACTCACTCGCCTTCCAATTGGCCACCTGCGGCCTTGAAAGTGGCTTCAGCAACACACTACTTAAACCGTCCAATCCGGACTCCCGCCCAGGTTGCGCCTGCAGCCTCATGAAGGGCATGAAGGAGGAACTTGTTGCGTCGCTGCCAGACAGCCCGCAGATTGTGCCCCGGCCCCCGGAAAAATCCTTCCAGCCCTGCTTCCCCTGCACGCAGCCCTCAATCAATCGGACGGCAGTTGGTCTGGAAGCGCTCAGCCACTGTTCGGCTGAGGACCAGTGGTTGTCTACTGGACTGAGGCACCACCTGGCCGAAGCATTTATTCACAAGTTCCACACTGACCAGGAGGTTGATGACCTGCGCGAGCGACGTGAACTCGTTGTGGAGAGGCTTGTTGAGGCCTACGCCTCGCAAGATGGCTGATTTATCATTACTTCTGCTTTTCTATGAGGAAAATCGTTTTATGCCCTTGTCATTGTTCACCTTTTTTGTCGGAATTTACACCGTAAAGGCCATTTTTATTATAGTGCCAGTCGGATGTACTCGGTTTCAGTGCGAGTCCTCTGAAAGTACTTCGGTGTTATTGTTGTCCACCGTGCGATTTCTCCACCACTGCTTGTGGCCGTAGTCTTCCGAGACCCAGTTAGGCGGGGCATCGACAGATAAGTTGTATTTTACGACCAGGTTGAAGGATGTTTTCCCTTCACTACGTCAGTCAGTGTCGAATAAGGGTATTTCGAACCATATCGGGCGGGCATTTGGGCGTTTTCACTAGGAAATGAATTCTCCTATGGCAGAATGTGTGGTCGGGACTGTTGGTGTTGTGTTGCCCTGCACTTTGCTTTAAGAGACGGGTTTAGACAGCTGTCCCTCTGCTAGTTCTATGGTTGCTGCACCATGGAAGATCATCTAGGTACCCTTCTTTACCGCACCTTAGGCAATTTCTGTGGGTGGATCCTCACGTATGCTCAACCCTGGCACGATCGTTTGCTTGAACTTGGAAGACGACTGTTCTCTATGTATGCAACTTTCTTGTCAAATTAATGGCCTACTAAACGAAAATCAATAGGCTTGAAAGGTTTGTTAAACGGAATGAAGGACGCCTCGGTAACTCGGACCTTGGGTAGTGCATTTCCAACAGAGGAAATGGCCGGCTGGAAGGTCTTTTTTGCGCTGGCGAGGACTACGGATTTTGCTATATGTGTCGGTAAAGTGCACATTCCCAAGAGTCAGTCTCACCGGCAACCACGTGCACATCTCCCGGCTGCCTCATCATTGGCTGCGGCCACAGCACCCCCCTAGGAGCTGATTGGTCCAGTTCCACGAAAAGTGGTTCGGATCTTCTAGAACTTTCTTTTTGGAGCGGGTTGAACAGAATACTGGCCAATCTGAACAGGATGCTCAAGAAACGCAGCTCTCCAGTCAAAAGAGCTTGCAGGTCTAAAAACGCTCTGTCGTGGCTGGTCGTGTTCCGTCCCTTCGCTGTGTCGGTGTTTGGGGCAACGGTCGAGCACACATACGGTTCGCTTTATTGCTGAGTATCAGGCCGAGTCATGACACTTTATCTCCACGCTTCAAGTGCGATGTTCACTAGAGGCAGGATTGCCGATGCGGGGTCGACGGCAAGAGCGAATAGTGGGGTTCCGGGTCGATAATCTGAGAAGAGTGAGGCGGTCACCGGATCAAGGGCAGTGCATTGCTGACGTTTCGGGGAGCCCGGCCGGCTCTCCATTATCAAAGAATTTAGTGCAAAAACCGACCAGAATTTTGAACAGACGACTGAATCGACACTTTTCTTTCGCTGCCTTGGCACTGGCCGTCGTTTGTGAATGTTGGTGGCCTTGTGTGTTGTGTGTCGTCACCTCAATTGGGGTCGGTTGCGTTTGTGCTCCACCCTTGGGTGAGTTAGTCGACGGGCCGTGTTTGCTCAGTATTCTTGAGCCCCGCATGACCGTCTTGTCATGGACATGGCGTATGCAGTGACGCAGGACTTTATGGGCCGCAGGGAGGTCTAGATGCCTGTTGATGAAGTAAGCATCTGAGTTCCAAGCCCCAAGTGTGAGGCGTTCCGTCCTTGAGGTTCCCAGGCCCGGTTGCCCCTTGAAAGTCAAAACTGGCGAGCGTCTCCACCGTGAGTCGCAAGCTGAGTTTGGGTCTAGTCTCCGAGTTGCCAATTTATGCTCATGTAGGCGGTTCTACAATTTCCGTTCGGTTTCCTCAACGTAGTTACAGTTTGCATCGTTACAGAGGGCCAAGGCGGCGAATAGAACACCAACCTGCCCAAGGCCAATTAATTCGGTCGTTTATTTAAAATCCTGGTCGATTTTTCACTAAACGCTTGATGGTGGAAAGCCGGCCAAGCTCGCCAATGCAATCCCCTTGATCCGGTGAGCACTTCACTTTTCTCAGTATAGTGAGGTGTTTCGCTGAGCGGTAGCGACCGATGAAACGCGCTCGGTGACCTTCGTACTGCGCCCCGAGGTCAGAATGACAAGATATGCACTAGTGTAAACCACTCGAGTCTATCTGACTGCTGACGTAATCTGCCGACCTGGGTAGTAAGCTAACTGCAGCTGTTCAAAGCTTCAGGCGCGCTTAGGATCCGATATTCCTTGTGTTCATTTCCTATCGTCTTACCAGTTGTTTTTCACAACGCTCGGAGTTGGCCCTGATCGTGCCCGGTTGAAGTTTTTGACTCCTGGTTTAGTATTTATACGAGTTCCCACGGCTACATTCTCCCGTTTATCTCAGTAGCCGTTTCTGAGGGCAACACGGGTTGGCCGTGCTACCGCCTCAACTGGGGTTCAATCGAGGTTTCAGGTCTGCTCCCTGTCACACTCTGATCCGCGTCCTCTGTGGACAACTTATCGCCCTGTCAATGCGCACTACAGATGCCTATGAGCACGTCTCACCAATCCCCTAGCTCCCGGGACAGTCCTATGGTGAGGCGGCGGCGGCACTTGCTCTTCCCAGTAGCCACTTTCCACTGCTGCACGCCTTTGTTCTGGTACGCTTTAATACACCGAGCTGGACTGTTATTTCTGTAGACGGTTTTGATACTTACAGTTCCAAACTTTGCAGCCGCCCCCCCCCCGGGACAGCGACGAAGAATCTGCTATCCCTAACAAAGTGCGCAGACTTATGCTTTGGAGGCGTCTGCTGTCTCTCCAGACAGGGCAGGCGCGGTCTAAAACCTCTGCGACGATCTTATGGTGAGTGGTTATTCAGAAGTCATTTATAGCACGGCGGGATTAGGTACGGGAACACGCGCACCGTGCCACAGGCGACCTAGCTGAAGACCCCAGACAGGGCTGAGAAGATTAGGGTTAGTGATAGAGCTAAAGTGAAGACATGGAAATGAGTACTCCCCTGGAGCTCGGGATGTCCAAATTCCTGTGTCCGACCGCGGCGACCTCGAGCCAGTCACCACAGCATTGTTTCAGGTGATTTAATGTACTGCGACCGGATTAACTGTTATTGCACACCGGCCCTAACCTGCCCACAGTTCCGTCATGAAAGCGGTCTGGCTGAATCTGTCGCACAACATGTTCCAACTGTACCTCTAACTATAGAGGCCAGAGGAGACAACTGTCAAAGCCACACATGCGCGAAGCAAACTCGACTACGGAGCGGTTGGTCACTACAATCTGAAGTGGGTCGTGTTCAGTTTCATAGCCGACGGGTAACCAGAAAGGCCGCGAGCTGACTAGAGCCTACACACATTTGGTAGAAACAGGTCCTGCCGATATAGTAAACCCCATCTAACATGCAGGGCCCGTATTGTCATTACAGATTTGTAGGAGTATCACTTAACTATCACCTGGACCTAGCTAGACCAACCAGGCTTGACCTAGAAGTACCGCAAGTCGGAGTAAGATTGCGTGCCGTCGAAGCGAGACCGAGAAATCGGATCTGAACGTGACTACTCTCGACCGCAGCTCATGGGTGCTTAACACTAAGTCTCTCCAGCGCAGGCATAAGGGAAGTACAGGTGTACCGAGTGGACAGCCACTTCCCAAGTACTATTCTGTTAGAAGTCCTTCTGAAATTCGGCTAATTCCGCACTGCTTCTTTTCACGAACCCGACGTCGCTCATAGGCTTTAAAGAAATAAAAGTCGACGCGATAAGCAATTTCAAACACTCACTAAACAAATGCATTTTAAGAAAGTAAAACACGAGTAACAAAGGCACGTGGTAAAAGTTAAAAATATAATCAACCAATAAGTTTTTCGCAAATGGTCGTCAGCTCTCGATTCTCTTCAGTCTAAAAAATAAATAAGCTTGCATTTAGAATGAGGGAAGAGCTTTTAGGGAGGGCAAAACATGCGTTCACCTGGTGGATAAAATAGGAACCGGTCGAAGCTCTATTCATCCCCAAAAGGGCACTGACGGTGGCAGGTTCAGCCCCGAACACCCTAGACGACATCAACCAATCGGGGCCGACCAAACACAAAAACACGTGCTCGAACACGCAATCGCCAGCAATGACTACAGGCACTAGGCAGAGCCACTGCAGGTCGGCATAGCTGACTACAACCCTGTTTGGAAAATATCTTCTCTCAGTTGTTTACCGCACAGAAGATGTTTTCAAGCACTGAGTGTTAAACTCTCACTAGCCTCGACTTAAAAAAAACAGAATGACACAGTTCCATCGCCAAAGAGACCTGCTGAACAACTTATCTGGCCTCTCCGCTCTCTTTCTCTAAACTAGCTCACTAGGCATGCGAATAAAAAGAGAACAGGGAATACTGCTCAGAGTCAAGAAATTCACGTACCACCCGCTGCAACTGCTCCTCCAGCGATGTCACCTTTAACTCCAACTGTTTAGCCCGCACGCGAAGTTTGTTGACCTCCCTTTCGGCGGCCTGCTTCTCGGCATCCAGCAGTTCCAAGGCCCTAGAAGTAAGCAGAGTTGAGTTAGTCTACATCATTGCCAGATAGGCTTCAATGGGAAAGTGAGAGAGATGGGGTCTGGCAGTAGACTTACTTTACCAACTTCTCAAGACAGTACTTCTGGTATTTTTCCCCTTTCTGTGCTAGCACCGAAACCTTTGACCTCAAACTCTCATTCTTTGACATGAAGGCTTCCAGGGCCTACGGCGGGAAAAAAGGTAGTATTAATTTGAAGTAAAACACAGTGCTTAAATTGTTGAGTCAAGTTCGACCGGGCAGGAAATCGTCCCCAAACGGGCTACGTCGTCAGCCCTATGACCTGATCTTGAGGCAAGCCGATCACTGCAACAAGATAGGAAACGGCCGAATCTCAGAAGGATGGATGTTGGAGTACTGCGCAGATGGTTGTGATAATTCAGCAGACCTAGACAGTCGCTGCCGTCTGAGGCACGCCGAATATTCCATCACTTCCGCGGATGCTTTAGAGCAAGAGCCCACAAATTCAGGCACGTACAAATTCTCCAGGAGATAGGACCTTCTCGGAATTCACCTTTTTCTCGGAATCATTTTTAGACTTACGAACCGTTACTTACGTAATACCAACTCGTTAAAAGGACTTATACACTAGGTGGGCTAACTCATGAAACGTTAGCCGAAATTCCGAAATGAGTTTACGTTTCGAAAAGATTACTTAGATAGGGTTATAAAATTAATCATCATGCAGCATAATTCGATGATAATTGAGTTACCTCAGGATACCGGCTTTCGAACTACTTCCCAGCCGCATGGAAAAACAACACTGTAATAAGTGGATACTTAAGTAGCATGCGTTTCTCTCATTGATTTTCGATGCCCTTAAAAATCCAATTGTATTTCATAGAAAACATGCATAAAGATACTCATTCCTTTACTTATTCGGCAGACAATCTCCTCCTCTTTCAATTTTATACTCGATGGAAGGGTATAATTCGGGTTTCAAAAACTTTTCCAAATCCCAAATAATTTTAAACCCGACCTGCCGTCACACCTGCATTCAGGGTTTACAAACTACAAACCATTAATTTGCTGCGTACGGAAAACCATACATTTCTCTACGGTATTAAGAGGAGACCCTGTGGGACTGACAAAATTTAGCAGTGGACTTGAGCTGTATTGCAAACTTTACAAGGAACATTAATAAATGCAGAGACACGATGTTTCATGAATGGGCAGTTCACGGTAGTGGAAACTTTCATGATTAGAAACTTTCTAAAAACCGATTTATACACTTGCTTTGAGTCGATATGCGTAAAGATTCGAGGTCTGGGGGCCAGAGTTCGTGTGACCAAAGCCGAACACTGTCTCACCGATGCGCCCGCGAAGCTGAATGCTGCTCACATGAACAGCAACGACCGATCAGTCCACCGGCTGACGTGGAAGAGGCCAAGCGGCACGCTGATTTGACTACAATTACGCCGACCCCAAAGGGAACAAAGGTCACGCAGGCCTATCAGCGGTCAGCCCCGGGGAGGTCTAAGCCAGTCAGCGGCAAACAGGCAGGTCAATGTTCGTGCGTCGAGCACGGCTATAATACAAGGCAAGCGGCAAGACTGAACAACTCAAGACCGGCAGGAGCAACAAGTACGCTACTCTGATGATGGAAACGAGGAAGTTTCCGAAACGTCAATTCGGATACAATATGGTCCATGAATTCGCCCTCTCTTCTTCGTGAGATGATGAACGCGATACTTCCTTTAAGTATAACATTGGAAGAAGACATAATTTTCTACCGAATGAGTAAAAGAAGGAATATTTTTACGCATGCTTTCCATGAAATATAATCTGATGTTTAAGGACATCGGAAAGCAATGAGAAAAATGCATGCACTTAAGTAACCACTTATTACAGAGTGTGGTTTTTTGCATGCGGCCAGAAAGATGTTCGTTCGAAAGCCGGCATCCTGAGGTTACTGACTTATTATAGAATTATGCCTCATGATTATTAGTTTCACAACCCTACTTAATTAAACTTTTCGAGAAGAAAACGAATTTCGGTTGATATTTCATGGGTTAGCCCATCTACTGTATGTCAACAATGATAACTTTCTCAAAACTAAACCCACAAGTCGGCGATAATAGGATCAGGCGAAAGATTTCCGGTTAGATGATAGTTGGTAGCCCTCCTGACACCGCAAACGCAAAGCTGCCTGTCAATCGGGACCGGTGGTAATAGGGGCTATACGGGTGGGACAATTGAGTGGATGGGTAATTGGCGATTGTAGTATATGCTAAGAATTGACGCTCCTGGTAAAGTGGAAGCCTAATTTAGATTAGGTGAAAAATACAAGGAAGGTATGGAAATGAGCAAGGAGACTTTGAACGGTGTGTGGAATACATGCATCCTAGCCTCAGATTGGAAAGAAAAGCAAGTTAAGGCGAACAACCAGTGGGAAGAAGGCAACTGGTCCGAAGGTCATTCCGCAGTGTAAGTGATAGAACTCCATCCAACATAATGGACAGAAGGACACGAGAGTCAAGCAGCGCCACGGGAAACGCCACAACGCAAGACGGGTTAGACTTTTATGCGAAAAACTGGTTTAGGCGGAAGAGAAAATCAGCAAATAATGAGGCAGTCAAAAGTTACCTCTGCTAATGAAAGTTGATAAAGGGTAAGCCTCATTGGCATCGTTACCGGTGACAATCCGCCCAAGATAGTACCTCTACAATGAATGAGGCAGTCAAGAACTACCTCTTCTTATGAAAGTTGATGTAGGGAAACCCTCATTGTCATCGTTACCGGTGCCCAGGATAGTACCTCCACAAAGAATCTGGTACAGGTAATACAGCACGCATGCAAATTTAGAAGCACAATGAGAACTAAATCATAGCTACTGAAGTCAAACCAGTAGGTACTACTGTGGATTATGTGGGCACGGTTGCCAACTACCTCTTCTAATGAAATTTGGCATAGGGTACGCCTCATTGATATCGTTACCGGTGCAAATCTGCCCAGGATAGTACCTCTAAAATGAATCTGATGCAGGTAATACAGCGTGCGCGTGAACTTAGCAGCATAATGAGAACGCAATCACAGCTACTGAAATCGATCCAGTAGGCACCATTGTGGAGTCTGTGGGCACGGCTACCAAGTATCATCTTACCAGATTTCCCGTGGAAAAGTCGAAGTGTGGACCTTAACAGCCGAAGACGGACTGAGATCCGTTCAAGTACCGAGTTCCGTCATTGAATCTCTTCAGGTGACTACTGTTTGAGTATAATCAACCTCTCAAGGGTAGGAAGCACGGTTTACCAGCGGCAGACCAAAACCATACTCCAGTGCAAACTTCCTTCGCCACCGAAACAGGTCTCGTGCTCGGTCGCCGGACGACTCCAATGGGAATCAGGCAGTGTGGGTAATAAAGGCAGTGTATCCGATCGCATGGCGATTGTCAGCCTGGTGAGTTGAAATCTGCGTGAGTGTGCGTGGAGAGCTGCAGTAAGGGGCATCCACTCACTCACTAGGATGGCTCAACCACTCATCGCGCCAAACACAGGCTCGTGTGCGCATGCTCGTACAAATAGACTGGATTCACAGGAGTGTGAGGATGATCTATTTGCTTGCACTGGCAGTTAATTAAGCGTGTGGAATGTACCGATGTAAGTTGCAGTAGGAGACACAGCTGCAGCACTCCCCCTTAGCAATTTCGCTTGGCGACAGCACAGGAGTTTTTTGGGATTTTGTTCTAAAAATGACCCGTCTAGCGACCCGACCATCCTAGCAGCGCAGGTTATTCAACACAGGAACATTGAAGGCTGGATAGAACGTATAAACGCGGCCATACCTTTCGTTTCTCCTCAATAGACTCCTTTATTTTCAGGAACCGCCGATGTGAGTCCTCCAGGGCTTTTTGAACCGTCGCTGCCTCACTTTGTGTGCGCAGCAGCTCATCTCTGGCCTGCACGGCGGCGCTGCCGAAGGCCATGCAGGAGCGGCTCTTCAGATCCAGCGCCTCCTCGAAGGCGTTTTGGTAGCTGGCACAGACGGGCCTGGTGGAAAAGCGGCAGGGGTAGACAGAGGGGAAGAATAAGAGTTGCCAAGATGGTAGCAAACGGGGTGAGAAGTTGTGGTTACTATACCATGGAAGTCAGAGGGGACAAATGTCTCTGTGCCTAACCAGACAGTTCGGTCCTCGCCAGCGACGATGTCCACCGCATTATGACCCCATCGGGAACTTGCCTGTGAACTGGTCCATGACAAGGCAGACACTTGCGCGGCACTTAGCATATTTTCTCCGCACTCACCTTACACAGATGGCAATACAATGTCCAGACGACCGGAGGTGACCTCGGTCTGTCTGCGCGTGCCACGCATAGCCTGGCCCCTACATGATGTACTCAGCTTTCACGAGGGCGGTTCGAGTCTCACATCAGTGAGAATGTCATAGAGGCTGCACTAGGCGGAAGCCATTTTTGCCTGACTCCCAGTCTCGAAGAGGACCGAGTCATCCCCGTCAGTCGGTAGCCACCCGAGCCACCACGACTTTTAGGGCGTCATGATGGGTTCAGACACGTCAGACTTACAATAGTAAGGAATGTGCTAATAGAAGCGAAAAGGCGAGCTTCAGGAAGCGGTCGCAAAGAGGGAGACAATATCGCTAGAACAAGAGCTGTATTAGTGAGGAATGTGCTTATTTGCCGTAAGGATGGATTCTCCAGTGTCGGCCTTACTCTGTCCGAGTCTGTCAACGCAACTGATGGGATTGGGTGCGTTGGTTGACGCAGTGTAAGGACATATGTCTAAGGCCTGTCAGACAGTCGCACATTCGGCAGCAGTTAGGGGCTTGCGGGGACCCAGCGCAGACCGATTTATGCCTAATCTGGACCCCGTGTTAGTTCAGCCCATCTGCAGCACAGCCCGTAGTGGGCGCCTTGATTGACCCCCTAACTGACGGTATACGGGGCTTCCAGTTATTCCCGCGAATTTGTTATGACGAATGGCCTGATTGGTTGATCATTTGCGGACGCCTAAGCCATTTTGACAAAAAATGGCGTTAACGTGCAAGTTCTCGAATGCGGGAGGTTGCATGTTATCAGAAGGCGCCGTGAGGTGTCAACTACACCTGGTAATCACAGTCTCAGCGGAGTGGCGGTCTCCTCGTATGGCTACAAATCTATATTGTTAGGAACTGCGGCGTCGAGGGTATCGCCCAAAGACATGGGTGGACGCGATAGGAGTCTATTTTCCGTCGGTTCAGACTCCGGCCAACTGTGATACTTCCGTGCGCTTGCGGCAGTAATCATTTGTACTGATTAAATTGATTCCCAGCGCGTAACTTCACAGATCACGAAACTTTACCGTTGACCATCGGCAGACGCTGGAGCGAGATGATATCGGTTGGAATACCAGGCCCGCACACGAAAGACCACAGGGCTGGAGGGGGACTTGAGGCTGGCCATCACCGCAGATATCCGTGTGTTCAGTTAGTAAACTTCGGCGCCACCGCCAGCCGGGACCGAATTCAGGTTGGATGACACCCCGAACGACTTCGCCTTAGCGTAGATTCTATCGTCAGACGGCTTTAAAATGGTGTATAGCTTTTAGGCGCATGGAACAGGTCTAAAATTCGTACAGATATTCTTTGCAGTGGGGCCGTGAACACTCGCACATTGATGTTCAGACCGACTTCATATCGATTTCAGAAGTTGGGGCAAAGTCGGAACAAGGTTACCGGCGCCAGACAGCTCTGATGGTCAACCAAGTCTTTATCTTGCTAGATTGGCAAAACAATCGACAAAAAGTAACGGAAATGGTCTTCTAGCCCGAAAAAGTCACCGTCTGCCGTGACTGGGAGATAATTACATCCGAACGCAAAGTCTGATGTGACCATCTTGGAGGGATTCATGCTAACGTTCACTTTGGCAGTCTTCGTGACTATTTGATACACGGCATTTCGCAGTTCCGGATTTGCACGGGTTTGGGCAGAATTGGTGAGAGCCTAGCCACAACATAACTGGAAGTGAAATTACTCGCTGTTCACATGGGCTTCCGGACATCAGTAGAGCAAAAACAGCCCTCGCACAATCAGTAGTGCGGCGGACGATACTCAGACGAGCGAGTCTCAAGTCACTGTAAAGAAACTGGTCAAACTTTGAAGTAAGAAGTATTCATGGCAGATGAGACATTGCCTGGGCTTAATGAGAAAGGACAAGTTCTGTCATCGAAACACAAACTTCAGGAAGTACAAGCAAAACTGCCGTCGCGATAAGTAAAAACACGTACAGCATGTCAAATTCGACGCCGGAATAACAAGTGCCTTGGATTACAGCCACAAGGAACTTGGGGCTGGCTTTCACCGCACCTATCCGTGTGTTCAGGTGGCAAACTTCGGCGCCGCCGTCAGCCGGGGCCGAATTCAGTTTGGATGACACTCCGAACGACTTCGCCTTAGCGTAAGTTCTACTGTCGGAAGGCTTTAAAATGGTGGATAGCTTTTAGGCGCATGGAACCGGTCTAAAACCCGTACGCATTTTCTTTGCGGTGGGGCGGTGAACACTCGCACTGATTTCAAATCGATTTCAGACGTTCGGGCAAAGTCGGAACAAGGCCACCGGCGCCAGACATCTCCGATGGTCAACCAAGTCTTTATCATGCTAGATTAGCGAAAAATTCGACAAAATGTAACGGATGTGGTCTACTAGCTCAAAAAGGCACCGTCTGCCGTGACTGGGAGATACCTATATCCGAACGCAAAATCTCATGTGACCATCTTGGAGGGGTTCATGCTAACGTCCACTTTGGCAGTCTTGGTGATTATTTGATACACGGCATTTTGCAGTTCCGAATTGGCACGGGGTTGAGCCTAACCCCAGCATGGCTGAAAGTGGAATCACTGGTCGTTCACATGGGCTTCCAGACTTCAATGGGAGGTGATCATTCAATGTCCTCTGGGTATGCGGCGCAGGATTAGTTGAATCAGTTACGATGGTTGTAATAAATGCAGGGCTCAACAATCTTAAAATATGCGAATTTTTTTCGATTCTTCATTTCAGCCGCAAAGGGAGTCTCAGATGAGGAAAAGAAATGAGAATTAGTGGAAAAACCAATGGATATAACGGTAGAGCAAAAACAGCCCTCGCACCATCAGTAATGCGCCGGAAGATAATCAGACGAGCGAGTCTCAAGTCACTGTAAAGAAACTGGTCAAACTTTGAAGTAGGAAGTATTCATGGCAGATGTGACGTCGTCTGGGCGCAATGAAAAAGGACAAGTTCTGCCATCGAAGGCTGAATTAAAGAAACACGAACTTCTGGAAGTACAGGCAAACCTGCCGTCGCGATAAGTAAAATTCGGCGCCGGAATAACAAGTGCCTTGGATTACAGCCACAAGGACCAAGGGGTAGGCTAAAAAGGCTTGACTGTATATCAATGGGGGCGCTTGCCTCAAACTGTCAGCAAGAGTGTTGAGACGAGCGATCTCCTCACGCAGCTGCGCTTTCTCCTTCTCAATGAGTTCGGGATGGGGTTTTGAGTAGCGCAGGTGGTCGAGAGGCGCTTCCGTGTCAACACTCGTCAGAGATGGTTGACGGGGCGAATAGGTTTTAGTACCAGGCGAAGTGTCCGCCTGCCTGACAGACTTTCTAATGCCGGTGGTACGGCGTCTCGGCTGGGTGGCGGGGGGGGGGGAGTGAACAAGGACGGTAAAGTGCATGTTTACTTTACTAATCGAACAAAATTGTTGTTAGGAGAGAAGCACGATAAAGTTGAATGTCCTTACTTTTAAGTACGGGCAGTGTTGGAGTCCGGAATAAATCTAGAGTCCCGAGGGTACTTTTCCTGTTCGAGTCACTGATTTGGACGAAAGTATGCCTAAGTCTTCTATCCCCCTCAGATGTTGACCTGGGTGCCCCCCTGAACAGTCGAAGTCACAGTAAACACACCACTTAGAGGAATTTGCCTAAATAGAAGTGAGGCCTTCCTAATGGATGTGTTAAGGTTTCGCTACAGCGCCTTAGATTAGGGTAACACCTGCATGGGACAGCCTAACAGCAAGCGTTTCAGCTCCGAAAACATCCGACCGGGCTCGTGGGAAAAGTTGTGTGGATAATCGACACAGACGTTTTAAAGTTTGGAAAATGCCATTGCGTGCAAGAGAGCCGAAAACCCAGAGACGCATAATTCGGCAGAAAGCTAGGTGACTACGCGTCTAGAGTTCTTGTCATCATGGTCGAAAGACGTTATGTTGATCGCTATTTTACTGAAGCATCGATCGAGCGCGACTAACATTTCTACTAAGGCGCTTCCCGAAACAAATGATTTAGGCGATCAGAGAATGCTTCTGGTCAGACCCTCTTAGGCCTAGCAATCTGTTCAAGTTATCAGGCGATGCCCAGGCGGGCTTGGCAACAGCTCTGGACAGACGAAAATTGCGGCGACATTTTTGAAGTCCAATCACAGCATCCAAACTCAATCTTCGTTGATCATCTCAACGTCGCTTCTACAGATGTTACGACTATCAAACTGCAAAACACACACATACACATATACATATATATGTGTATGTGTGTGTATATATGAGGTCTAAGCCAGTCAGCGGCAAACAGGCAGGTCAAAGTTCGTGCGTCCAGCACGGCTATAATACGAGGCAAGCGGCAAGACTGAACAACTCAAGACCGGCAAGTGCAACAATTACGCTACTCTGATGATGGAAACGAGGAAGTTTCCGAAACGTCAGTTCGAATACAATATGGTCCATGAATTCGCCCTCTCTACTTCTTCGTCTTCTTCGGGAGATGATAAACGCGATACAATGTCTGGACCTCGAATCTTTACGCATATCGACATATATACATATATATATATATCAGCGAGGAGGGACGACAGAGAATGCGGGTAGATTGATACAGCACTGTTTCGGGCTTATTCTGCCTTCATTCAGCCAATCATAACCCTGACCACCAGCAGCTGAGACCAGAAACACAAACATGCGCACAGACGCACCTGGCGCAGTCGGTCCACCTCTGAGGCCTACCAGATGGGTCATAAGCACTTCATCGAACCGAAGTTCATCAGTGCCTCGCCACCTGTCATTCTCTGTCGCTGCAGATCGGGTATTTATCAATCAGGAATGGGCGCACACCGATCTATTGGCTTCACAAAGCAAACAAGCTCTGCATGTGTGGCAAAGGTCACGAACAGGCAACCAATTACCAGGCCGAAGTCGGCCAAGTCATAATAGCAGCGAGGAGGGACGACAGAGAATGCTTCTACTTCGTCTTCTTCGGGAGATGATAAACGCGATACAATGTCTGGACCTCGAATCTTTACGCATATCGACATATATACATATATATATATATATATATATATATATATATGTATAATGATATTACCAACAAAGACAAGGGAGACTGGAATGGCCATTTCTGGCTTATTAGCCGTCGTCAGTCAGTCAGTCACACCCAACCCCAACATATATATGCATATATGTCAAGTGAGCGTTTGACCCTCACTGTTGTGGTTAGGATCTCACTTTACCGATCATCAGTACGTCATAGGCCTTATGAAGTGGTAACGACCGTGAAACAGCTGTCTGCGTCTGGCCTGTTGCACTCTTAGCGAGCTGCCTATGTATTGTATGTGGTACGTGTCCTATGACACACCGTTCGTTGTCGCCAGTAGCAAGCTGGCGGGCGGACGGAATGGGATCGAGTGAGATCCTAACCACAAAAGTGAGGGTCAAACGCCCACTTGACAGCTGTCTACGTCTGGCCCGTTGCACTCTTAGCGAGCTGCCTATGTATTATATGTATATATGTGCTTTGAGAAAAGGGGGTTTACTCCAGCAGCCGCACAGCGGTGCATGTCCGGACCTGATGACTTCAACACGCCCCCTTTTCCAAGATTAAGAACAGAAACTGTAGGTCTGAAAACCGCATCCATATACTGACGCACCCTGTCCAGACAGGTTTTGACCTGACCTCTTTGTCACATTCAGTTAGCTTTCGACGTTGGCTTGCGGCAGTAGCAATAAATGCACGTAACATGTGACGAAAGGGGTGTGAAGGGAACCTCAACTGTCGTGCTTGAACTGTCTGGGATTTCATCGCGAGCACATGTCAAGCATTATCGGCGTACAAAAGCCTCATACCCAACAATAAAATCGGGGGATTAATAAAATTGGTCCAAAAGTGTCATTAAAGTTTACTTTTTAGCCCTCTGGGTGCAGCAATTAGGGTGCCCCCTTGTCGACGGGCTTTTAGCAAACTTCTTCCCGCTCAGGTCTAGACGGCTGCTTACTTACTACGGGGAGGGGGCTTGACGGGAGCTCTTGAAGCTGGAAGTGGTTCCACTACCTGTATGGGATTTAAATACGAGAAGCAACAATGCCAAGGACACGAGAGAATTCTTTTTCCCAGGGCACCCTCCTTGCACTGAATGGCACAAACATTCTGGAGAAGGCATCATTAGACTGCTTTACTTTTCAGTCTAAATCACTCATCAGGCAGGGAGCGACACCCCGCAACCTTGAGTAGGCATGCACCTAAGCCCTAACACGTGCACACAGGCTGTCCCCACACGCTTCCGTACAATGCAACCCTGCGGATGACTCTGTCAGGTGCTTCACTGTATGGCCAAGCCGGTGTCTTTCTGGGTTTGAAACTTTGGCGCACCGGTCCAAATGCGTATACCCGTCCGTATACATCACATTTCAAGCGCAGTTAGACATGAGAGGAAAGTAACCCACTTTCGGTGGTACGTTCTCTTTGTCCTCCGATACAATCGCCTCGGTACTGTGTCGCCCCAAGTCCGTGGTGGTGCTGTCGGCGGCGGCGGCGGCGGCCGTGGCAGTAGGTTCCACCGATGATTCCGCGTTTCCCGAAAGTCTGGGCGCGTGAATACGTTGCAGTTGGATTGGGTTTTCGAGGGTGACCGTGTTCCGCCGAGGTCGTTGGTTGAGTTCGGTGGGGCGGCACTCGGGCGTCGTCGAGGGGACCTCGGGTGAGGAGACTGCAACTGGAAGATGATGATCAGTTTCTTCTGTACTCCCGATTTGCTGAGAAGTCAGGGGCACGCCCATAGTCTCAGTCGCCACAACGGCAACTGGTGCCGAAGGAGGCTCAACAACGGAGGTGTCTTCGTTGTTGGTGGTGGCGGCAGTCGAAGAGGAAAGTGACGAACGAGCCTTGCCATCGGATGCGACATCAGAAGGGTAGCTTATAATGACGAGTCGATCAGCAGCCGCCACTTCAGCGTCAACTGGGCTTGCAGACCGTCCAGTGGTCAAGCGTGTGTCGGCGACCTCAATAACTGTACTGCACGTCTGTTCGAAAGGGCGTTCAATGACGGAGGTCTCCTCATCGGTGCTGACAGCGGCAGCTGACGACGAAAATAAACTAACATCGCCATTGTGGCTGTCTGCAGGAGTGGAGCTTATGACCACAGAGCAGTTATCGGCTGCCCCTTCAGTGAGTGGCGTCTCCGCGGTCTTTTGAACAGCTGAGAACAAGTCCGCGGTCTCAGAGACGACGGCGGAGGTGACGAATGGAACAGTGCAACCGGCATCTAGAGCAGCGCGATTATGAGGAGCGGACGGAACCGTCTCCGCGGACTCAATTGTCGTAGCAGAGACTGGGTCAACAATCAAACTCAACGCCGGCCCCTGCTCAATAATCGACCGCGTTAAGGAAGGGTCAAGAGAAGGAGCTGCGAAGGAGTCGGTGAGCGAGTTATCACGTGCAGCTAAGGGTTGTGGAACAGGCTTTTCCTCCGACAATCGCAATTCATCCTCACTTGGAAGTTGCGTTCCAGCAGATTCCAGCTGCACATCAATGGACTGGCGCTGTCTGGCAGAGAGTGGACCACTGTCAGTTTCCGTGTAAATAAAGTGTGAGTTGAGGCTAACTGACACCGGTTGGCTAGTGACATCATCTGCATTTACTGGTCCTTCAGGTTTAGTATTCGGTCGCTTCCCAGTTGAAGTAGTATTCAAAGGATAGATTTCCGTCTGAGGAGCTGGATATTCATACAGATCTGCCAGAGGAGGCAAAACAACAGCTTCCGGTTCATCTATGGATGGGACGCTTTGGACACGTGCGCTTGGTGACTGTGGCGGAAAAGCGGATGTTGGGAAGTGATATTCGGCGCCTACGGAAGACGGCTCCGTTGCTAAGGGAAGGGGCAGCTGGACTTCAACGTCCGGAATTGCATCAACCTCTTGATCACACGAGGGTATGGAAGTAGTGAAAGGAAATGCTGGGGCAGGAACGAGATCAGGGGACCGCTGCCTACTGTTGTTCTTGTGGTCGAGTGGAGTAGTTTGAGGATCAGTCAGCAGGGCGGAATCTCCCATGTTCGAGGAAGGAACACCCAAAACGTGCACCGGACACTCAGAGGCCGGTGGTGTGAGAGTTGCTCTCCGAGGTGGAATGATTTCCCGTGGAGTCCTGGCGGCTTCAATGTGAGAAATGTCCTCGGTACTGGAGGCGTCTTCCAGGCCTATGCTGGAAGTGCGTCTTTCCTCCGCGGTGCCGTCGGTTACAACCCAGCAAGATTGACTCAGGGACGCTGAAGAGGACCCAGCAGGTGGTGCACTTGACACATTCTCAATGGTCTCCACTGCGTCTGAGTAATGCGAAGAACAGAGGGAGTGGGAACTTCTCTCCAAATGCGGCAGGATGGAGGACTGAGTGTCTTCTAGAAAGCCAGACTGCGGTGCTAGATCCACGGAGCCAAAAGGTGCCGTGGGGCCCGTTGGCGAGGCTCGGCCACGGTCAGGTGAGAAAAAGGCTAAAAACCGAAAACAAACAAATAAATTAGCATGACAAATAACGGCGTACTCATCAACACTTACTCACATTATATCACACACACTAAAAACCTGAAATATTCCTAAGCTGCATGCCTCGCTAGAAGGCATCCCCTACGGTCAACGTCCGTTAGGTTTAAGTACACAGTCCAAAATATCTCGGTGTCCAATGGTTACACCAAATGACTGTCAACCGCGTGCCCCATGGAGAGGGGGCAGAAACGGTGACTTTCATGTGAACTAGTTTATGGTGGAGTAGACTTGCACAACATCTATCGCACACGCTCCTACCGTTCTCGGATGGCAGGAGGGCACGGACGCTGTGATTGACAAGGCTAAACAGCCTGCTTATGCATGTATGTATCAGGCTACTGTAGGGGTGGCTCGAGTGTCATAAAGGAAGGAGCAACTGCAGCTTGATTCTCAGTTCTGAGAAGAGCGGATTTCAAGTGTCACGTTGGAAAGGGCGTATGCAACATCCTCTGCGCTTCCTCCTCCTCCTAACCCATCTTGCTCCCATGGCAAGACAGTGTCAAGACAAGCGAAGATGGGCTTGAGCGCATGGCTGACGAAGCTGCATTGCCCGTCCAAGCGTGGCGCGCACGGCCTAGTCCCCCCACCGCATGTACCGGGCTATTGACAAGTCGGCTGCGATCTCACGTAGGTGAGAATTACCTATATAAGCGAAGAGGCTAGTTCCAGGGAACAGTTCAAAGACGAAGATGCGATCATGGACACGAAATTTATTGGCTTGGCGTTTCAGAATAGTTAAAGGAGCAATTGTAGCCTGGATGCGAGTTCTCCAGTTACTGCATTACAATCCCCTTGAGGAGCGTGTCATCCCGACCGTTGGCAACCTTTCAGGTCTGTTACGGTGTCGTGGCAGGTTTAAGCGCGTCGCATCTATTGTGGCAAGGGATGTGCTGATGTACCGTGGAAGAGGATTTCCTAATGTCGGCCTCACCAGGCAACTGTCTGGGCCCGCAGTGGATAACGCAGCGTAAAGGCGAGCAACATGCATGTAGGAAAGTAGTTGTGGCCTAGCGCGGGCCGTTGCGGGGGCCTATGTTGCCAAACGGACAGCGCAGCACGGTACTGGCGCCTGTAACCGCACAGTTAAAGCTAGTTTTCGAAGGAGTCCATAGGCTCGTGTCAATATCTGGATCGTCACAAGCATCGGCGTACAGCGGGTTAATCTGAGGCCCGATTCCAGGTTGTGCGTGTCAACGACGAGCAGAAAGTGGCGTTTGTACATTCCTGTTGCCTGGGAACCATCCCCAGAATAAAGTAGGTTGACATCCTCTCCACCGAGACAGTCAAATACTTAGAAGAACGCTGCAACTGTATTCCAGACCATCGGAAAACGAGACCCTGCGTTGTTTGGCCACATTCTCCACGTCGCCAGTCAGATGAAATTAGTCATGATGTCCTAAACTGGATGCCACCGTCTACGCGGAAGCGACAAAGAAGGGTTCGGCCTAAAGCGGCTCGATGGAGTTCGCCAAGATAGGGAGGTAGTGTTCGGGTGTACGACTTCATCTTTGTAAAAGGGAGCGTAATGTGTTTGGAACTTACTGCCGCAAACCGCGGCAGGTATGAACGGCAATGAGTGCATGTGTACCAAGTGCAGCTAAGTATAATACATTGTTTAAAACCAATTATTTGGCAGAATGAAACTCTGTACCAGTCACCAACAAAACAACATCAAGGCTCGGTGTGTGATAAGTTTGGCAGGAATTTAATTTTCAAGTTTCAGAAAGGGAGGATATGAGTTCGTTGCTAGTACACGATCGCACGACGGTTCCCAGCTTCAGTAGGCATTTTACACAAAAGTACAGACTACGTTCCTTTGAAATCAAGTTATTTCCATGGTAATGCTACCACTAGGCACTGCAGAAGAACTTCCTTCCGGTGTTTATTTTACTTATTTAAAATATAAAAACTTGATGGAAGAGTGATTATGGCGACTCTATACACCCCACTAATGACTTAAAAGGCAGTGGGTTTCTGAAGCGCTGTAGAGTTTTGTCGAAAAACTGGAAAGACAAATTCAGTATCATTTTGCATGCGTTAAACGGCGTACAAATTTTCAAGTAACCACGTTCCAAAGCCACATGTCAAGTGCAGACCATGCTGGTGAAGACGCGGCTCATACTCCGAGTAGCACACTAGCAGTTTGCATAAAGTCTCAAATTTTAGACAGCTAGCTCAGTTAATTATCATTAGTTCGTTATTCGGGATCTGACAGAACCACCACTACGCCTGGGGGGGGGGGGGAAGGCAGCGATGACTTTCCTCAGTTACATTACGATGAATGGAACTTGCAAGATGCTAACCTCATCCTCCCTTCCTACGCCCATCGTATTCTAACGGCAAGGCTAGATCAATGCAGAATGGGTAGCGTCATATCTGTCCCGTCTACGCGCACCACACTTATGCTGGTTCCTGTAGAGACATGAACCAGATTTAATCCACAGAATATGTCGAAAGGCTCCATAAAGACTTCGCAGTCTGGATACCAGTCCTAAGGACAGAAATATCTTGACAATACAAGCGAAGATACGAGTTCCAGGAACTATTTGATAAGAAGTAGAAGCGATCGCTTCTACCCTTTATCAATATCTGGACAGTTGAAGGCCCATCAATAGGTGATCTGTAAGCGCTATTGAGCGCTATCGAGTTAGATCTGAATAACAGATTGCTTACTGCTAGGCAACCGCTTCTATGGGTTGTAGACTTGCAGTTATATCGGCAAACGCACACGGATAGAATGCCTCAACACAGCCGATTTTGCCGTCTGAAACGTCAAACTCTGCCTGTAATTATCAGTTGTAAACTTACTGCAAAGAGGCAAAACAATCATATCGCCACCACGCAGAAACGCTTTTGCCAGCCAAGCCATGCGACCCAATGTCGGAGATAAACACTACTTATTCATTTGCGAGAAAAACGGCGGCAGCGATGCCGTGGGAACTAAATTAAACGGATTTTGAGATTGCCTTGGGAACTGCGAGAGTACACACGTGACCAATGTTGCAAACCCTTCATACGTAAAACAAAAACCATCTAAGGCATGTAGATAACTTCCACAAAGGTACTTTCCTTGTCCCCATTTGCTGACCGTTCCAAATTTCGCGTTTATGACGCCGCAGTTAATATCAACCTACTGGGACCTCACAGCCTTTGAAACAGTACAGCTGCTCGATGAAGTCATTGTCTCTGGCATTATCGAAACCTCCATAGTAAATAGTCTCGTGAATAAAACAGTATTTAACTTGACAGCCTCGTAAAAATTAGCGCAATCAGATTGTAGGCACAGGTCAATTCAGATGGAGCCCTATGGGGCTGCTGTAGTTGCTAGGCCGCTACATGCCTATCGCAGCTGGCAGCTCCCGAGTGCATCACGGTTCGACTGGCCAGGTGTTAGAGTATACAGTTGCCGTGCAGTTCTCAGAACAGACGCTAAATGTTGCCAAAATTCGACAGTCATTTGTGTGTTCTATCACAGATATGCATTGAAAAATTTTCAAGGCTGTTGGCTGGAATATCAGCAGTTGTAGATAGACGATACACTGGCTGTCGCATATGGAGATCTGCGGCTCAACCCCCCCCCTTTCATCAGTGATCGTTGCACGTGGTGTGATGATTGTTTGATGGTCAACATTTGCGTCGTTAATTGCTGCAATTTCATCACGTGCGCTGGATGTTGGTGTGATGATGGCTCGACCATCTGACGCACCACCACCCTTGGCGTTGGGAAGAGTGTTCGCCTGTGCGCTCCCCGCGTGGATAATTACTCCGCCTAGGCGAAGTGTCAGCACGGAGGATGGAAGGGGAAGGTTATTGCACTTGTTAATGGACTGGGGGCCAGTAAACCATGACTGAAGCAGCTCACGGCCCACGCGGTTGTCACCTCTAGCAAGAAATTCTATTTCGTAAAACTTGAATGTGTGGTTGGGTCCCGTCGAGTGAGCCGCGATTTGGAAGCTAGCGTCTTTCCTCCCCACCGCTGCTGCGCGCTCGGCCATCCGCGTCCGCAGTAGTCCTGTGATTTCTCCGACATAGTTGCTTTACCCACAGCTGCACCAGATACGGTAAACGACTGCAGATGCTTCTCGCCGCGGCAATGTGTCCTTCGGCCTGATGACCTGGCGCCTTAGGGTTGCCTCCGTTCTGTGTGCTACCCCAATTTGAAAGGGTGTGAGAAGGCGGCTGACGGCTTCTGAGACATTCTTCACATACGGGAGAGCTTGCCAAAATTTGGGGCCGGTCGGATTTTGTCTCTTGTCTCGTTTGCACAGACACTGGTTGACGAAGTTGTGCGGGTAGCCATTGGCTTTAAATACCCGTTGGTGTTGAAATTCAGTAACCTTGTCTGCCGGTCCACTGCAGTGTGTCTCCACACGCCGGTAGTGTCCTTAAACAACTGCGTTTGCGACTAATTGGGTGGTTGCTGCTGTTGCTCAGTGGCCTTGCAACTACATCCTATAAATACTGCAACACCTGGGCCACGTACGACCCCTTTCTGACTCTGTCTCTGATGATGGATTCGAGTGAGAATCCGAAATGGCAGGCTATAATAAAGCTCTTGTTCCAGCGATCGTGTCTCCTTCTTCACGAAAACTTCCCGGAACTCGCCTCTTCGCTTCTATTAGCAAAGTCTTTCCACACTATTACGGCCGGTTTAAAATCCCCGTTTCAAACCGTCAGGACGGGCCTGTCCGCCTCCGGACTGACAGCTAGGTTGCAAAAGGTTTCTTCGCACTATGGCTTTATAGCACTGCTCAGCATCGCGTGAGATCTGGACTAGCTAGCTAGCCTGGTTCACAGGGTTCGGGGGCAACAACACGCGTGTAGCACGTACAGATGAGGCTGTTTACCAGACCGACCCCACCCTAAGTAGGCTCGCTGGCTTGTGAGCAAAGAAGGGCAGACGAGAGAGAGAGGGAGAGAGAGAGGGAGGGGAGAGAGAGGGAGGGAGAGGGGGAGAGAGTGAGAGAGAGAGGGGGAGGGAGAGAGAGAGGGGGGGAGGGAGAGAGAGGCATTGTCGAAGTTTGCCTCAGTGTCATGTAAGTCCTGACCAAGTCAATGTCGCCTCCCTAGGCGGTGTGGATGGGTGCTGAGTACCACGACACGAAAGCACCGCGTGGCGATGAAGGGTCCCAAAAGACAATAACGGCGCCGCCCCCTACCTTCTTTCTCCTCTTCTTCCTCGCCGGTGGGATTGTTGCCGGAGTCGGCATCCTTTAGGTTTATCCTATTGAAGAGGTCCGCCAGACTGTCATCTGTCGGGTCAGCAGCAGCACCAATAGAAGTGTCCGGGTCCTTTGGGTCGCCGCCTTCAGCTGCTGCGGTGCCTGCCCACGGAGAGAGCAGGGAGGCGACAGCGCCGGACAGCTTTGATCCGGACTTGAGATGGCCGAGGAGGGGTGAAAAGATTGGGTGCTGAGTGGAGGGCAATTGGCCGGCCAGGTTGACGGCGGGTGTCGACGGCGAGGCCGCAGACTGACCCAATAACAGGTGGTTCCATGCTTGGAACAGGGCAGACAGGCTATGTCTGGTGCTCTTCGTGCTGGCATTGTTCTCCTGGCTTCTAGATGGGAGAAAAGCGAGTAAAAAGAAAGTAAGGAGTCCTCCCCCCCCCCTTCTCACCTGTCCGAAAGGTGGCTCTAGAGGCAGTTGTGGAGGTATTCTTTTAATGTCTAGGCAGTCTGGGAAGCAGTACCCAGTAGGACATAAAATCAAATTCCCTAGAATCGGTTTTGGACATTTAAAGCGACAGGTAAGAAGACAAAAGAGATGCATGAAAAAAAATGAGAGCAGGAATGCTGTCATAATCTATACTTAGCATTACGAAAGGACGGGCTGGGGTAGTATTCTTACGCATGTTTGTTCTCCTTAGTCAGGAAGGACCTGCGTTCTCAATCAGGGCTCAATCGCTCCTCGATACAGACGCTCTGGCACATGAGGCACACGCTCGCCTTGGCAACCTTCAAGGTCACATGAGAGTGGAATTCATCGCAGTGCGGAGGATGGGCCTCGGCGACCAAGGCATGTGTGGCACGCGGAGACTGGGTCTGCTCGCGACGTGAGTCATTGCGTCCCAGCCTTACCACTTGTCTTTGTCAAAAGCGGGAAGTACATGCTGCGCAAGTCGTCGCGTCCTTCCCAGGCAGTGGAGGTCCTCGTCGATGTCGATGCTATTGGTCGCTTGATTGCCCACCTGACTTGCAGCATAAGCACTGAAAATGGTGTCTACAGTTGTCGACGAGGTTGCTCTTTTACCGATTAGCTTATTAATGGGTACTGTGATCGAGGATTTAAGAGATAAATGTCTGCTGTTTATGTCTTTTGCGAAAAAAGAGGCGAACTTGTTTATGACTGCATGTTTTGCAAATGGTCGAGTTTGCCGAGCAAACAAGCACTACTAATATTCCATGGATGTCGGGTCAGCCTACGTCTACTGAACTACTGCCATGTGCACATCGACGCCATGAAACGCTAGTGGATTGTTGACAGATTCTGGAATTGCATCAACAGAAGACGACTAACCGAGATCAAGAGCATTTCGAATGGCAAAAAGCCGGTTACAAAAAGCACAAAGGTAAACACGCAGCATACTCACACTTCCGGAACCGTAGGCGCCGGTGTTCCCGCATTTTCGGGCGAACGGCCGTCTGAAAAGGGATACATTAAACACTAATTTTGTGCAATAAAACAGGCGTAGCAAGGCCTGAAGCGGAGGAGCAGTCCTATGTACACCAAGTAGCTGAATAGTAAGGGTCAATTGGTCGGCTTTAGAAAAATGCGTGAGCACAACAGCCCATTGTGCCCACGGGCAGACCTCTAATTCGGACTGACAAACGGCCAGTTGATGAGGTTAGCTATAAGGATGAGAAAAGGGGGCTGCCCGTGCGCCAGCCGGACCGGCCCAAGATGCTGCCACGGCAGCTGTCAATGGCGGCTGCCTGCAAAGAAAGCAGACATTTGGGGCTTGCAAACGGCCACAGAGGAAGCAGAGGCTTAGCGTCTGACACACATCAATTACCCTGGGAAATGCCGCAAAGTTGCCTACGATGTGGAGTTTGAGGTTATCGCAGATGTTCATTTACTATCGCTGGCATGCGATTGGGCATAAAAAGACAACTCGAAACAAGTGAGCTGAGTAACGGCTGCGGACCAGAAAAAAATCATGACAGCCGGCTCTTCGTTACCACTTCCATTAGTGGCGACCAAAGAAAACTGTAGTCGAGTACTGCCCATCATGCCTTGGAAAGAAGCGCTCTGCGGTGCCGTGATTCTCGTGATGGCGAAGGGATCGGGTGTAAGACCCGTGGAAGAGAGTGAGACTGGAGACCCCCAAAGTAGTCAAGATCGCGGCCGCAACGAGAAGACATTATAAATTGCCAAAAGCACCTAGATGCCACGGATTTAGGCGTTGCCAGGGCATGTGGCCAAGGGTGAAGTGGGTCATGCTGGTGGTCAAAAAATGGAACTCCCCCCCCCCCTTCACCAATGCTGGAAAGACAGCCCTTAAAGCTGCCTTCTCTCTATATGAGGCGTCGCCTTTCCTGGGATGTTTGCGAATGGGCATTAATCTACGGTGCCTGCAGGATCGACCTTAGGTGAACATAATCCCCGACTGCGGGCGGCGGGATCGCCCAGTCACAAAACGCGCATGACATGAGTCATGAAAACGGGTCTCAAACGATTGACGCAAACAATGCCGTCACTTAGTTACGAACACAGCAAAGCGCGGTTAGGTTGCACTGTATGACAGGGTTCTTAAGAAAGTTTACAGCGAGGTTGCACAGTCCGGGCAAATGAATCTTGTTACCAGGTGTGGAAGTGGGACGGCGAGTTGCCTTTGGAGGAGCAGGGATCAATGAAGAGCAGCGAGGGTTTAATCGCACGATTCAACGCAACAGAGTAACATTTTGCCGCCTCTATGGCAAGCAGACGAAAATGCGACGAGCATAAAATTGTGGGGTGTCAGAATATTTATTACAACCGTTTTCTCCGAAATCGCGTCAGCAGAAACAATAAAGGCAGATGAACTAACCTTCGATGAGGGGGTCAAAGTTTTGTAAGATTGAATTGGACATCGTGTGCGGAGCCGTGGGGCGCTAAAAGAAACGCATTTCTTCTTGATGTCGTTGGATAGATTTTATAAAATACAAAATTTGACACTGTGTGGAGGTCATGTCCACAAAAAGAGGGACGCCACAAGGGCCACTTTTGACTCAGGTGCTCCAACCTCCGGGGTAAATTGATTGTCGATCAGAGCCCTTACAACTGCGCTACTCACTTACTTGTATTTGGTACGGCTTTGCTCATGTCTGATCCGGCCGGCCCCCATGATGATGTCACAGAGACTACTTCTTCACCACGCGTGGCGATCTGGGGCAGCTCAACTTATGCTCTGCGCCAGCGAAGGAGACTAAATATCGAAGCTCCGAAAACTACTTCCAGACCGCGACAGGCTGTGTCGACTTAGTTTTTGAATTGAACTCCTCTTTGACGCCTCCAAGTAGGTAACGGTGCCGAGTCGAGGGTAGCAACACTGGGCTTGTGAGGTGGACGACGAAGGACGTGTCCAAACCACTACAACCTTATTTCTCGAATGGCCTGGATATCCTGCGCACTGCCTCGCTTAAGATGTAATCGGTGTACTTCACTGAGACGATGGTCCTCAAGAAGTAGTGGTCGAATACCCCCAGTTTTCGCTCGTCCTCCACGCGCACAGTCCAGGATTCACAACCGTACAGAAGGATTGACTGGACGGACGCACGGTACACGCACGTGGCGATGGGGATGTCACGTCCGGTTCACGGACCCCCTTGAAGACTTGATAAAACCCCGCGGGCAGCTTCGGTTCGGAAGACAGTGTCCTTCGTACTCTATCCATTGGACAGATTCCTCACCTTCCAAGGTATTTGAAACTATCTACATCTTAAAGTTGACAGCCATAAATTTCAAGAGGTTCCTTTCCTGGTCAGGGCTGCGGCTTGAAAACACCGGTTTTCCCAGCATTTATGAATAAACCGACTGATTTAGCGACCTTGTTTACCCGTGGCACCATAGACCGCGGATCACTGAAGCTACAAGCTAGTAAAACGATATCATCCGCGTAGTCATGGTCAGTCGACCGGCAGGCGGGTGCAAACTCTGCACCGTCACCTTCGTGTAGGGCTTTCCCCAGAATCCAATCAATGGCATAATTGAGAAAAGTGGGCGACAGCAGACAACTTTGCCGAACGTCAGACCGAAGATCAAACGGTTGGGATAGATTGTTATAGACGTGAGCTCAGGCAGCGGTTGAGCGAAGGCAGGTCTTGGTTATGGCGATGATTTTGGCCGATACGTTTCCTTGTCCCATTGTTCACCACAGGGACTCATGGTGAACGGAATCGAATACAACAGCAAAGTCAATAAAGCAGACGGCCGTCTGCTGTTATGGTGGCTACGGCGGAATTCGGAAATGCGCCTCAGTGTGAATAGATGGTCGGCACACCCACGCTTTGCCCGGAATCCGGCTCGGTTAGGCCTCGTTCTAGAGTCACATACAGCCTGGAATAGCCTGAGAAGGACAACGGCGAAGACCTTCGCGGAAATGTCGATGAGGTAGTTTTCGCATCTTGTCTAAGCACCCTTCTGGAGGACGGGTACAAGAATGCCTGAGTCCCAGTTAGCTGGAACAACCTCGTCTATCCACGCTTGTTCAATCCCCTCATGGAGCCAAGGCACCAGAATGTCGACACACGACTCGTAGATTTCAGTGGGAAGGCCGTCCACTGCACAAACGGGTATGCGTCAAGTCGAAAGAGCATTAAGTCACATGAGAGTAGCGTGTACAGAGGAATCCTGATTGTAGGACAGAATTCGACATTTCTGTCCAGCTTTCGGGCTAAGATGACCTAACGACCAGTCATCGATACTCAGGATGTTTCAGTGACAAAGACAGGGACACTGGAACGGCTATTTCCGGCACATATGCCATCATCAGTCAGTGAAACTCCAGCCCCCGGCTACAGGCCTCTCTTGATCCGAGTTTACCCGTGGTCACCAACTGAAGTTGGCAGCTCTAGTGTCCCAAGGACTGTGACGACCTTACGTGCAACTGGCACTTTGGTCAGGGGACCACATCGACAATTGTCTGGCAGGACATTATAGATGTAAATTAGAGGCGGGGGGGGGGGAGGAGGAGCGGGGATCTTCTGGTCAAGGAAAGTATTTGCGTCTCCCAGATAGTCAGGAGGGAACTTAAGAAAAGTCAACAAAAACGTTAGCTCGGTCGCAGTCCGTGCGCGGAAAGAGAGTTTACTGGTGCACTTGGTTGCATGCGTCAGAGCCACATGCAATACACAATCTGTTGGTTGTCGTCTATACCGCGAAGCCCCGGGAGATGGCGGCCGTGGGTCTTAGTACTGCCATGAGGAGTACAGCCGGGTGTCAGTGACACCAACAGCAGAGACGAGCAGCAGTGCTGTAACCGAGCGGATGAACAGTAAGCTAAGTCCTACCAGGAAAGTAACAGAAATAATTCTTTACCAATGCTTACCGTTGCCTTCGCTGATTGATCCAAGAACGAGAGATCAAGATCTGTTTGGTTTGAAGGAACGGATGGAATAAAGATGAGGTTAACCGGTACTACCATTGCACACGCATGTTTAGGGTTGATTTGAACAACGGACAGATGTACCCTTACTTTCAATCAGCACTACTCGAAAATCGTATAAAGCAGCTGGATGACAATCGAGGCTAACCTACAAGTTTTACTCCAAGTTAAAATGCATTTTTAAAGCACTAGAAAGGAAAAAACCTTGAGTACGGCGAAACTGGCATTTTATGTTGTCAATGGTTTTTATAGCTCAACGATTTGCTAAATACCGTCTCAGAAAGCTTCAAGTACTGATGCAGACTGAAAAATAACCTGCAGTTTAGGCTGCTCTAGAGGTGTACTGCATGCGAGCAATCATATAAGCAGGTCTGGCAGCACGGGACCAATTCAGCCTAGATTTCAATAAAAGGTCCTTGGGTCTGCAAAATCCGCTTAAAATTCCCTAGAATGGTCAAGTGACAATAAGCTAATACTGACGTGTCACCTGAAAAGGCTTAAAAGTGAGCATGAACTGTCCGTAAGAGAACAACGCCGCTACCGGAGAAAATTTGTTTACTGCATACACCGGGTGTGCTCGCCCAACCCTTGCATACGCAACTACTTGTGTGCTACCAGGTGACAAAAAGCTTAAATTGTGTAAGGCTGCGGACTAAAGGGGTGGCGAGAACTTCATGCACGAATGGATTTAATGGTTGTCCGGGAAAGCGGCGAGCTTCTGGGTGCCTGTATGCGCATACTCCACTCCCCCCGTCCCCACACTGGCCCTTGCGCTCTCTTGTTTGGGGAGAGGGGGAAGGGCATGTGAGGACTATAACCAGCTACGCTTAACACTCCCCAGGTTTGGAGTGGGCTTGTTACTACGACACGAGGCGTTGACATGGGCGGACCCGTGTCCGGAGTTTAATAAACAAGCAGAGGAAGAAGGGAGCAAGCCAAGGGACTATCGGCACGCAAGAACAACGAGTCCACGGAAGACAAGCCAACCGTGCTGCTCAGTGTCCGTTAAACACTGCATTAACAAGCTCGGAAAATATTTCATGCAAAAGTTAAATAACGTTTCCATGGAAATGCCGATGCGGACTAGGACTCAATTTCCTTCCAGAGGAAGAAACAGATGGATCATGAAAGAATTTTCTATTATCAAAAACAACATCGATGGCAGGCGAAATGGCCCTCCCAAGGCTAGCTGATTGGTGTCCGGTAGAAATCAAATTACACTAGACGGTACCCCGGAGTCACAAACAAAGGCATCCGGTTACACGTGAAGGACGATGGGATACAGATAACAAAGTCGCTGCGCGACTCTACCCTCGGGCTCCGTTTAACCGCATCCGACCAACAAACCTGCGTTGTCGATGTCAACAACGGGATTGTCAGCTCTATTCACTAAGCAGCGTGAAGATAAGTGTCCGCGACTATTTGACTCCGTGAAGACACCATAACTATCCACGCACCAGGTTCGTACGTGTGCAGAAACAGCAAACATCAGCACATGAACGCGTTTCTGGAAGTGGTGCTGCAGTCAAATCTCACTTGAGGTATAAAACGAACTTTTCGTGACCGATGAGAAATCAGAAGGGTAAAAGAAAGGCAATGCTTACCAATCGATGGCGTCTGGACAGGTTCATTTGGGGGGCATCTGAATGATACAAGCATAGTGGTTATCGAGGGCACAGGAGACGACGTAAACGCGCTCCAGTGTTAAATGCCAGCATATTCAGGAGAAAACCAGGGGGTGAATAGGGGAATGGAGGGGAAAAGCATGAGTGCTTAAAACACTTCTCACTGAGAGGCATGAGCAGATGGGTCGAAAATGCTCTTAGAGTACATCCACTCTCGTTCTTAGTGGATACCCCGCTCCTGCTGCGGTTGTCGGCCATACCTGCCTTCCGTCTTCTTGGAGGCTCGTCTCATCTGACCTTGGGATTTGAGCTTACTGTGGTCCACGTCAAGGCCTTCGGCACAAAAGCAGCAGCGCTGTATGCAGTTGGCCCTTGTGTTTTAACGGCAAAATCCGACTTAAAGTCCCTGCAGGTAGAGCGCACATCGCACGAAGGCACTATCGCGCAGGGTGAAGAGTAGAAACGATCCTGTGGCCCGCCACAATAGTGTTAGCGCTATCTCTCTGCGTATTAAAGCAGTGAGGGTCTTCTCGGGGGGACTTCGGGTATATCAACCGCTTCTTCAAATCTAGTGCAACGACTGGAGAATCCACCTCGCCAGTTCCCACAGTCTCCAAGCCATTAGATCACAACAAATTTGAACTTGTGATGCCTAGACGTAGTGTTGTTTGGTCGGACTCTACGGCGTCAGGAACCAGTGCGATCCATGGCCCTCGATCACCGATTAGGATGTCAGTAATGCTTTTTTCTGTCTCCATTGACGAAAGCAGAAGGCCGTTGAGTCCAACAGTCACTGTTGATCTGACCTTGCCACTTACGTACACCTCTTCAGTTGACCAATAGGATAACGCCAACTCGGAGGGATGATGTCGTGGATAGGGCCTCGTTGCGGCCGACGGGGTGTGCATGACCTTCTGCTGAAGGAGCAGAAGGCGTCCACGCTCGAGGGTGGAGCTCCGCCCCCCAGACATGGACCACTAGCTGAGACCGGATTAATTTTGGGACATTTCAACTTTTCTTCAGTCAGTGGCATGCACAGACCACGTTTCGCAGCCGCAGTGCGAGACAATCTTGACCATAGTCTCCTACAATCGCATCTGTGTTCTGCTGAACCTCACGGCGAAACAACACGGGATTCTGAGGACGGCAGAACAGGCTCCGTGCGAGCTGTAGACCGCAAGTTATCTCCCTCCCATGCAGGTCAGTAGTTAACCCAACGGCACTGAGGTATGCAGAACACTCGGCTACCTCGGACCTCTAGCCATACAAGGTGTACCAAAAGCAGCTTGAAGCTGCTGATAAGTACTTCGTTTTGCTAGAAGGCATTTTCAGTTTGCGGGAGGGGAAGACCATGGAAACAAGCGCAGGCTCTAGTTCGTCGAGCGAGTTGTCTGACAGGGCGAGGTTGATTTAGTCACGGTTCGAGATGAGATTTTGACTCACCCGGACATCTGCGTAGTCCAGGCGTCGACAGAATCCACTGAACCAACCGCACACTTCATTTTCAGTAGAAAGACGCAGCCTTGACAGGCGCCAGAATTCCCAGCCAAGAAGTTACGCTCTTCACCGCAGGGTGAATACGGGCACAGCCAGAGCAGAAGCCGCCCTAATTCGGCCTTGCCAGTGCGTCCCTGGCAGAGGAATAGCAGCCAAGGATTATACTGGAAAACTTCCTGTCAAATAAGATCGGACTGGTGCCTCTGCAGCTCGGACATTCAATATCATTTCTCTTCCTGTGAAGAAAGGAAGCAGTACGGCACCGCCCTATACCTGTAGTAGTAGTAGTAGTAGTAGTAAGTAGTAGTAGTAGTAGTAGTAGTAGTAGTAGAAGAAGTAGTAGAAGTAGTAGTAGTAGTAGTAGTAGTAGTAGTAGTAGTAGTAGTAGTAGTAGTAGTAGTAGTAGTAGTAGTAGTAGTAGTAGTAGTAGTAGTAGTAGTAGTAGTAGTAGAACTGATTGTGTCACAAAGGCTGCCAGTGCTTTCCCGGGTCACTCAAACACAACCGCAGAATCGCTCTCGTAGACCTCACCTCACCTCACCTCGAAATTGCTGAACCATGCTCTGCAGTTCGGCATAAGACGATGGCACAAGGGACTTCGCAGAAGCAAGTGCGTTACGGGTGCCGCTGGGAGCATCTTAAGTTGACGGTTTCACTCATGGCGTTGTTTCCAAAGCGGCAATCGTTCACTTAGTGACATGAAAGGGCTGCCTATCTTCATTTTGGTGGTCCGACGGACTACTAAAGTGCATTTCGATGAGCGTGGAGAAAACTGGCGTAGCCTTTCCGTGCCATCAACGGTGGAGGCCCATTTCAATGCCAGGACTAGGTCCTGTCCGTGTATATTTGGATGGCTAACACTGACAGTGTTGTCTGAAATGTCAGTTCTCTGAAACTCGATTTTTTGGCAATTCGAGGCGTCAAGTATGGGCCACCGGTCGTGCGGCGTTGGCCGGTATCTGGTCTGCTGGCTTGTGCCTGTTGCAGTCTAGGCGGGACAGCAAAGCTTCCAACTGGCTATTCATATGGTCGCCCCCTGGCTCTCGAACTTGCAATGTTGGAACATCGTGTATGGACTGGCGTCCACACCCCGGCGCGCGACAGATCTTTGGCTCCCTACTTCCCACCTCCACTCTTTCAAACCACTTCGTCTGCCGACCGATCTTCGCTTACCGTCCGAAAGTTCAGAGAGTGTCGAAAGGTCTTTTGCCTCTTCGACACCACCGCGTGTGAATTGAACAAAATGCAAAAAGATTAGGCGTGCAAACAGGCGAACGGTGCATGTTACACTGAAAAAAAATCATTACTCACTGCAGCGTAGACGCCCACCGCACTTAAACCACTGAAAAAGAAGGTTCGGGTGCATCGATCATAAGAACGGATGAAATCACTAGATTTGATGACTGACAAGACCACAGAGACGAGACCGTGTTTGCTAACGCCCACAGCAGACGCATATCATGCAAGACATCTCAGGAGAGTCATTTTGAGTAGGTGGGGAAAAATCGTGCGGAACGCAGAGGGGACCTTAGGTAAACAGGGCTTCAAAAAGTTGTGCACAGAATAACGACAACCACGCCAACTCGGACTGCCGAACCTTCCGTTTTTCGCGCTTGGGTACTCTAACTCTGAGCTACCGCAGAAAACTTTAAGACAAATCTGCTGTAAACTGGACAAGATGATTGTGTCAGACCCTCAAATGCATCCGCCACTCCTGTCCTGAAGCCCTTTTCCCCGTAAATTCGTTAGAAAGAGTCCACTTAGCAAAAAGTTCACGTAGAAGGCAAAAAAATAGATTGCCAAACGGCAACTGGGACGCCTAAATACCGTGAGTGATCAGCCCGTCACTGTGCCCAGTTCCATCATCAGTTTTTGGACAGATTCGGACAATCGGCTGGTGTATGTGTGGGAAATAAGAAAGTGAGTCTACGTTTGCACATCCCTCACTACAATGAATCACGATGTGCAGATGCGGGTAGTACACCCGAGCAGGCATTCATGAGGGAGAATCTCTTCGAGAAAGAGTTGTACGTACTCGCACCTACGGCCGCCGTACACAAACTCCACACAGTGCGCAGTTGTGGGGGACTGTCTGAAGCGCACATGCGCTCGTGCACGAATTCTACTCATGGTCATTTTGTCCGACGATGGGCCATTTTTAACAGACTTGGAATGCACGATTGTCAAGAGACATTTTTGGCGAGTCTTCATTTTTTCCAATGATAAAATCAGCTAGCGGCCGGCAGATTATGAGCGGAGGAATAAAAACTTTTGTACGTAAAACAAGACAGAGACAGTCTCGAAGTTCCATGGGACAGCAATTTCGTGAAGCGCCGAGAGGGAAACCTTGAACACACATCATTGTAGCAAACTGCCGGGCCTCGCTTTGGACGTTTTAACGGTAGGCATTGGTGTTTTGGTTCTGTGGTGCGGGGCACTTCGAGTACAGCATTGCGTAAAGGAGTTCACAGTCATACAGACCCCAATGTTCGCGAGCATCTCGCCAGCGCCCAACGTTCTCGGTCAAAGTAAAGAGCTAAGGTAAGAGCGTAAAATTCGATTTGGTCATTCTTATGGACACATACCTGTTCTGCCTCATCTCCTCCTCCTCCTCAGTCACGTTCGAAGATCGGAGATCCTCAGTGTCATCACGACGGTCCACACTTTTTCCAGCTCTTCGAGAAATCGTGCTTGGTGCGGTGACGACGCCATCAGAACTGCGAACATGGGCTCCTGGGGGACTGTCAAAAGGAGGTGGGTCTTCCTCGGGACTGCTGGACATTCGTACGCGGTGGCTAATACTGTACGATGGAGAAAAAAAAGCCCTGACAGTTTTCGGTGTACTCTTGTCGCCCTCAATCTCAAAAAAGGAATCCCAAAGTGCCACAGCAAATATTTGACCGGTGGAGGTAGAAGACGAATACCGTCCAAGTACCGAGTTGACGAAAATCCTGCATTTTTTAACAAACACAATCTTACCAGTGAATAATCTCGCGGTATTTGGGTTTGTAAAGGGAGCAAAGACCCACCCCCCCCCTCCCTGCCTTCCCTGGAAATCGAGCGAATAGGTGGCAGGCGAAACACCGCAAAATTCACTACCCATGGTGCTGCGCATGTTCGACATGAATGACGACCCACTAAACACTAAGTAGAAAAGGTTACTCATGTCCCAGTGGAATATCTAAAAGCGTGTCGGTTTTCGATAGAGGGTTTCCGTCACCCATGACGAGGTTTTACATGTAGAAAAAAATTTGTCGGCTGACTGGTGCCTTTTTATGTAGCTTTTTTCAAAAACAGATATCTTCTAGGCTATAGCTTCACTAGGGCAATATCCTCGCGATGAGACGTCTGACGCTCGGTGCCGATACTTGAGCTGAATTTCACCAACGTCTGCAGAATGATCGCATTGTAGTGATGCTTGCAAATCTATCAGTAGCTCAGCCATACTCCCATTATGGGTACAAGCTAAAATTCCAGATACATGTGCTTTGTCGAGTCTCTTCTGCCGCCTGACCCGACTGCGTGGGTTCAGTTCCTCGGCAGATCACGCTACTTTCTCTACACAGAGTCTGGTGCATATAGTCTAGATATGAATGCATAATGAGAACCTCGTAGATAATTTGGCTTAAGCCTACAGGCATTTTTTTTTTAAAAAAGAAGTTACAAAAGCCAATCTACTGTTGTCGTTCTGTGGGGGATAACATGTGGCTAAGGACCCTGTTAAGAGGAAAAAATACTACCCTTAAGTAAGGTCCCACTTTAGGGAATATTTCCGGGCTTCGAATAAGCCTGCGCGGGTGCACATGGGCTATATGAGACCGTGAAAATATCATGCCGGTTTTGTCCGATGTATTTCAAGTTTTCACTTCAAGCCACGCCATGAGACCTATACAAATATTTTTCGTGGTAAACGCGTGGGAAATTTGACGGCGTGTAAGCAAGTAGGTCGTGTTCCAAAAACGCACGGGACTTTCTTAGAAAGAATTATTTCCTTTCAGGATTTACTGCACTTCAAAACCGCTACATTTTCCAAACACCCACCCGCGGGGCTTTTCTCAATGCCATTTAGTAGGAAGCAGCTGGGTGTGAAAAATACTCACTCCTCAGGTAGGCATGTCGCCCAGTAAGATCGGCACGTGCAACAGCAGAGACTCTCGACAGGAAGACCGCATCTAACAATATACGGAGTTGCTTTGCATTACGATATATACTACTTAGTGTCGCAAACCCCAGTCAGTAAGTTTTTAAAGGCACATTTTAAAACCTCAGTCTGGGCGAACGCCGCGTGCCTAGTTGCCAATTTCTTTGCCTGTAGCGCAGCTCGCAACAGTAGTAAAACATAAATGGGGAGTCATCTGCAAACGCCAGCACGGATGTAAGTCACTGCCTGGTACGAAAATGAGCATACAGACAGTTCTTGCAAGCCCTGCATTAGTAGACCCATGTGGCGCAAAGGTACTTGAAAAGAGACTTTCATAGCACAGTAAGCATCCTCCACTGTTAAACGCACCAACAGACGCTTATGGACTATCACTAGCCCGACGTGAGCCAGTATTGATTGACAATTGGCAAAAAGCCGTCCCAGAATTGTCTAGGCTGGAGCAGAAGCACGGGCGAAGGGACTAAAACCTGGCTGAAACTCGATGCGCTGGTAAAAAAAAGAGGACCGATATAGAAGGACTTCCTTTTGGTCAATAATCAGTACACAGGGAGCTGGCTACCGGCTCACTGTCGCCCATAAACGTCGACGGAGAGGACAGAGGCGTATACAGTGAGTGACCGATCTCACGCAACATTTGCCGAAATTCTGAAATGCGCATTTGCGTTGGGAAAGATTACTTAGGTAGATTTGTAATACTAATTGTCAGGCGGCACTTTTCTATAGTATTACGGACTTACCAGAATGTTGACTTTTAAACGCACTTCTTTGCGAGCTTCTGTATGTACTGAACTCGGTAAAAAAGAAACTGCTACTTAACAAGTAAGCAGTTTTCACAGATTTTCGATGGCCTTATATATCCAAATACGCTTTGTAGAAAACATGCACAAAATATTTCTTTTTGTGCCCATTTCTTAGCCATTCACGTCTTCGTATTTTGTGCTCGAGGAAAGGGTGCATCTCGGCTTTGAAAAAGTCTTCCAGTTAACGAATAATTTTGAGTGTGATTTGCCGTCGCACAAGCGTTTAGCGATCTCAGTCCACAGGGTGTATACTTTCCGCATAAGAAGAATCATACATTCCCCTATGTCTTTAAAAAGATACTAATTAGAGTTCACCAAATTTCCAACGGATGCGGACTATGTTGAGTACCTTATGTAGAGTATTAATAAACGAACAGGTACGATACTGCATGAATAAATAAAGTACGTCTTAAAATTTCATAATTAGAAATTTCTCCAAAGCCAAAAGGTACTCCTTCGAGTATAAAATGCGAGTATGACGCGATTTGCTAACAACCAAATAAAATAAACCATATTTTGTGCATGGTTCCCCTAAAACGTACTTGGATTTATAAGGCCATCGAAAATATGTGCAAAAAGGCAGTGCTTACGTAGCCATCTTTTGTCAATTACAGTTTTCACATATCAAAAAGGTGCACTTAAAAGCCAACATACTGGCGAGTCCGAAATATCATGGGATTATGCCACAAGACAATTAGTACTACAGCCCCACCTACGTAATCCTTCATAATCGAAAACGTATGTTAGTTTCTGCCAACATTTTATGATATCGGCCACCCACTGTAGTAGGATAACAACCTGGGGGCAAAATAACTCAACTTGGCCATAAAGATAGTCAAGACCAACGAACCCTCCAGGCTCATCGAAGATCAAAAAGTTGTGGGTTAAAAGCCCCAAACTAGTTCAATGGGCACAAAAACTATCCTGAACAGTAACACCTTACAGGTTAAAGAGAAGCGATTGCGAGGAGCAAATCTGTCCCATATTTCTTTCACTGTCAAACCGGTTCTTGTGGTTTTCTAGTGCAGATCGCCTGTCGCGATGCGCTGCAATATGAGCAACCTGGAAAGCGCAATCTAAAGATACCTTAATGACCTACGTACGACTCTACCCAACAAAACCAAAACACCGAAGACCAGAACCGTTACTGCAGGGGAGCGGGACGACAGTGCTGTTGGAACTGGAAAGAGGAAAACCAAAAGTTGCGTATCAGCCCGCGAAAGACGGGGCCCAGCTATTACTTTATGGAGTTTCCACAGCTTTGCGTCAAATTATGCACCACCCGATTGATGAGAACACTTTCCTCTTCCTATTAATTGTGACCACTGGGTATGCAGGTCAAAATTTGGCTAACTCAAGAGTGCACTTTCGTTGGGGACCCTAGCGTCCAAAACATTGGTAGATGTAGGTGGACAACTGTGACTACTACTCGTCAAGTCCTACGAGGACATCAGGGACCAGCCCTCACAACGCATGTTAAACCTGGTGGCATCCACAGGAAGTAGCGCCTGACGACTGCTGGAATATGACACTTCGACTTATAGCAGTTTCACTCGTAAAAGCGCATCTCACCGTGAAGGGACTGCAAACCGCATACCACCTATACCAGATCTTGCAGACGGGAAAGAAGCGCGCCTAGGCAGCGAAAACTGGCCAACTTAGAGTAGAAGTCCTGCGGGAAGAATAGAATGGGCACTTTCCCAAGTCGCGAGTCACATCGACTCATGAACATGATTCGCGCTGTCCGTTGGGTATCCGGAGGACCCTACGCGCAAGGTGATAGAATATTTTCACTGAAGTTCGTTAAACAGTTCCCGCGCTAAGCGGACGCCGCAACCTTAGCCGGCCGTTCTACTCTCTCTCTCTCTCACCTCCGGGTTCCGTAAAAATGACCATACACCAATTTCCCGCACCGTTCTACGAGACCAATTCGTGCGACTGTTTTGGTGTGGTTTATAGGTTACAACGACCTCCCATCCTTCGGTGAGCAACGTCAGCGCCGAAGGCTAGGAGGCTACGTACACGACCCCAGTTGCTGCTTTGTTCTTAGTCGTCGGTAGAGGTCGAAGATGAGGTGGACTTTGCAAAACGCCTTGAGCACTGAAAGCACTCTGACTGCTTGACCACAAAATTAATGCAACGAGTCATAACAAATAAAATCAACGCGATCAGCGTGCCCGCGCCCGCCACCCCTCTGTCGGATGCTTACTTAGATATTTGGGGGGTAACGTAAGGTGGTTGCAGCCGGTAGTCTGGATGGATGTCCTTCCCGGAACGGTGCCTACGATGACACCAGCGTCCAATCTTCGGGCACATGTACGAACAGCCGCTGGTCGCCATCTATCACAATGCGTGATGTTGCTGCAGTCAGTTGTAAGTCACAATAACACCTGCTCATGCAAGTGTTTACAGTTCCCTACAAACGACTTTCGTGAGTGGCATTCGCGACTGATGCAAGTCCTTTACTAACGACGTTGATATACAGGAGGCCTAAGACAACTTTACGCGTGCTTAGACGGTCGGAAATTGGTGGGTGGAGCCTATTGACAGCACAACTTATTTGTTTGGGAACAACGCTGCCGACCGGCAATTTTGATTTCGTCAGACCCAACGCCAGAGGCGATCGTGGTGCCAATACACTCTCGGAATCATCAGGATACCAAATCGGAGTCGGGTTTGCACGCCTGGGTCAGATAAGGAACCAAGGTAATAGGCAGTAAGAGTCCTCTGTACTGTTAAGCCTAGTTGTCAACGTCGAGCACAACGGAAATGCGCTAGGCCACTTCTACTTCGGGCGGAAAACACGTATGCACAGACGGAACACCGAAACGGAGCAAAGCAAAGCAACCAAAACATAGGCAACGGTTTCCTTTTTATTTAAGTACACAATGTGTTTGTAAATGTGGAGTTGGGCACAATACAGTGAGAAGACGAATGCTTTTCGCCATCCTCGGCAAAATTAACAAACAGCGTAAAATGTAGGAAATCACGTTTAAAAAGAATTAAACCATCTACACTCCTAAAGGTCTCGCAGACACGGGAGAAGTTTTTAGTCGGAAAGCCTGACTAGGTACTCTTCCAAAAGCAGGAGCCGTTGAGGATGCATTGAATCTAGAGCAGTGTACCGTTTGTCTTCCTAAAAAAAATATTCAGATGCATGCTGGAGACATACTTTCAATGTGCTGAGAACGTCATCCAAAAATGTATCCTCCTGAGACGACTGGCGCTTAGCCCTAGGAAAAAATAAATGAGAATAAAGTAGTTACTTTTGCAAAAGGAAAGACTTTTCCTTCAAAAGTTCCATAAAGTTGTCTTTGGCCTTGGACTCCATCTCATCTGACCAGTAGTTGAACTCATTCTCACATTTCTGAACCCAGGATATTTTTACTAGCGCGTTAACTTACGCGTTCGTTGGAAAGTAATTTTTCCAAGCGGGAGTCCTCCTGCAATTTTCGCTTAACTTCTTTCCATTTGCTCGAGAAAGTTATCTAAAGGTTATATGAGAAGAGGTAGAACCAGAAGAAGGAACCTACCGACTCACAATCATTGAAAAACTTGTATAGGATGTCCTTGGTCTTCTTTGAGAGGTTGTCGATGTGGGTCAAGAAAAGCTTTTCGCGCTCGGAGCGGGGGAGAATCTCACCAACAGACTCCCAACGACTATCTTTTCTGAGGATCTTTTTGCCTTCCTTCCACGATAGGCTATCGTCCTTGATTAAATCGACAAGAAGTGAGTGATAAGTGGACTCGGCGTCTGAACGCAAATGAGATTCCCGCTCCTTGTCTCTTTCAATCATTGTGTTTGAAAGGGCCTCCTTCACTTCCTTTTCCCGCTTCCGAATAGATGCCTCCTGGCGCTCACGCTTTTCTCTCTCTTTGCGAGCTTCGCTGTCTTCTCGAGCAGTGCTCTATGGATAAAGGCAAACATGGTAGGCGAGCTGACTAGAATACAAGTACGCAGTATGAAAAAAGAACAATATCGCGGGTATCGGTGAGAAAATATGGTGGCTAATCAGACCTATTCCTCAAATATGAGGGCAATTCAACTTAAGGATTGATTTTCGGCACTTTGGCCGAAGAAGCAATCATGTCTTACTGACCATGCTTCAACGAAGTAGCTGAAAACAACCGTTCTATGAAAGCTTTTGGATTCACAGAGAAAAAAATGCAATCTCTTGTAGTAATAAGGCCAGGTCAGATGTGGTCTGACATTCTGGTCGCACAACTGACAGAAGTTTCCCCGTTGAAGACGATGACCAGCTTCAGTTTGAATAAGAAGTGATGGTTTGCATGTGCTTCAGATTATTATGAGGAACGATCTCAGACACCCAGATCCTAGAATCGATTGCATGTCCAAAACTTTTGCAAAGACTGGGCATTCTCAGCTTTGGTTGGGCGGCCGAGCCATGAAGATGGCAATCCAAAGGATGTTAGCAAAGGAGACTACTGATCCGGTAGGAAGTTGCTACGAGTTCCCGTTGACAATGACGGAGGAGCCACTGTAAAAGCACGTATAATACCCCAGTGATATTCTTGGCACACAATAGACGAGAGCAGCGAGCCATCACAGAGAAGGGCGCATCGATCTTTGAATTAAACAAAAACAAGGAGTCAAGAAGTCAAGAACAACGCCGGCGTTCAACCGATTTCGATAGTCCCACTGCCAATTCATTCTAATACCGACACCATCAAAAACAACCACACCACGCCAATCCGTACCAAAGACGCCAAACAACTTCTCCCTGCCTGACAGTACTGTAAACGCACCTCCCGGGGTTGACCGACCAGTATGAACACTGCCGTGTCTCAAGGCCACCACTGTCCTTCTGTTAATCCTCAAACTCAGGGGATTGGTGGTTGGCAGGCTGAGTCCCGCTTAAACACAGAATACGCTGACTCCGTGCGAAAGGACTCCGAACCGTCTGCCTCATCCCGTGACTGCCGACATCAATGACAGTGACTGAGATAGTTGCGCAGCGTCACTGGAGTCCCAAACCACTGTCAACAGTAGTTATTCATTGAACCCAATTGTGAAAAACTCTGCGGTCTCGGTGAGATTTGAATCCACGACAGCATTGGCTGTACTCAAACCTTGCCCTTGTTGTTGTGAGTTCAAATTCCACCAAGGACGCCGATTTTTTCATAATTGGGTCAAATGAATTATTCAAACCTGCCAATAATCAATCAACTGTCGTTATGTTCGTGACATTCTGAAAGGAGGCTGAACCAGGAATTATTACAACTTTCGGTTGTACGGACAGAGCTCATTAGTCGTGTTCAAAAATAAAAGAGGTAGAATGAAATATGCAATCAAAAGAAAACGGACGGTTGTGGATACCTCTTCTAGTTTACGCACGTACTCCTTGAACCAATCTTCGCGTCGACTTGAAGAGTCGACTGCACGGTAACGAGGGTCGGAACCGATTTTCTTTTTTATGTCGGACCAGTGGGAATGCCGAGAAAGGTTTTTTTGTTCTTTCAGCAGACTTATAAAGTCGCTTTTAACCTGTAATGGGAAAATTTCAAGTGAACAGGTGATGCGCACAAAAGAAATTAATTAAGAGGCCACATTGCTGTTCAACATCCTCAGTTCATTCAGGCATCGAGCGGCCGCTCGTTAACGCGAGGATTTACCACAGGCCGTTACACCACTGTTTTCGTCTTCGACAAGACGCTGGTTACAAACCCGAACAGCTGAGATGGTCCATTCTGAGGCTGTGCGCGATAAAGTATGATTGTGCAGTCGGACTTGCTAATCAGTATTTAAGGTTTCTGCGCTGAACTTTGTCAGGCAGGAACTCGGGGTGAGTACAGTGGCCTCACTTTCGTCAGATTGCAGACAGCAGGCCAAAAATACAAAAAATAAGCACAACCGGCACGCCAGTTATTTCAACAGTGTATTGCTTTACCTTTCTAATCTCGGAAATTAATGCGCTAACTTGGAGTAAATCCTTCGAAACGAAATTTTTAAAGTTCGGACTGAAAAATAGGATAGGCCGGAATCCATCAGCTACAGCGGGATAGCCGCAAAAAATGGCGAAACACGTGTCTGGGTTTTTAACTAGTACCTGTGCAGTTAGCATGACTAATTACGCAATAAGTGTATTACTTTAAATTAACTTTTGTTACTCAAGAATGCAAGCTAGCAATTAGAGGGGGCCAGGAGAAGAGTAAGTCACATTCAATTTCTCACCCATGCTAAAGGACGACTGGGTCAGAAATGAGTTTCAGTGCCGCAACAAAGAGAAACTGTAGCATGTAAATAGGTTGTACTTAGTGAAAATGCAGTTTTTCCTCCAATGAGAAAAATTGACGACGGCCGACCAGTAAGAGACTGATATAGCGGACAACCAAGCCAGTAAAATAGCCAAGTGAAAGAGGCTTTCTCGGTCGGGAATAGCAAAAGTAGGGATAATTAGTTTCACAACTTCACTAATTGCTGAAAGTTCTTTTTTAAATGGTCAGAATGGGGGTCTTTTAGCCTGTTTGGTTTTTTACTCCCCACCTTTAACATCCCTGTGACAACCTAATTGAACAAGCGCCCGATGACCGTAAATTCATTAGAAAGGATTGCTTGGCGCAGTAGTGCTTAAGAGTTATATGAATGTCTGGAAATCTGATGGAGGTTAAAAGTCAAATTATTTACTTAAAAGTAAATCCCAACTACCGGAGGTTAGGTTTGCAATCAATGCAGGCAAAAAGATTTGGGCTATTAGGCGAATAAGGCGGTGTATGGAGTAACCGCTCGGGTTTCTCTAGTAAACCTTTAGTAAAGTGGGCACCCCGATAATTACAGTGGGGAAATTTTTAACTCAAAAATTAGACATATACCCTACCCTAAGGGGGAAGTACAGCGCGAAAGTCGCAGACAGTACAACTTAGCAACAACATAACCTGTTAGAAGTTTAATGACCCGATCTGACATTCAATCTGTCACGGCAAGAGTACAGCCACCAAAAATTTTAGTGAACGATGAAGACCTAAGCAGACATGTCGCGGATTCGATTGCATATACGATCATTGGTTTAAACAAACCTGCTATAGATGGCGTTATCTTCCATGCGATCGGTTCGGGTTGCTTCCGCCGATGTCACGGGTCAGGTGAACAGATCAATGAAAGAACACCAAAGGTCCTGCGAACGCCTATCTGTTGTACAGTAGACTTGATTATGCATAGCCCGCAATCAGGACTGTGAAAGCCCCAACGGGAGTGCCGGAAACTAATCGGTCGTTAAATTGTGCGAGCTGTAGTGCGTCAAAAAGGCAGTTCGTGATATCTATTGCATTATCTTAAATGTCAAGTTAAAAGTTTTTTTAAACGAAACAGCGTTTTATACGGATTCGTGAGGCGGTTTCGGACGGCTAATTATTTTGGACAAAATAGGCATGCACTGTCACGCAAGATAAGCTTTGCTTAAGCCAAACTTGACATACACCAAATAATCCTGCAGTAAGCGCCAGTACGCGGACGGCACAAAATCCATGACTCCAGCCAAATAGACCTGTAATGATTCTCCAGAAGTTTCTGAAAGAAAGCCGATTTTAGTAACCATAAATTTAGTTGTTAGTAGAAACTAGCTTGGGAATGCCTTCAAAGACTTCCATACGTAGTAGGCAAAAAGGCTGCGGGCCGAGGTGTTTGGTTTTGAAAATTAGACAAACTACAGTGGGACCACTAGTTTTCAAGAATCCAAACGAGGTTAAGTAAGTTAGGAATTAATGCTTAGCTTCGTGGACTAAGATGTCCGAATAAATTTGACGAAGAATTTAGCACCTGAGCGTTACCTGGAGAGGTTTGCGTAATGAACGGTACTATGTTGAATCAAGGTTTTTCCATAACAAATGAAACGTACTTGAGCACCAGTACATCTGTCCGAAAGGCAACTTAAAACAGCGAGAAACGGTGCTACTAAATTTACGAGCTGGCACGTTGCAGCCTTTAAAATGTACGTACGTTTCAAACAACAGATTTCTGATTAGGCTATATGCTGCAGTCAAATAGTTATAGTTAAAAAAAGAAAATATTATAGAAGCCGCTTTAGTAAGTAGAAGTCAGTCACCATGTTCCAAAGCCTTCACATACGGACACAAGGGGTACTTACTACTTAATTCCTGACCTGTGTAACGGTGTGAGGGCGTGAAAAATGGGCTGAGTACGAGGGCACAGTCATCAACTGCAGATCCGCCTCCCAAGTCTGTAGAACACCCGCAAGAACGCCAAATCATTCGGGCAAAACTACCGGCCCTTTGGCATCTGAAGGAGTCGCACTTCTTGCCATGGTGGTAGTTTAAGAAGCCCAAGACCCGAAAGCTGCATAAGCGCATATTGGTCTTCGAAGCATCCCGATAACCAGTTGAGAGTATTAAGGCAAATTACAGAGCATGCACAACACAACTAAGGCCCGCGAGAAAGGCCAATTTGGCCGATGAAAGGAAGAGCAATAACATTTAATAAACTTCGCAAGCCACAATGATAGTTCTTTTTCCAGCACTTTTGGCTAGGAGAATAGTAAAATGTAAAAAGGGACAATGGTTGGTAGCTTTTTGTTTATGCTTTCTAACCATGTTTACTTTCAACAATGGTGTAAAACCAAATTAATATACTGAATTGAGCCAGGGTTAATTTTTTCGATGTCGGAAGCTACAGTCAAATGGTGACGTACAGTATATTGAGAGCAAACTTGGGAAAGGACTTCGGGTGAAAAATTTAAAATTTAGCGATGTGGCGGAAGTTGCATCTAAGCCGCCTTTAACAGACAAAAACGACCTCAAAAATGCCTAGGTGTTAGATGGGTGACTACACAACTAAGACGGTGGAAATCACAACTTCTCCTAGACTGTGGGCATTAAAACTTTACGAACCGCCTACAATAAATGCGGATGAGCGTAATCCTACTGATTTTATACAACGCAAATGACAATTACTATAGCAGATGGACGGCTATGCTTCTGACAGCCGACAGGTTGTTCTCGGCAGTGTTCCCATTTTGCTAAGCCAGTTTTACTAACTTTTCCGGATAGAAGAATACGTACCTTCTCTTTCTGATTGTGCTTCTCTTCTTCACGAAGACGTAGGTCTGATATGAATTCTTGGAACAGGCTTTCACGCTCACGCATTTTTTCAATGCCCTTGAATCGCTCGTCTTTGGCGTATTTTGAAGAGAAATCCGAGAACGAAGATCTGGCAAGTACGAAAAACAAGGGGATCGATAAGAAAAAAAACCAAAAGCGTTTTTGACCTTTTGCCTGAAATATGGCGTTAATCCAACAACTTGTGAAAAAAATATGTTTTCTACGCACAGCTAGCTGCAGTTTCAAGTACACCTGAGTATATTTTACGAGGGCACATTTCTTATAAGTGGAGGAAATTCTTTAAAATGTAAATGTAGCAGAACTCGGCCAACTTGAATTACGTACTTGGAAGAGAGATTTGCTTCCTGGAGTAGTTCAGTAAATCTTTCCCTCTTCTCCTTCAGTTTGTTCTTCTTTTCCCTTCTTTCCTCGTCGGCTCGTTCCTTAACGAAAGATTCGAAGGTTTGTTTTCTCTCTCTGCTGGTGAGAAGAAGGTACCGTCGATCGAAAACTATTTTATGAAGCTCCTTTTCCCAAGTCGAAAAGGCGGATACCTAGGCAAAGAGTCAAATTTGGCCTCTAAGTAGGATGACGCTCCGTATGTAGGCACATTGAATGTAACACAGCAGTAACGGTTGTATGACCTGACACAAACTTAAGACGTCATATATACCTGCTTTTCAATCAACATCTCCCGGAACTGTTTCATGCGAACTTCCAGTGGTAGCAGAGCTCTTTCACGAGCAGCACGCTCCTCAGCCTCCTTGGCAGTTTCCATTCCTGTGGAGATATTTTCGCTACTTTGTGATTTGTCGGAATCGACAACCATGGTATCTGTTGAAGTCGGCTTTTCGTTCGCAGCTGCTTCCTCTGATTCGCTACGTTTGGCAGCTGTCTGGTCCGGGGATTCTTCCACCTCTCTAAAATATGTACGCAAAGTAAAGTTCAGGTTTAACCCAATGTCTGTGAAAACTGAAAGGACCGGCGAATGTTCAAACAGACGAATTACGCATCGACAGTAAGGACCCTATGCTTATGCGAAACTGTTGAGGACCTAATTACTTTCCTTAGGAAGAGGGCACGTGAACTTTCGCGTACTTTAAATGAATGCGCGTTCAAGCAACATGCGTTGCAGCCTCCGTTGACCACTGATACTTGCGACTTATGATAAAACTGAAAACTGTGGGCTAATAACAGGTAGGAGAAGCCCATAACTCACAATTTCATCTTCTTTGCGGGTGGGTCATCCAAATCATCCGATTTGGCAGAGGCTTCGGCTTTGTTTCGCTGAACCATTTGATTTTCTTTCTCCTCCACGGTCTCCGTGGGTTCAGTTGTTTTCGTTTCGTTGGGAGGTCTCTCAAGAAGCTTCTCGACATCAGCACGGCCCTTAAGTTCATCCGGTGTTTCCCACACGCTAGAGCGCTGGCTGGGGTTAAAAAAGAACACTCGGCCATCACCCGTCCAGACAACACACCAAGGTGTGCCGCTGACTGGTGTGCTGGATATTGGACGGCTGGCATCCTTCTCTTCCTCCTCCTTAGTTTTCTTTGTCTGTTCTTCAGTTGAAGAGTTGGCCTCTTTCTCAGAGGCAGGAGCCTCACTTGCGCTGGACTGAACAGAACCACTCTGCACAACCGGCTTGGGCGAATCCTGAAAACAAATCTCCGGTTATCTACTGTGATGCAGAGTGAAACAGGTCATTAAAGCGCGCACTTGTTCAAAATAATTCTATGGAGCCAGCAAAGTAAAAACCAGGTAATGGATGGCGTATGCTTATGAAAAAGTTACGTATCGAGTAAACGCAAAGGTCCTCACCTTGACTTGTGCGTTTTGTGTGGATACTGTAGTAGTATCTGGCGTTTTCGCTGAAGTGCTCGAACTTCCGATAGTACCTATCAAAAATGTGACCGGTAAGTAATATCAACCCAAAGGCCGCTATAAAAAAACTGAAATTCGTAACCAACTGACAACTGGTATGGATTGGTAGCTTACTTTCCCAATCGACTAGCACTTTCGGCTTTTCCCACGTTGTCTCGCCGGTTCGCGAGTTGTGATAGTATGCCTTTCCTTCACCGCTCTTGTATTCCGTCCAAGCAGCAACTTCCGGTGGTTTTACGGGTGTAGGAGTAGCTGATATCGCCGCGGGTGTTTGGATAGTTGCTTGTGTTGGAGTAGCAAGAGTTGTTACTGGTTGTGTAACGGATGAATTCGAGTCTTTCTCGACTTCTCCTTGGCGAACAACTGTAACGCCTTCAGGTCGGTCCCATCTAGTTTCTCTCGTACGCATGTTATAATAATAATTCTTTCCATCTGCTGTCGAATTTTCTACCCAAATATCTTCTTGTTTTACAGTACCCTGCTGTCCGAGGCTAGGGTGAAGAGCCATCTGGCCACCAGTACTTGGAGGCATTAATCCCGGCATAGGATGCATCATGCTAGGTCCCGGAATCCCACCGAACCCTGGTGCAGCTGCTGAAGGCATATGTAATGCTCCAGGAGGAGGCATACCATACATATTCATACCAGGCATCATGTTTGGCTGACCGGGCTGCATAAATGGAGGCATAAATGGTGGGGGAACGCCCGACATATGCATTCCTGGGTAACACATACTTGGTGGTCCAAACTGAGTAGCATGCATGGGGTAAGAGAGGGGAGGAACTGTGGAGGTAAGTAACGGTGGTTGACTAGTAGCAGTAGTAGAAATCGCCGACTGGCCGTTATATTCTGATTCCGATGTGATAGTGTTAACTTGAGAGCCATTTGAAGGGTTCGGAGTTATTGGATTCGAAGCCGATGAACTAGTGGGCAAAAACGAAGAGTTAGGTGGTGCAGCAAGTATGCCAGACTGGGGGCCGGCTGGTGATGCATTCGGGACGGGACACGGAGCAAGACCCGAAGACGTGGAAGAAACGACACCTGGAACCGGTTGAGAAGTAGGTGCAGCGAAGCCCCCAGGCGGTTGGTCGGGTACTGTTCCCTGCAAACCGTGTGGCGGTGGTCCACGGTGGGGTGTGTTAGGTCCGCTTGACTGAGTCATTAGACAGGGAGGCACACCGGACGGTGCGGCACTTGTTTGGGCTGAAAAGAAGGAATGACATCGTTCAAGAATTGGGTAGTGGAATTATCATATCTGGTTGTGAAGGAAGTTAAGATAACGAAACTTACCATCGAAGTGACCGGGCTGTGGGACCTGCGGCTCGGGAGACTGCGGATAATGAGGGGGAGGAACTCCTCTAGGCTGTTGCATATAGCCTTGAGGCATTGGCCCGGGAAGTGGGAGGCTAGGCTGTCGAGGAGGAACACCAAAGTTTGCCGACGGGGCAGTCGGGGGAGGATACATAGATGAATTGCCTCCTGGAGGACCAAACATCGGAGGTCTCATGTCTGGCTGTGGTCCGTTTCCCCTAATTCCAGGAGGAGGGCCGCCATTCATCATTGGCCTTTGGCCAGGAGGACCACTGAGGAACGGAGGTGCATACCCTGGACCCCTTGGTGGTCCGTTCCAGGCTGGTCCTCGTGGCCGCATGCCAGGAGGCATATACGAGAACTCTTCATTGTAAGGCTCTTCCATGTCAGCGAAACCTTCGGGATGATCGGGGTTCATTTCGGACATATCAGTGTCTTCACTACCAAGTGGGTATCTTGGTGGGTGAGCTGCATATCGAGGAGGCGGTGGGCCCCTAATTCTGTTTGGTGGTCCATCAAATGGAGGGCCTGGAGGTCCATCGAAAGGTCTCGGTGGTCCCCGAAAACCAGGCATTCCCGGAGGACGCATTGGAGGGCCACCTCTGAAACATCAAAGGCAAATAACTTATCAGCCTACCTCATGGAGCCCGGCATACCCATCGGCATCGGTCGAGGGCCACGCATGTTTGGGTTCCGGAATCCCATTGGGGGCATAGGTCTCATAGCAGGCCTGAACTGATGAGGCATGCCGGGAGGTCCAGGTGGCCTACGACCAAAATATGGGTAATGATATTGTGTAGGCCTGGCAAATCAATTCTTGAATGAGCTTGTAAGAGGACTAGCTGAACTGTATATATCAACGAGAACGGATCCAGGGGGGGTGAGTGCTCAGTCAGCAAAAGGTACTGATTGCCCGGTCGTCATTATCAACAGGAAAAGCCATCCAATTTAAAAACCAGGACAAACACCTATTTGGATGGATTTATATGCCGGGATAACGCATTTACGAGTTCATCTATGATAGTTCAACCATAAAATTAACAAATGTCACGTCCATTTAGATAATTCGTTCAATGAAAATACACTAAGAATCTAGGTGAGCAAAAAAACGGGGACATTGCGGTTGCCTAGGGTTTATCTAAGAGAGGTCCAACGATTTATTAAACATGTGGTAGGCGACAAGTCTACTGTCTCTCAGTTAACTCGTACTAAATACGCATCGGAAACTGAAAATGCCAGAATTAGTTGGCTTTGTTGTTGTATGTTCGGGGAAAACATGTTATAAGTAAAAATAACACTGAAATACCTGAGAGGCGGTCGTTGGGGCTTTGATTGCGGGCTGGAAGGCGCGTTATCTGGCCCAGTAGCATCGTGGCAGTCCACGGTCGCAACTTGAGCATCGTCAGCCATCTCTTTGCGTTGTAGGCGATTGCCACCGCTGTGCAGTAAAACAAACCAAGTGATGCATAACTCCCACAACCCCGAGTTTCAATTTGGTATGTGTTTAACTATTTATGTAACTTTATAAGAGACCTCGAATGTACGACTAGTGTATTGCTCGCGTCGAAGAGACGCACGAAAGCCAGCTGAGGGCGCAGTAGGATAGGCAGAAACAATCTGCGAAAATGAATAGCTAACGAACACAGCCTTTCATAGATAGTTTATTTGAAAGCAGACGCCTCGTACTCTGTTGAAAATCCGCCAGTTTTTCCAATCTGCATATAGTTGTCCTATATTTTCCTGAGAATATTCGGGATGGGCTCGTGTTGGATCTCTGACAGTTGCATGCCAATCACGATTAGGACAACTGACTCTCCGTAGTTGGTGACGACCAGTAAATATGGACAGAAAAATGACGTTATGCGAGCCTCGGCAAACTCTACTCCCTTTCCTCAGGGGTTTTACTTAAACTTTTCGGTTTCATTGCTGCCGAGAAGCCCTCGCAACTCCACAAAAACGAGTCATATGTAAAACCAAAGTTGGGGCCAGTGTAGGACCGCCAGATACCTCTGAATAACTTTTCAAATTTCGACAGGAAATCGCGCGGAGGCGAAATATAAGCTAAGTATCGCGGGATTAACATAGAACCAGAAGGGGTTTTGGGGCTGGACAGGCAAAAGCGGAATGAGCTGCAATGCATGCGAACGGTGCGACAAAACCACCGAAACCTACACCACAGGCGAAAAAGAGAAAAATAGAACGAAGCGGGACAAAGTGGGCAAAACAGCGCATACGTCGGCAGTTGTCAGAGCGTGAAAATAGAACAAATGGCGAGCATATAGCAGTGATAGCGCAAATGAAAACGGATGTTTTTACAATTGTTAGGATGAAAGCCAAGGCGTACGGGCTTTTTAAACGTATTGCTAATAGCCTTGAAAAATACACTGAAATTAAAGCGCCCTGCAAAGTTCATGGCAATACACAGCAGTTCATAACATGTTTAAAGAGTGCCCGCCTGAAACTGAAACGAACTATCGACTGTCTCCCTTTGAATGCAAGCTATCTACTCAAACTTGTAATTCTTGAACCATCTTGGCCTCAACAAGCTAGCGGTAGGTTGCAAAAACACACCTGTTCCACTCGAGCATTCCTTTGAAACCTGAAATGGTTTGTGCAAAACTCTCGATTAACGTATATATGGCTAGTTTTAAGATCAAATTGCATTTCAACTCGGCTTTATCTTTTAATATTTTACAGGTTTGTAAAATGTAAGCCCATTATCGCCCCACCGGTAGCCTTACAAGTTATAGTCCGCTGAGTTTCCCCCATATTTCGATAACCAATAGTGTATACAAGCGCATTTGCCTGGTTTTTGACTAACCGGAATCTTTCATTTCCCTTGTTGGCAATGGAAATGACGCCGTCAAGCGACGATCGAGACGCAGCCCGGTGAATGTAGCATGTAGTGCACGAAAGTTTTCCTGTTCTGTGATGGAAGCGACGACAAACGGCAAAATTTTGTTCACAAGTCATGGTGGCAGCTCCTGTGCATTGGTTGTGTTGTTCTACACTAACTGAAGATCAAGCTGACATCGCAGCAGGTCTACTTTACTTGACGACCTCATCAAATGACAACACACAGATGAATTTCTAAATCAAGCTGAAAGCTGCTTCCGAGAAACTTGGATTCTTGTAAACTCACTCCGAAGTTCGGTCGCTCAGAACATTCATAATCCCGAACAAGATTCGTCAAGATTGAGGCCGGTTTCCTGTTTATTCGCCTGATGTTTTAGGTCTTCACTCAATGTCAGAATCAGAGACAAATTCAGGTAAGGGCAATGAGTCCACGGGAATTGCAATATTTATAGGACGCAGTTGCTATGTCATTGCCTGCCTACCAAACTTGGCAGCTCCCGCATGAATCGCAGATAGTGTCATGTGGTGCGAAGATTGCCTAGTTGGCTTGGTGTTGCAGTAGCCATTGGTCATGGCCATACATTTTAGCAAACTTTGGCGGCCTCCGCATCCATAATAGTAGCAATTAGATTTAATGTCAGTTTACAGGTATTTTCAAAGAACGATAAAGCACGGATCAGGGCAAGTGTACAAAACTCCTTAAGAATTAGTACAGAGAATGGTGTTTTTGTAGTTCGGAGGTTACAGGAGAAAAAAAACTGCAGTCAATGAAATGACGACAGTCGTGAAAGGTATGGGTAGCACTGCATCGAACATTATCAGTCGCCAATCCTATTCATGAAGTTGGGACTGGGCCAAACAGTAGCCCTGAAGGTCAGCTGTCGCTGTTAGCTAACGAAATTGTCCTTGGTGAGAGCAGACATAGAGATCAGAGACCACGAAAGCCGTCGCTACGGTATATTCTACCGGTGGATTCAGCACCCGAAATTCGTGGGAGCTTTTCTGAATGAAAAAACGAGTAACGGTTCTCTTAAACAAAGGATAATTTTGCAGACTTTTCAAATTACTGGGTAATTTATTCCAAATAGCAACTGCGTTCACAGAAAACAACCGACGATATTTCACGGTACGCTCCACAGGAAGAAATAAAAAGACCTCACGGTGGCTGTTACGTCGGGGGTGGACAAGATGTTTTAAAGTAGTAAGCGGGTTGAAGGTACAACTATATAAAAGCCTAAATAGTAAAGATAGTCCCTTTTGTAGTCGAAAAACCACAGGGGGTCAAGGCCTGTAAGCCAGCAATGTTCTTGGTAAGACAGATTCCGGTGTTTCGGGGTTAAAAATGTTGGACGGAGTCTATTTTCTTCCGCTCAGCAGCATTCATAAGGCTAAATAAAAATGAACGGTATTTTAGTCCAAGTCTAACGTACATGTTATAAAGGCGCATTATAGTAGCGCAAGTTTTAAAGTTTTGGAGGACAAGCCCGCTCGTTCTCCATGCTTTGGAGTCTATCGGGGTGCAGTGCTTCGAAAGATTAAGAACCTTGGAGTATGATACACCCAGATCCCTAATAACCCCATGCCCGTTTATATTATTATCGTTAATACTTATTTGAGGTCGGTGGTTATCGCCAATCACCATGATTGTGCATTTATGCCAAGAAAGAGAAAGGCGCCACGTGCGGCACCACTGAGCGAAGGCCTGTAGGTGCTCGAGCACGATGTCATAATCTGCTGGTTTATATCAATATGAAACTTTCAAAGCATCGGTATGCATGAGGGGTTCGCCATTCTGAAAGAAATCTGGCTTGTCGTTGACAAACAGACAAAATAATGGCGGACCGAGTACACTGCCCCGAATGACTCCACTTCCCACACATGTGGATTTGGAGATAGCATTAGAAATCTTCACCCGTTGTGTGCGAGCGCCCAGGTAAGAGGATATAAAATTTGGAAGTTTGCCATCTATTCTGAAAGAGGAAGGTTTCAGGCGAAAAAGATCATGGTCAACACGATCAAATGACGTAGACTGGCCATGCTTGGGAATGGGCAAAATTGACGACTCCTTCCATAAAGTTGGATAGGTGAACTTTCGAGGGCGAGATTGGATATCTTGGACAGGAGTGACGGGAAAATTTCATTTGCATTCGATTGTAGGATGATAACGGTGACACCATCGGGCCCAGGGCTATGAGATTAACGCAAACGCCGAATGACTACAGTCACGTCCCACAGGGTGCAAGTTATAATTTCGATAAGTGCTCCGGTCCAAACGTGGATGCTCAGAAGCATGGCGGTCGCGTTTTGAATAGAAGTGTTGAATAAAAGTTTTGGATAGAAAAGCATTTAAACTATCTGCAGTCAACTGGACATCAGCTATAGGATTTCTGAAAGCTCCCGGAGGGCGAGATACTGCGTCTTTCTATGAGTTAGTATTTTTCGGATGGAAAGTTTCGAGACATTTAACGAACGGTTTTTGGTGAACTAGACCTCTTCGGTTAGCTGTTATTCATCGAACAACCTTCTTGCTCGCTAAAAACCGAGGGCAGAAGGGAAACACTGTTCTGAAGATGGAATCGACGAGAAAGTCTGCGCAACCTGCGGCGAAAAGGTAAGGGTAAGAAAATCTTACACCGACATTAATTATTTTCCTACGAGGGACAAAACGAGAAATAGGCGGGTCCGAAATATCGTGCAGTTTATCAGTGCAAACTTTACATCCGAACCTGGGAAAAAATCAGCCCAATCGAAGGAATTAAGGTTTGTTAATTCTTCGGTTGAGCGAGCTGATTGCAAATCGCGAAAAACCCTATATTTGGGAAAAAATGTTTCAGCCTCGAGTTCTAACGTTGAAACAACTATGTCATTGTCTGAGCTCCCGAGTGGGCCTGGGGATGACAATGAGAAGGTTATAAAACCTCCACAGAACATTAGGCCAAGTATGCTTGACCCTCGGCTGGGAAAATCGACAACCTGACTCCACATCCAAGCATCCACAGCCTCAAGATAGCCTTCGAACTTTTTGTGGCCGGAAGGCGGAGACCAGCGGAGTTCAGGAAGGTTGAATTCACTCACAACCAACTTATACTTAAAGCTTGAGTCGACCGCAGCATGAAATGCCCGTGAGAGTAAACGATCAAAAATTTCACTAGCGTTGGGAGGGCGACAGACGCAGCCAACGGGCAAAGAGAACTTATTTTTTAAAGCAACTTGGAGCCAACAGCTGTCGTCTACCGCGGAAAAATGCGGGAGGTCCAGCGGTAGAAATGCAAGTGTTTGCTTAACGTAGATGCAGCTCCCTTACCACGGCTCTCTTGACGATCATTTCCAATGCAAGTATAGCCTAGAAGAGGGAGTTCGGAGTCAGCTATGGAAGTCGATGCCTATGTCTCAGTTACTATGACAGTATCTGGGCAGTGTATAAACACCAGAGTCTGAAACTAAGACATCTTATTTAGCAAGCAGCTGGCATTTAGAACAAAAAGTGTAAGGGGAAAGACTATTTGTTTCTGAGGGAGGCGGGCTACGTCGTCCAGTGGCTGACTGCCCACGGAAAATACTGTCCGGATGTACCTATCCGGATCGGCAAAAAATTCAGTGGCAAAAAAGGACCCTGACGCGAACAAAGGGGAGTAGGACTTGGGGGAAGAAGTGACTGGCAGGGAAACTGGTGACCATTGTTAGCTAGTTCATTTTCGGCTGGAAATTCACGGCTGGATACTGTAACGTATTCTTCCGGAGTGAAACTGAGGAACAAGTGAGTTAACTGGCTTAAGATAGACATTAGCATGAGGAATGCATTGGTAAAACAGCCGTGGAGGGAACATGTTGGGGGTGGGGGACGCACTGTTTCGATTGAGGCAGGAATTCTATTCAAAGACGGGAATGTGGGCATATTCGACTTGACCGTTTCAGTATGAGTTCTGGGGAGGGGGGGGGTAGTTGGAAGCAGGTTGTGTTTGGGGCTGTGGAGGTTGAGGGAGTGGTTGGCGATTGTGGAAGGAAAGACTTCTTAGGGGAACTGGATTTACCCAATGTACGTGTGACTGAGACTGCATTCGGACTCGTCTTTGAGTTGGGCACATGCTTTGGTTTATTAGGGGTTGCTGGATGAGTCGGTAGGGCTGTTTGTATACCGGGCTGACAGATTAAACAAGACGTATTTAATTTGCCTGTTGGTCGCTTAACTTCTACTCTCCTGCACATTTCCGTTTTGATTCGCATTTTTCGGTAGGCAGAGCCTCGGTCTCCCTCGAAGTTCTGAGATCCTGGATAACGGAGAGACCAGTTGGTTTGATAGTTCATTCAGGACTTTTGCGAACACGCCGTCCGGACCAGAGGATTTAGTGGGCTGTAGTTGACTCAAAGCTTTCCTCATCATGTCTCTTGCGAGGTCCACCGTGTTAATTGTATTTCCTGATTTAACCATTTGGGGGTAAACTCTTTCATCAAAAGCTGGCTCCTTGGTATACACAGACGTGAAGGAATCGGACAACAGGTTAACCTTATGTGAAATGTCAGACAAAGTATTTCCCTGGCGACCTTTTAGACTGGGAATGCAGTCCCGGTTGTGTTTCGCCTTATTCACGAATCCAAAGAAATTTTTGGAATTTTGCGGGATATTTTTTAGATGTTTTGACTGAAATACTGCCCGTTCCCTCCTCAGCAGATTCCGACATACATTACCCTGTTTTCAGAAGTCAACGAAATGTTCTGGTTGTTGACATCTAGCTTACTTTTTCATAAGTGTCCTTTTCAATTTAAGGTTATTTATTTCTGACGTCACCCACTCTGGTGGGGAAGTGCGCGGTTTCCTCTTACGTGGGCAGCAGCTTTCTACCAAGTGTTGCATTATGTTCTTGAATAAGAGCCAATCGCTTTCTGGGTCAGGTGCATTGGCAGCATTCCATTTCGCATTCTGTAGTAGATTTTTCATTCGGGGAAAATCTCCTTCCCATACATTTCTTTCCTCAGCAGCTCGGATTTCGTTTACAGAAAAATGACTATACTCCCAAACAAGAACGCTGTAGTCACTTCGGCCAAGGGGCGTGTGTGATTCCAATCCGAGAATGCAACTATCATCCCAAGTGATGATGAGGTCCAAACAACTGGACTGCTGTCCATCTCTGAATCGAGTGTCCACTTTAGCACTTTTGGTAAGGAACTCATTTGTGATAAGTTGAATACATTTCTGTTCGAAGGAGTTTTCTGATCGCGTGCAATGCATCAAATCCCACTCTGTCTGGACAGTTGAAATCACTAAGTAGCATTATGTGTTTGCTTTGACAAATTTCTTTTATCTCGCTGGTGAGTGCATCGTCCGCGTCCGTCCGCTGGCCAGGCGGTCATTAAACCAGGGCCATATGCAGGCTTGGATGGTTTGGCAATTTCAAGTAACAAATGAGAATTTCACAATCAATGTTCCGAAATGGAGAAAGCTAAACTCTAACGTAGTCGATGCCATCCTGCGTAACTATCGCATTCCCCCACCCTTTCCTTCGTTTTGGTCAATTCTGAGAAGCTGAAAACCAGATAGCAAAACTTCCGCATCTTTTATCTGTGCATTTAACCATGTTTCTGTTAAAGCCATCAAGTCGGGTTTGAAATGGGCCACAGTAAGTTTTATTTGGTCCAATTCGTTTAATAAACTCTGCACACTTGTGTACATCATTTTTATATCATTCGGTTGCTTAGATCTCCGGAAATTGTTTGTTAGTGCTTTTGACTGATGGTTACTACTGCATATTTCACTTGGCGTACCAAGTCCACTAGTCGATTTTGAATTTACGGAGAAGTTTGTCGGAACCGAGCGCCGGTGCTTTTACCGTCAATGTCACCGGATGATTCCACAAAAAGGAGCGCTCTTTTTTCACAATTTGGTTGTTAACTATTTTTAGATTCACTTCGCCCTCGCTCTGACGTTTTCTCAGTTCCGCTTCCAGCGTCCTCATTTTTATCCGTTCGATTGGGTGATAGACCGGCTGAAAAAAACACTTCACGATGGTTGTTTCGAAGTCTGAACTTTCGCGACAAGATGAGATCTGCTTGCCGTTCGTTTCCCAATACGAATTTTGGTGGTCTCTTCAGAGAGGTTAGTTAAGGACACATCGCGTTTTGTGGAGGCGAAAATGCATAGACTGAAAAAGTCGAAAAAATCGAAAATTTCTGCCGAGAGACCGTGGAAAGCAAAACCACAAGCAGAGAGGTAGACACGAACGGGTGCGGTAATTTGGAGGCGTCGTCCTAAGCATCTGATGGTCCTTTTCGAAGTGTTGGAAGAGGCTTCTAGGGAAAAATGAGAAAAATAAAACGCTAGTCGTATCATTGTTAAAATAAAAGCATAGTCTTCTCTTAAGAGAAAATAACTTATTTGACGATCTAATATTGACCGGGAGGTTATTGCAAAGAACGTTATACCTGGAAACCAAGAAGAAAGAGCATTAAGAGGTGGGGAAGGGGGAGGAAGTATACTCAAGAAAGGAAGACATGAGAATAACAAACATACATTGAAGTCTCAATTTGAGTTCACGAAAGTAGAGATTATAAGCAAAAAACAGCAAGCGTGGACAGCTTTATCCGTAAGTCTATCGCATGGGGCAAGATTGCTGGTGTAGTTTAAAGCCATGTTCCTGATGGTGGAACATTCAGTCATAGGGATGCCTTGAAAAATCACTAGTTAGGGTAGTCTATCCTGTCCAAAACACACACACAGCGACATTTGTTAGGAGAGAATTCTATTATGTTGACACGATCGTTGGGACAAGAGTTTTATTAGGCTGAAGGGTAACTAATTTGAGATGGAACCGAATACCTCAGTTACCTAGAAATAATACCTACTCTATTTATTTGAGTAAGTTATAGCCATACATATTTGTTTTTTCATCCTTACATGGCTGGCGAGTGACAGTAGCATCTCTCATCTCACCTTCAGTCTTAATGTTGCTTCACTTGAGATGCGAACGCTGAAAAGCCAGGCATGGTTATCCACCCTTAGCAAGGCTTACATGGCTGGCGAGTGACAGCAGTAGTGGGGTTGCGGCTAAATCTAATCTTAAATACTTTAGGAGAGTTGAGAAACGATCGCTGCAGACCACCGACTGCTTTGCCATCCTTTACATATGCTTCCGTTGGCCATGAGTGACGACATTAGTCGCTTTGATGCTTATTCAGCGACAACCTATCTCACGGCACTTGGGGATGGATGGCTTTAGATCTATCCTATGTTTACCAGTCTTGATATTTGCTTCCACAGCTAAAGACCCAGCGTATAATCGGTAAGCAGAATAATTTACGGTAGCATTCGTTTGGACTCTTGCTATGCGATGGCTGTGGCCTGACGATTTGTCTTATCGATTATGACCATAACGTCCGTAGTTAGACCAATCGTACGCTTACTAACCTTTACATCAGCTTCCACAGTTGACAAGCGACCGCATATGGTCCCTACTTGGCTTATTCCATAGTATCTGGAGTTAGGAGAGTTCCAACACATTCACCTTTGACAGAGCAGTTCGTTTATCACCTTCGACCATCACTTCCTAACGTGAGGGGATAGCTAAGTCGCCGTCGTTCGGGTTAACCTATGGCAGCTTATCGTAGGATATTTACGTTAGGATCACTGTGAATCCACCTTAGGTTCATCAGCTTTAATATTAGCTTCTACAGATGAAGGGCGACCGCATACCTCGGCATGTGGCTTCGTGTTCACTAGCATATCTCTTGGGTAGTAGAGAGGCTAGGGATAAATACCGATCGATAGTTTACCATCCATGGACTAGACGAACACGGCCGACGAGTGACAGCAGTAGTCCGCATTCAGCTTATCCTACGGTAATTTATCTTACGACGGTGTCTAACGGACAGCAGCATACCGCGTCCGGGTTTACCAATGTCTAGCAACGACTCTTGAGGTTAATCGCGACAGCAGTAGTCCGAATGTAGCTTAATCAATGGCAGCATATTTGCTTAACGATGACTGTAGACCACCGCCGCTGTTATCAACACTGAGATAGGTTTCCAGTGCCGAATAACGACCGTGGCAGTCGGTCTGACCTTCAGTCCACACGCATACTTTAGGACAGTTGGGATAAGATCTCACTGCATCAAGTGTAGACCACGCGATATGCTTCCGTTCAGTTCAGTTTATTGAGGGAAATAGGCGTAGGCCTTTGAGTACCCTATTTGCAACGTAAAAAATGTGCGGTGTAAAGATAGATGTTCTGGGCTGAAATAGTTCGAACAGGCCCATAATGGTGGGACAAAATGAGAAGGAGTTACAGGGGGTGAGCTCGACTTCTCATCGCTCTTGGCCATTTCGGAACATAAATATGTCCAGATTCTTCTTAAAACTTTATATAGATGGTGACATCACAAGATCTGCGGGAAGCTCATTCCATGGTTTGACCACTCGAACAGAGAAGGAGAACTTCCGTACATCCAACCTTGCATGCTGAGTGCGCAGTTTTAAAGGGTGACCTCGGAGGTTGGTCGTGGTAGTAAATTCAAAAAAGTCCTCCAAGGCCAGACTGCAGTCCAACCCCTTTACAATGCGGAAGGCTTGCAAGAGATCTCCGCGAAGTTGCCTGTAACTCAAAGGAAAGAGGTTCAGATTTACTAGGCGGGTTGCATAAGGAAAGGAGCTTTGACCCCTAACCACTTTCGTGGCTCTCCTCTGGACTCTTTCGAGGCAGTTTTGATCCACAACAGCCCACGGCCTCCAGGCTTGTATGCCGTACTCTAAATGCGGCTGGACGAATGTTCCGAATGTCTTAGAGAAAGCTTCTTCGTCAAAGTCCATAAACGCACGCTTGATGGAGTACAGTACAGACATTGCGGTTTTTGCCACCCTCGAACAGTGGGCGGATGGTTTTAGGGAACTCGTCGTAAGCACACCGAGGTCCTTTTGGGCTTCGACCTCTTGTGGGGCTGCACCGCCCAGAAAGTAGCCTCTTGTGCTGGCGGATCTGGCTGTGTTGCCCAGGCGAAGTATGCTACATTTGGCAACGTTGAACCGCAGGAGCCAACGGTTTGACCACTCCTCCAACCGATTCAGGTTCATCTGCAGTCTGTCTTCGTCGGCAGGACCCAGAATTACACTCCATATCTTCATTCAATTCAAGTATTTTTATTAAAGACCCGTCGGGGTCCCATCAAAGCAAGTAAAATAAATTTGCATGCGAATTTTAGACGAGGTAGGCAAAATCTGTACAAAGTGCAATACATAGTTTTTGAGATTAGAAGTCCGTTATGCAAAATGAAAAACGAGGGATGAAAAAAAACTCCATGGCAAAATTTAAAAATGATTGTAGTAATTTAACAGGAGAAAAAAAAACCTCAAAAAAGAGCATCAGAAAAATGCAGGGAGGACTGGGCTGCATGTGGCGGTATAGAATGGAATATAGTCGGACATCAACATGGCCGAAATAAATGTCAGCTGTATATGGCATTGTGTAACGGATTTCATAAAATGGTTCGTAGGCGGGTCGGTCAGGACTGGCCTGTATCGCCTTGAATAAGAAAAATAAGTGGCGAAATTGAAAACCAGTCTCGAGCTGATAGGAACCCAGATGCGGTCGGTTTCATTCAACCGAGTCCGTCCGAGCATGGTGGAAAGGAGATGCGACCAGACTACTAGTATATGGCGAATATAGAAGGCTTCGCCAAGAGCGTCGATGGAGCGCATTCTGTAAGGGCACCATGAAAATCAGTCTCGAGGCGATAGGAACCCAGATGCGGTCGGTTACATTCATCCGAGTCCAACCGAGGATGGGGTAAGGGAGATGCGACCAGACTACTAGTATATGGCGAATACGGAAGGTTCCGCCAAGAGCATCGATGGTGCGCATTCTGTGAGGGCACGATGCATGAACTGAAAAATTGGAATAAATAACATTTCTGGTGAGGGATCTTAGGTAGCGAGACTACTCATAAAGGAAGGAAACGTGAACAGATACGGAAATTTAATGGCGGCATGCTAAATTCCCGGTGGCCTTTTCTCAGTGTCATAGAAAAAGTTGTCTGGGAAGGATGAGGAAAATAAAAGTTTAATCGAGTCAGTATTCAGATAAAGGCGTAGCCTTCTCTTAAAGGTGTGTAGATTTTCTGAAAATCTTATATTTATTGGAAGGTTATTCCAGAGGAAAGTATACCTGGAAGCGAAAAAAAGGGAGCGCTTAGAGGTGGAGGACGCTGGAGGAGGTATAATTAGAGACGAGTTGCGAAGATTGTATGGACGACTACTAGGGGTAAGTGTTGAAATCCGAGGAAAATTTGAACTATGATTAATGCGAAAGAGGAGACAGAAGCCCGCTTCTAGTCTTCGAACCCATAAAAATTTTAGGTTAATTAGCTGGCATCTATCTGAGTAGGAGATATTGGGATTTTCCCTATCGAAAAGTTTTTTAGAGAAACGTCTTTGGACATTTTCAATTTTTAAACGACTGGCTTCATTCATCAAACCAAAGAATGGGCAACAATACTCGAGAATGGGAAGTACAAACATACGATAGAGCCTTAATTTAATTTCAGGAAGATAGAAATTGTAAGAAATAAAGCCACAAATCTGGGCAGCTTTGGCTGTAATTCTGTCAGCGTGCGGCGAGAGATCAAGATTATTGGTGTAGCTTAAACCTAAATTCTTGATTGTGGTACATTCAGTCATAGGTGTGCCTTGAAAGACCACTGGTTGGGGTAGCCTATCAGGTCCAAAACACATATAACGACATTTAGACGGAGAGAATTCCATTAGCCATTTTGAGATCCAAGCTGAGAGCAAGCAAGTCAGCATGGATTTGCTCCAGGCAACGAAGGCTCGTAGGGTTTTTGAAAGAATATACACATTTGAGCTCATCGGCATAATTAAATGATTGAGAATGTTTAACTGCTGCTGAAATATCATTTATGTAAAGCAAGAACAAAAGAGGATCTAAAACGGTACCTTGTAGGACCTTGTAGGATACCGCTTACTTTCACTGGAAAGTGAAGATCCCTTGTAGGATACCTTGTAGGATACCGCTTACTTTCACTGGAAAGTGAAGATCCCACCAACACCTTTTGTTTACGATTAGACAGGTATGACCTTTGAAAGTCTATTAGTGGACTGCGAATTTCCATAGCTTCCAATTTAATCAAGAGTCTTTTATGTGGCACTTTATCAAAGGCTTTACTAAGATCAAAATAAATAACGACAACAGATAGGTGATCATTACGAAGAGGGGTAAGTAGATTGAGAAACGACAGATGACATGTTTCACAAGAGTGATCTGGTAAAAAGCCATGCTGGGAAGGGCTAATAACTTGATTGGCTATGCAAAATTCGGTAATTTTTACGGCGATAATTTTTTCAAAGATTTTGGCGAGAGAGGGTGTTTTATGGACACCTCGATAGTTCTGTACGTCAGAACGACAGCCAGACTTAAATACTGTAATAATAATAGAAGTTTTCCAATAGTCAGAGAAGAAGCCATTTACGAGGAATACTGAAAAGATTTTGCTAAGCAGAGGAGGAAAATCTCTTAGCTGTTTTATCAAAGACTTTGGGATATTGTCCGTGCCTACTGAGTGAGAGTTAGGAAGATGGCTTATCAGTTTTTGAATACATTCAGGAGAAAAATTAATGAAGCTAAGAGAAGCATCAGACAACGAAGGAATTAAAGGGATCGGATCAGTTTCAATGGTGAAATGTTTGGCAAAGAACGAATTTAAAATTTCTGCTTTGCCTGACTCTTCTGTAATGAAGGCATCGCTATCACTAAGCAAGGGCGGAATGACTTGGTGGGAATTAGCAGATGATCTCTGACGGAAGATCTGAGCAACTGATTTAGAAGCATTCACGCCATTAATAGCTAAAGACTCTCTACGCCTATCTCGCTCGAGCCTCATTTTCGAAGCTAGTTCAAATATTTCAACGATTCTTAGATGAACTGATAATGAGCTCACAGAAGGATCTTCAAACTGCTTCGGTAACTTTTTAAGTCTGTTTTTAAGAAAGTGTGGGATAACAGTGGAACTAGCACTCGGTTTGAACATCTTCCGAGGAATAAGGTCAAGAAGACCTTCTGTTACGCATTGTAATAAATTGCTGAAAAAATTTAGATCATTATTTGAAAAAATATTGTGCCAATCAAGAGTGCATGTAAAGTTATTTACTAATTCCTTGTTAACATTAGAAAAGTCAAAAATACTACGTTGAACTGTTGGCTTTGCGGAAATGGCAACTGGAAGGCGACAATGGATTAATGCATGATCACTTGCAAAGAGGTCATGATAGAAATCCATAGATAAAGGGAAGGTGCCATTAGTAAAAATTAAGTCTAAAACACTATCGTTTCTGGTCGAAGAGTGAACTAATTGAGTCAGGTTTGAAAAGTAAATTGTGTCAAGCAGCTTCTGGAATTTAGGAGGAGAAGTATGTGTGTGCCAGTCAATTTCTGGCAAATTTAAATCGCCTACGATGATCTTGACATCGAAAGAGATCGCTGCAGTCTTTTCAAAGAGTTCACAGAGTAAGCTTTCATTTCCGGAGTAACAAGGAGGATTATATACACATCCGACTAAGGCTTTCCTATTTTGCGGAAGGATTACCGAAGCAAAACATAAATTTCCAGAGAAGGAGGAAATGTTCAAGTTATAAGGCGATTGTGCAAGTGATGCTCTTATGTAACGAAGGCACCCACCGTCGCGTCTTTCGGCACGGTCCTGGCGGTATAAACTGAGGCTATCTATATTAAGTGCCGAGTCTGAAATTAGAGAGTGGGCCCAAGATTCTGTAATGCACAATACGTCTGTGTCAAACTCAACAGCTACACTTCTTAGGTGTGCCATCTTTTGCACGACAGATCTTGCATTGAGAGAGACAATACTGAGCGTATTCCTAATATGTAGGTTCCGCTCATTGCTACTTATAAAAAAGGAAGAGCCGGGGTTGGAAAATTAAGCTGTTGGAACGAAGCAATTGGTGGAGGACAAAGTTGCTGCGGTCTAAAATTTATGGGGTAATTACTAGCTAGAGATGCAGCATTAGGTGGAAAAACATTTGAGGAGGACCCGGGAAGAGGAAAACTATTTTGTTGGGTTGGAAAAATAGGAGGCAAGAAAATAGGATTTTGGGAATTGCTAGCATAATATGAGGGGTAGTTTATGTTAGGTGGCGGACGTAATAGTTTCGGGAAACAGTTAACATCAGGAAAGGGCTTTATTATTTGGGGTGTCAGACTAGCAATGGGATTGGAAAATTTATCAGCAATGGAATATACTTGCATTTTGCAGTCTGATGTGTAAGAGGGCTTCACAACTGTGGCGTTAAGTTGAGAATTCAGGATAGGAACAGGTAAAGACCTCCTTGAACTCTCATCTAGCTTATTTGGCCTAACTGCAAGGTCAGACCTGAGTGGCCAGGCGTGGGAACGGGGTGGATTCGATGTAAGTTTATTAACTAAATCACTATTCTGAGTGCTGGGAGCCGGTTGTGCTTCAAGGACTGGCTCATCCTTTCTGCTAAAATCAAGCTCCCTGATAAATTTGGGAGCCGCATTTGAACAATCCTTGCTCCGTGGGGGAGTTTTAAAGAGGCTAGTTTTAAATGTCTCTGTGATAATGTGATCAGTCGAAGAGCTAGATGGAACTGGGGCCGCTGTAGATAGTGGGGGGATTTGGTCGACACCAGATGGAGAAACTGCTTTAGAGGTAAAAGGCATTTGAGTAGAATTCGGGGGTGGCTTTACGTTTGGTAATGGGGGAGAAACTTTTCGTTGCAGTGGAGTTTGATCTCGACTAATAAAAAGTTTATTTCCCCTGGGATATTGAGTCGAGCGCTCCAAATGGGAGAAAATAAAATCCACTTCTATCGATGAAAAGAGTTTGACAAGAATTGGTGGATTCTTGCTCCTAGATGAAAGCCTTTTAGCTTCCGCGGCCCTAAAGTTGAAGCCGCATGAAAAAAGGAAATGAAAGGCGACATCCATTGGCTGTCTACTCTTAGGAACGTTTTTTAATATAAAGTTGAAACTTCGTTTGTGCCTGTCTTCAGTCTCAGTCGCAACCAGGTTAATGAGAGGCATGAGCTTCTCACACTGCTGAGACGTAAGCGTTGGCAACTTTCCGTCAAGAAGGGCACCAAGGACAGAAAAAATTGATCCGCAACGAGACATAAAGTTGTTAAAATCATCAAGCGCCCCTAGATCAATTTTTTCACATGAACAATGGGTTTCAAAGACAGTTTAGTTTCCTTCAGATTTCGACGAAGGGTTGCCTGAGGTTTCATGTCGAAAAAGCAATACAAGGCTTAAGTCCAAATATTTATATGGATGATAACTGCCGAAACTTCGAGGATATATGGATGAGGCTGTGTATGATGAAACGATTTCTGAAAGCTGCCAATATTGGTGGACCAGACAGCACAATTTATACTAAGCAAGTTTTACTCAATACCAGAATGCAAACTTGAAAAAAAAACGGGCAAATGACAATTTCGTAGGTGGCAAAACAGAACTATGAATAAATCTGAATTGGATAATGAGGCTATGTAGGATAAAATAGATAACAGTATAATTCTCAATAAACTGACGATGAAAGCCGTCAGTGGAGACAGTTAAAATATAATATTAATTTATATTCTTACGAGGAAAACCTTTTGTATATGCAGGTAAGACTTGATAGGATTGAGGCTATGTTGGGTGAAAAACTGAGACAAGAGATTTCTGCTTTATGACAAATCGCAGAAACACGACAGGAAGCGAAGATGACTTATGACAAAAAATAGAAAATTTTGTCAGATCGACACTGGAAAACTGTGCAAGAGCTTAAGAAATTGAATCCAAAAATATAACTTTCATTTATCTTTTCAAAATCGTGCTGCGCGCGCTGTCATCCGCAAACATTGCTACTTCACAGTCTAAATCTCTCGCGGCATCGTCCACGTAGATAAGGAACAAAATGGGTCCCAGTACTGAACCCTGGGGGACACCACTATCGACCATAGCCGGAACTGATTTTCCCCGACCGATGCACACAACCTGATGTCGACCCACAAGGAAGTTTTTGATCCATTTAAGGAAGTTGTCACCGATCCCTATTTTTTTCAGCTTATGTAAGAGCCTTTGGTGTGGCACAGTGTCGAACGCCTTCTGGAAGTCGATGAAGGCTATGTGGACCGCGTGCCTCTCGTCGAGAGCTCGGGTCCAGCTCTGGAGAGATTGCAGCAAGTATGTCGTGCAGGATCTTCCTTTCCGGAACCCATGTTGGCAGTTCGATAGCAGGCTGTGAACTTCCAGGAATTGCATCAGTTCACACTTTATGATCCTTTCCATAACTTTGCAGAGAATGCATGTCAAGCTTATGGGTCTGTAATTTGTTGTCGCTGCCCTGTTACCTCCTTTGTGTAGCGGAGTAATATGCGTCAGCTTCCAATCGATAGAAAGTGTTCCAGTGTCAAATGACGTTTGAAAGAGCATCGACAAAGGCACAGAAAGCACACCCGCAAGTTCCTTCAGAAACTTGGGTGGAATCTCGTATGGTCCTGGTGACTTCGATTCGTTCAATGCCTCTAATTCTCTTCGGACAATGCCTTCTGAGAAGAGTTTATCACTGACGCTTGGAGTCGGCAGTTCTTCTGTGGAGGGAGGAAGGAACCTTGCCTCGTTTGTGTAGACTGATTAGAAAAACCGTGAAAAATACGCAGCTTTATCCCTACTATCAGCGATCTCAACGCCATCAGTAGTCTTTATCAAGGGGATTTGATGCCTGTTCCTTGTAGTTCGTCGGAGGTAGCTGTAGAGCAATTTTGGGTTCTGCGTTGCTTTTTGTAGCAAGTTCTTCTCGAATTCCCTCCGCGTCTGCATTATCAGCCTCCTCAGTTTGTTCCTCTGTGTCTTGTACGTGTTGAAGCATTCAGCTTGTCTAGTGACGCAGTATTTTCTCCACAATTTGTGCTTCCTGTTAATTTCTTTCTTGAGGTTGCTATTTAGCCACCCAGGGCGTTTGTTCAGTCTTACACTAGTCAGTGGGCAGTGGTTGTTGATGAGCTGCAGAAGGACATTCTTGAACAGCTCCCAGTCATCGTTGGCACTTCCCGTAAACAATGAGCCCCAGTCAAGACCGGATAAGTCTGCCCTCATCTGATTGAAGTCGCCCCGCCAAACATTACGCCTTTTGTGGCCTGGAGTATGTGAAATGGAGAATAACGAATAATCCCACATAAGCACTACGTGGTCACTTCGGCCAAGGGACGGCATGGAGGTGATCTCGTCTATGCTGTCTGGTGTTTTCGTATAGACCAGATCCAGGCAGTTTGCCCTTTGTCCTTCAAGTGTTCTCGTTGGGAACATTACATGTTATGTGAGGCACGCATTTAATGTTTTGCTCAACAGGCGGTAATCGAATGCCGATTTTAGACCTGACGCTTGGAGGGTATTCCAGTTTGTTCCTGGTGCGTTGAAGTCACCCATAATCATGATGTTAGGTCGACTGGAAAATTTATCCAACTGATCCAATAGTTGATTGTCGGCGGATCGGTCTGTCCTAGGTGGTCGGTAGACAGTGAGGACATCGAGACACGGGGAACCGGTAGCCTTGATGGTCAACCAAATAGCTTCCGTAGTGCACGCAAACTTGGTGGTGTTATCCGACACTGCCAGACCTTCATTCACATACACAACGATACCACCACCCTGCCGATGTTCCCTGTCCCTCCGATAAATTTGGTATCCGGGCAAGGCCACTTCGTTATCGCTAATATTCCCGGACAGCCAGGTCTCAGTTACTGCTAAAACATCTGGAGAATGCTCAACAAGGCAAAGTTTTAGTTCGTCTAGTTTCGATATGAGGCTTTGGGCGTTCGTGTACAAGCACCTCAGTTTAGCACCAGCCGAATTTCCCGTTGCATTTGTTACTGCTGTGCGCATTACTCCGTTATCGCGGACTTCGTGTTCTCTAGGCACTTCCGTTACCTGATTGGTTCCATTTACAAGCCTTGTTTCAATCAGGTCACTGGACGCTACGGGCTCACTTGTGTTGGCGCCTTGATCAGGTGGTTCAACGAAGGTGTCTGTTTTAGCTGAGTAGCTGTCGTCGTTCGTAGTATTACAGGCTGGTTCCACTGAAACGGCATATATTTCCGAACTACCTTCCCCTTGAAGATAGCCAGATTGTGTTCGCCATCCTTCAGTCTTGATTTTAACTCCAAGACAAGTTCCCGGCGTTTTAACCATTCCGCTGGTGAATAGTCCGGTTGAAAAAAACCTGTTTTTGTGTTTTTCTGAGATCGGTTTCTTTAGAGAGGATAAACTTGATTTGCCCTTTGTTCTCCAGCATAATTTTGAGAGGGCGAGGTGGTTGTGCTGCTGTCCTGTCTTCACTTCTTTTTCCTATCCGGAATGCTTTCAGAACCTTTATTTCCATGTCTGCCGGGAGTAACTGATTTAGCAGGCCATGAAAAGAAACAAGGTCCTCTTAGACACGGTCTTCAGGTCTGACTGCATTCGATTCTAACAAACCCTGAATAAACAGACACTGTTGGCGAGCATGGTCCTCCTTACTCTGTCTTCCCGGTGAATGCGCGGCATGTGGGCGAGGACGATTTACGGAGTCATAGCTTGGACGCACATTTTTACTGTCTACCGACTGTCCCGAGCAACCCATCAGGGCTGACTGTGACTTCAGAATCCTGTCATGGCGTTTACCTTTCCCCTCTACCCACGGGTTTATGTCTTCGCATTCAGATACGTGCTCTGTAGTGCGCTCGGGGTGGTTGCCAGAAAAAGATGGCAACAGTAGACTGGATGACCCAGGTATATCGTCTCCGGGCAGAACAGAAATCCCATCACTTACAGCAAGAGGCTTACGTGAGATGGCTTCCGCGACAGGTAATTTTTTTGCGACATCGCCTAAGACATCGTGCGTGGGAATCGAGGCTCCCTTTATCGGCGGCTTCGTTTTCATTGTCCTGCTGTTACCGGCGTCTGCGGTTTTGGCTGCTGAGTTGCTACTCGTGTTTGAAGATCCTCCAGAGGAGATATTTTTTTGCGTTTTGCTCTTCGATTTTGGGATTCTAACACTGGACACGTTCTGGTCGACTAGGGTCTGTTTCACGAGCGTCCTTAAATCAGCAAGTTCCTTTTCCAGTTGTTCTACTTTGATTTGAATATCTGCGCACCCACCACAAGGCTCGTCTTCGTACCTCACACTTTTTGCGGTATTTACGCTTTTTGCACTCTTTGCTGGTCGTTGGCTGGAGGCGAAGGTAGAGCGAGCACAGGTTCTGGATGCGAAGGACAACTCACCGGACTTTTCTTCCAAAGAGGTGCCGTCGCTGGCCGTACTACTACAGTTAGCTTGCTGAGAATCCATAAACTTCGACGTGATATAATAGGTATAATTTCGCTTTCGATGTTATAACGAATACGTCGGCTTATATATGATGGATTAAAGTGAGTATTCAAAACTCAATAAGCGAAAAAATACTTAAAATCCGATAAATTTTGTTGAATTTAGTCAGAAGCGACTTAGCCCTTTCCAGATCTCGTGGGACTGGAATAACTGCAGACCTTGAAGGATTTTGAGCGATCGGTTGTCTAGGCTGTATATCCGCGATTCGATTGTGTAGCCAGTTGCGCTGTCAGTTGGACCGTGCTGATAAACAAATTGCACTTAATCCAGGTTCTTGGCGAATTTTGATGCGTGAAAAAATATTCCAAAAATGCACAAAGTAATTCTGTACGTACGGTTGCAGTGTCAATGTCAGAGACTGTAACTGTGGAATGGTAACCAAGTCGAAATTGTCCCAGTTGGAGCGCAGAATAATTCCGTCGTGCTCAGTTGGGCTCAGATATCCGTTGTTGAAATGCGACCACGTAAGTCGATATGTGCCTTCATGCATACTAGCATTCCTTTCGCGTAGTCAGAGAGCGCACATTGCAGACCACACGATTGCTTGACATCCATCCAGGAGGCTACTACGGTCGACGAGTGCCCCCTTTAAACCTTATTCGGCTTATCCAGCAATAATATACGACGGCTTAGTCGGAAAAGGCTCATTGTGCATACCTTAGGATTGAAGTGGTACGATCGCCATAGACCGACCACGCTTTTGATAACATTGCCATAAGTATCCCTATTTGAGGAATCGACCTAGACAACTTAATGACACGCGTGTCTGGGGAGTAAAGAGGCAAAGGATAATTACCGAGCGATAGTTCACCATCCATGACCGAGACTTAGATGACAGACGAGTGACAGCAGTAATCCGTATGCAGCTTATCCAAAAGGTAGCTTACCTAAGGACAGTGTTAAACCAACAGCAGTATACAGCATCCGGGTTTACCAATTCCCAGCAACTAGTATTCAGATTATGAATGACAGCAGTAGTCCGTATGCAGCCTAAACAATGGGAGCATATTTGCTTAATGGTCTCCTTAGACCATCCCTCCTATTATCAAGATTGACATAGGTTTCCATAGTCGAATAACGACTGTGGCAGTCGGTCTGAACTTCAGTCCACATGCTGACTGACTAAGATTATCAGAACCTATCTATATAGAGGCGCTTGGCGTAGACACAGTCGGGGCGTTGACAGTGACAGTACGGGTGCACTTCAGCCGTCATTCGCATGAAAAGCCAAAAAACAAAACCAACACCTACACGATAGCTATAGAGAGTTGCGAAACCATCGTCTTAGACCATAGCTTCCATTTGCAACGAATGGTAGCCTAACGAAGGTTGCCGGAGGTTACATTCACGATAGTCGATGTTTCCAAAACTTCCTCATCGTTACACACGTACACCTAATTAGACGGCATACATTGGCAAAATGACAGTTTATTACAAAACAAAAATACTGTTAAAGAGGATAGGTCTGCACAACATGGGACAAAAAAGTTCCCAGAAATCTATCAAAGACATCGCACTGAGGCCAAACCACAGACGATACTGTACTTCGTCTATGCGAGCCCAGACCGCTCGACCACATACAGGGCCTCCTCGTGGAGTTTCTTTTTCAGTTTACTCCAGTAGGCCTCAATGGCATTGGTATGCCGTCCGGTGGTCGGGTCCTTGAAGTTCTTCGAGTGGTTAACCGAGAAGTGCTGATATCCTTCGGAGGGAAGACGATTATACGCCTTCCACTCGTCCGTTACTACTATACTGCCTTTGGCCACCCATTTCGTAATAACGGAACGCAGAGCGGGCCAACTTCGATCATTGACCTGTTCAAATAACGTTTTGCGTCGGCTAGTATCGTACATTCCGACCAGCCACCATTGCCGTTTCCTTTTGCCGACATTATATTTGCGTCGGCTTATTGAAGTTTCGTCGATTTGGACTTCAATTCCAGGTCCTCATAATTTCGTTGTTTGCTTCAGTAAGGCAGATGAGCAAACATTCCGACATTGGGCAAAGCACTCAACAGCCGTCGATGGGTTTACAACAATGTCTTTCGCACATTCGTTGACACGAACTCCTTTCAGAAACCAAAGTAGAATCTTGAGGATCGTCGTTAGCATTAACATGCTATTTTCAAATACGGTTCCCGCTCTTATCGACTTCGTCTTCCGGCATCGAGGGCAGCGAAAAGCTACACCATCCGAATACCGACTGCGTCCTTATAATTTCATTCACTGATGTCATTTGCACATCATCTATGTAGGCAACATCATTCTTCGTGGACAATAATCAATCACATTTTCCGAATTAATCGCCGCCAATATTTGTTCAGTTTGGCTTGTATGGCTCATACAATTTTGAGGTTTCCCTTTAGTGATTGCGCCTACCGATCTGCAAATGAAAATTACAGTTACTTGAATTTATGTTATGGTACCATATGGTAACATGCTGGATATGCATTAAATTTAGAAGATACTATTCAAAAGTTGAGTACTTATCCAAAAAAGATTGCCATTAGCCTTTTATTTACTTATTCACTTACTGCGGTATTTTCCTTCTCTCGATAGGGGATTCGCAGGTATTAGGCAGCATAGCTTTCGAAACCATTTCACACACGTTCACTAACTATCACTCTCGACAGCCAACACACCAAGTCTACCACTTTACCATTCGCTGGGGGTGCCTTGGGCGTCTGATCACAGGCGCTTAATTGCTTCGCGGGTTGCTTGAAATGGTTTGCGTCTACAGAACTACTATTTGTTTACTTTTCATTAACCGCGCCTAATTCTGTTACCATACAGTGATAAAGTAAAATTTTATTATCCAAAAAGCAATTTGAGAAAAAATATTCCATTACTCATATTTATCCACGCATTCAAAGGCCACACCCATAAAACTCCTATTACCACCTGTCCTGTAAGACAGGCTGCTTTGGTTGAGAGGAATTTTTTGGGCGCCATCTCCCATTAGTTACCGACTGAAGTTTCGATTCTCATTCGAGTCAATTATCAGAGACCAAGACGGATGAGCATAGTGAATTGCCTAGGTGTTGCAGTATTAATAGGATATATTTGCTAGACCACTACATGCCTATGCCAACTGGCAGCTGCTGAGTACATAACGGTCCGACGGACCAGATGCTGCAATACGCAGTTGCGATGCAGTTGGTATGCGCCTTTCTGCTGGTCAAAGTTATCGGCTCACATGCTCGTCACACGCGACCGAGTCGTTAACTGTCTGGTTTCGTCACCCGCTTGGACTCCGAATTTGTTTATGATGACGGATCCAGGTGAGAAACCAGAACGTCGGGTTGATAAGGCTCTTGTTCAAGAGACAGTATCTCCTTCCGCGTGACTACCTTCTGGAACTGGCCTCATCGCTTCTATTAAAAATAATCCCATTAATTATGCTGGGCTCCATGCAGAAAGGACAAGCATGTCTGCATTGATTTTTTCCGGGAATTGTTGACTCTTTGATCTGCAGGAGAAAAAAACGCACATGAGACCATCGGTATAAATAAATAATTGACAATATTTAAAGGCCGGCAAAAAATAATTGATATAAAGCAAAAACAAGAGAGGATCTAAAATGGAACTTTGGAGGCCACCGCTTACAAAAGGGCTTTTTGCTTACGATTGGATAGGTAGGACTTAATAGGGTCAACAATGGGACTGTGAAGTCCCAAGGCCTCCGGGAAAGAAACCATTCTCGCGAAAGATTAAAAATAATTTTCTCAGCAATGGAGGCAAATCCTTTAACTATTTAATAGTAGAGTTCGAAATAACCTCTATTTATAGTGAATGCGAGTCACTAAGGTATTTAATCTTCTTCTAATTACTTAGAGTGAGGAACGTATCGAGGGAATGGAATCAGTGTCAAAGGTGGAATGGTCGGTACATAATTAATTTAATCGTTCTACTTTGTCTGACTTGCCTTCTATGGAAGTATTGTCGAAATAGTACAAAGGTGAAATGGTTTGGTTGGACTAAACAGACTATCGGAGACGGAAGACCAAGAAATAGATATGGAAGTATTTGCATCATTAATAGCTAAAGAATCTTCCCGCCTATCTCGCCCGAGCCAAATTCTCGAAGTTAATTAAAAGATCTCTGTGATTCATAGATGTTTTGGCAGATTTTGAATAATTCATATTGACCTAACTGTGAAAAACTCGGCGCCTCGGTGGGGTTCGAACCCACGCAGTAAGGGGAAGGCTTTAGTACAGCCAACGTTCTAACCACTTGACCTGCGTTGCCCCGCCGGTTCGAATCCCACCGAGGCGCCAAGTTTTTCACAGTTGGGTCAATATGAATTTCTGCGGTTCTTAAGTAAACCGATATCAAGCCTATGGATGGATCCCCAAACCGTTTTCGTAACTTTTCAAATCCGTTTTCACGAAAATGAGGGACAGTAGAAGACGCAGCACTTAATTTAAACATAATCGAACAGACAAAATGGTTAAATTTTACAATCAGCTTTGAAGATGCTGAAAGTCTAGAGATAAAGGGTAGATGCCAATAGTGGAAGTAAAACTAGTATACTGTCATTTCTGGTTAACAAGTAGAGTAGATAAGCCCAGTCTAAAAAACGAGTAGCATCCACAGGTGTCATCTTTTGCACGACTGATTTCGCGTTGAGGGAAATGACACTGAGTGTACCTCTGGGATGCAGATCACGCCCATTACTGTTTATAAAGAGGAGGAGAAGGTGTTTGTATGCCATTAATGTCTGGTAAAGTATGGTCGTCTACTATTATTTTGGCATAACATTGAGTCACAGCCAATTAACGTTCTCTTACTTTGCTGAAGGATGACTGGGACGAGACAGATATTTTCAGGAAAGGAAGAAATGCCCAAGTTATAAGGCGAATATGCTAATGAGGCCCTAATATAAGTGGGACAACAACCGCCATGTATTTCAACGCCGTTTTGTAGGTAAAAACTGAGATTACCTATAGCTAGTGCCGAATAGCGAATTCGACAGTGAGCTCAAGATTATACAATGCACTAAACATCTGGGTCAAGCTCGAAGGCAACAGTTATTAGCTGGGTCATCTTTTGCACGACTGATTTCGCGTCGAGGGAAATGACGCTGAGTGTACCTCTGAGATGCAGGTCACGCTCATTACTGTTTATAAAGAGGAGGAGTTGGCGGCCGAAAAGTAAGTTGTAGGGGGGAAGTAAGAGGAGGAATCAAGATTGCTGCGATCCAAAATTTGTGGAGATGTTACCACTAACCAAAGAGACTATTGTACGGAAACATATTTGGGTGGGGTCCATGAGGAGGGAGGCTTTCTCATGGCGTGAAAAAAGTAGGAGCCATAAAATGGGATTTTGAGAAGAGTTAACACAATATGGGGAGAGATTTGCGTTATAAAACCGGCTAAACGCTTTTTAAAGCTGTTTACAATATAACCGGACCTCATTATTTGGAAATGTGACAAGCTCTCGAGTTGAGGAGGTTACTGACCACACTGTTTGCATGCGTATTAGGCTCTGGCGTGTTAGCAGATATGCTAACAGCCATGATTTGCTTAAGTCAAGAATTTGGGTTAAAAACAGGCGAAGACTTCTCTAATGTATTATCTGACTTATTCGATTGCACCGTTAGATCAGGTGAGCTTGGACCGGCGTAGGAACAAAATGGACTGGACCCAGTTTTTCTAGACTAGGCCATTCATCCTCGACTTTTACAAAATATTTAGCCCTAGAGTAGTTAGAGCAACGTTTTAAGTGGACTAAACGTTTCCTATCACACAGGCTGCGGAGAGTAATTGCTTGCCTACAGCGTCCGAATGGGTAACGGAATAAAGCGGCGTCTGAGAGGGCTCGATAGTAGGTCCGCGTCTCTTCCTCGTCTATGTAAACGACTGCATTAAGGATCTTGGCTGGAATGCCAGCATGTTTGCAAATGATATAAATTTCTAAAAAACAACACGGTATACTGGCAACGTCCGGAAACTGGGAGAAAACGTCTCTAAGCTGACTGCATGGTCCAGCGAGTGCTTTCTGAAGTTCAGTGCATTCAAATGTGTTATCTTGCGCTTGGAAGCTGGTCGGAGAAGTTTCTCAAAACACCAGTACAGCAAAACTGGAATTCCATCAAAAGAAGTATGTAGACACGTGGATCCGGATATTTGGGCAACTTGGAACTTGCTGCTATCTGGACACTGCAAAACAGCCATCCGAAATAAAACTAAATTATGTATTGGATTCGGCGTACTTTCGTAGTCTTTCCTCCCAAATTCTCTGGGAGGATCTTTAGTACGTTGGTTAGACAGCATTTAGAATTTGAAATGCCAGCATAGATACCTTGGATGAAGAAAGACAATGATCCCATCGAGCAGGTTCGACGACGGTCGAAAAAACTGGCGGACGGTCTTAGGACTCTGTCATATCCAGAAAGACCAATGAAGCTCAATTTGTCCCTTCCATCATATAGACCAGTGAGGTGCGATTGGCTGTGAACATTCTGCATTATCCGCGGACATGACTGTTCACTCAAATCTGAAGATTTCAGCCATTTTACAAATGTGGGTCGCCTGAGTGTGCATGGCACGTTCACATGGCACACTTATGTGCTATCACTAATAAGCAGGAGAAAGAGGGCCGGTCCCAACACTGAGTCCTGTACAACTCCGCTCCCCATGATTGTGCCTCTTGATTTCTGTTGCTGCACACAGGCAATTTTAGAACAACCGATGGGAAAATTTTCGTTCCATCTAAGGTGTTTGACTCTGATTCTCATTTTTTCTCAACTTGTGCCCGAACAACTGATTGGAGAGACTACGAAAGTCTTCCTAAAACCAATAGTGGCGATATGCAATTTTTTATGCTCAAGCAGGTTAGGCATACGGCGACAAGAAATATGAAAATCTCGACAGCCAGTTGGGATATATAACACAATAACTAAATAAGGCATGCTGATTTTGATTTGTTTTAAAGTTCAGACAATGGCGAAATGTACAGAGGGACAACCAAAGACTGTTAGAGACTATGACTGAAAACAACATGTCGGCCAGTTGCCAACCATTTCAAGTGTGACAGCTATTGGAAAGTGTCCTAATTCCTTGGATGACTGAAGTCACCATACCAGAGTAAATAACTAGTCAGGAGTTACACACTATTAAACATATGACAATGATGCCCTTGTAGGTACTCAATAAAAAAGTCTGTTTAGTTATTTACACTCATAGGTAAGTTGTCGACGTGCACAGATAGCATCATTTCCCCCGTCCCCAGTTTGTAGCACTGATGACTCGCTGTCAATATATTTAGAAAGTCATCTGAACCGGTATTTACGGCATCTGTATCTACAGTTCTAACTTGGGCTCCGGTTCCATTTACTGCACTGGTATTGAATGATTCGCCCTTCTGTTTTTTTCTGTTGTCGACCGGCGATGTTGTATCGCCGCCCTGCATAGATAAGTATGAGATCTAGAAAAGCAGCGTGAATTTCTGCCATGTAAAATATAGCGAAAACATTTCGAAGGGTGACTTTAATGCAATGGGACGTGCCTTTTGAGGGAAGCCTAGCTAGTCAGCATGGAAGATTCAGAATAATTCTGGCAGCACTTCCACGAGATTACAGAGAGTATAGTTGACTCCCATTGTCTAATAAAAATAAAAAGACCTTGTGTGCGACCGCCGATGCTGGAGGAGAAATATAGGTTGTGGAAAAAGTATTTGCATCTTCAAGATCCAGTAGCATTCGCCGGATATAAGGAACAGTGCAATAAATGCCGCAAACAAATACGGGCTGCTAGAACTTCTTTCGAGCGCCGGCTGACGGCAGAATCCATTATATGTCCCAAGAAGTCATATGGGTACATCCGCAGTAGGAGAACACATAGGGACGAAATTGCGTGTCTAAGGGATAGTCTCGGAAGCCTATTAGTTGAACTGTCACAGAAAGTGCGATTAATCTCTCACTTTTTGATCGGTTTTTACGAAGGAGTCCTCTGGAGACAACCAGCAGTTCGAACTGGGCCAAGACAGCTGGGAGTTTCAAATGCACCAAAATACTGCCGTAATTGAAATTGTTGCCTCTTCCGTCAAAGAAGTAAGACGTGTCCTTTGATGGAACCCCAACGGGTCTTTAATAAAAATTATTGTTATTATTATTATAACTGAAGCCAGATAAGTCGCCAAGACCCTGCGGGATTCCTGAGCTGATACATAAGGAGCTATCATTGGAGCTGTCAAAACCTCTTTCGGCTCTGCTTGAGCTGTCAATGAGAACAGAGCGGCTGCCATTGCGACGGAAGACAGCCAAACTCGTTCCCTTACATAGGGGGGTGTAGCAGGATGGTAGCAAGCAGCTTCAGGCCTGTTAGCTTAACCTGCCTCCCATGCAAAACGATGGAAGCTCTGGTAAAGAGTTCTATACAGCAGTTTTGTGAATGAAATATCATCTTACAGGATTTTCAACATGGGCTCCGGAGAGGACATTCCTGCCTCTTAAATCTGCTAGCTTTTCTGGAGGTCTGGACCAGGGCTCTAGAAGAGGGTTTTGAGGTCGATGTCGTTTACATCGATTTCCGAAAAGCATTCGCCACTGTCCCGCACCAACGCCTTCTTTACAAATTGAGCGCCATCGGGATCCGGGGAGATCTTCTGAGCTGGACGAACGGTTTAAAATCCAATCCTATATAGAAAGGCTGAATTACCTTAATTTATTCCGTCTGTGTTACAGGCAGCAAAGAGGTGATCTTATGCCGGTTTACAAGATAATACATGGCCTTGAGCATGGACTTAGCTTTGAGGACGTGTTAAAGTGGCACCTTTCGCCCAGTCTTCATGGTAACTCCATGACGCTACGGATAAAATTGTCCAGGCTGGATCTTCGTTCTAAATTTTTCACGCAGAGGGTAATGGAGAAATGGAACGATCTCCCTCAATTAGCCTTGGAGGAGACGTCCCTGCAACACTTCAAGAAACGGTTGCATGATTACTGATGTCCCCTGTTTTCCTTCGACTGTCTGAGTCTGAGCTAAATACCCCGCGACCACCCGGAATCTATTTTCTTCGAAACAATGCTACTCAGACGAATTCGACACTGTTGTTATAGCGAATATTTTCATTGTTCGTTTACAATTGTATCTAATGAGCTGGTGTGCAAGTAATGGGGTTTTTAAAGTCCTTGCCTATTGTCCTCACCAAATAAACTAAAATAAACTGGAATAAACATGCCACTTGTTGGCGATAAGTATCTTCGCTGACGGCATTTACAAGGCCATCTATACCCCCGAGGCTCTGGCCATATAAGAAAGAAGAGTTCTCAAAAAATATGTGCAGCAGGTATCTGCAATAGGGAACCTACTGTTAGCAGAAAAATGGGCGACCCAGGCAACGTGTTCCTGCAAATAATAAAAAAATATTCTGAAAATTTACGAGGAAGAATGCTTCGCAGGACCCCAACACCTGTGTAAAGCAGGAACTGATACGGTTTTGTTCCCCTCCATGCGTCTATATCAGTAAGAGACCCGGTTTGCTGTGGAAATTTTTGCGGCAGATAGGCATTCAGATATTTTAACTTTCCATTAACTGCGCATGCTGCTGTAGTTGACAACCTAAAGGGATTCTCACTTGGGCTTGGAAGTCACAAGATCAGAAGTCTCCTGATTTCACCTAGGTTAGTTAAATTAAGTGGGTCAAGACGAGTTCAACTGATCATCCATGCGTTACATGCTGACAGAGGCGAAATGCCAATGCGGGGGCAGTCGTCGGCGGTGAACAAGAAATACTGCTCCGCCCAAACATTTTCAAACACACTGTCATGCACTACGCTGTCTAGGTATTCGCTCCTTACACAGAAACTTTAACAACCAAAACATGCGTAAACATTCCTAATCTAGTTAAAGAATGCCCTAGCAGGCGCACCACAAGTTATGGCCGCCGTACGGAACTGCAGCGTTCGGTCAATTACGTTGACACTCAGACCACACCGTGTCAAAGTTAAGAACTCTTGTACCCGCGGTCTTCGGAACGACTGCACATCCAACGGTTTGCCCTAGCCGCACTGTATTCCTACTGCAAGCGTATCACTAATAAACGACCGAATAATTGCGGCTAAAATGGCCAAAACTCACTCTTAGTCATCATATGAATAAGAAGCCCATCGGTTGCTAAGAGACCTAGTACCTAATTACATACCTTATGCATGAAATAAGCACGTACCTGATCAGACAACCACCCCAAAAGCAGCGAGAGTACTCATCGTTATCCACTGCTATAACCAGTGGCAGAAAACCCGCTCCACACAGCAGTGTTTGTGCTTCCGAGGGCATGTCAGATGCGCCGGCTGGCGTTATTCGTCCTTTAAGCTTTAGCAGGCATGTCCGGCCCATCTACGATATTTGTGAACATACTGCCAGCTGCGCACTTCGTTGAATCCTCTTCAGTTGAAAAGGCCGTTAGAGACTCTTCAGGTCCACTGCGCAGTGGCACAGCCATCAAGTCAGATTTATAATCAGAAGAGGAGGTACCGGTGTCAGTTGACTAACCACTGTGGAAGAAACCACTCGATGAAAAGGATAATGAGTCGGACGTGTAATTTTCTGTCATATTCTCAGTAATTCGGTGTAGCATTGCGCTGACCTCTCTGCCAATACCCCTACGATTTGTCCTCTGCGATGTTGGTTTGGACATATTAAAAATGGAAAAAGGGGTTAAGACGGGGCAGCAGTGCGTACGCGCAGTGGCGAGGGAAGGCAGAAATTGGCATCTAAGTGTGAGCGAGCGAAATCCAGCATGCCATTCGATGTATTAGCTTGTCAGCATATGTGCGTTTGATTATGCCCTTGAAAAATTTGCTGATGCCAGAATGGCCAACCGATCAGAAGCCAGCTTCAATCGGAAAGCGAGAGACGAGGCTCGATTCGTATGTCCTTTCAACTAGGTATGCGAGAATTAAACTTATTACGGTCGTTACGACGTGCATGAAACAACACTTACAGCAGCCTAACCATAAAACTTTTGTTGTAGGGGATGTTAAAGACTCACTCTAGTTGACTAAATCAGGGAATGGGAAAGGCCATCTCTAACGCAGTTGTGGCCAACCTGAGTAAGAGCGGCACCGGATATAGGCCCACTACGCATTTTGAACGATCTTAAATGTGCCGGTGATAGGTCGAATTTCTGCTCCAGTAGATGCTCGTTATGCCAAGGACAGTGGTTATATGACTATCCAACCCCACCTAATACACGCAGAAGGCGTTTACGCAAGCCCCCCCCCGCATAAGGGGGCTGAATCCCATATATTCGTATATGCATCCTGCCATGCAGAGAAGCAACGACCAAACACAAGCGCAACCCGCTGACACTTTGATCCAAAGTAAAGCTCGATCACAATTCTTCTCCCTTAGTCAGACATACCCAGGCATTCAGACATAGCCACCCATTTATCGTTATTTGTGGTTGACCTAATGTAACGTGTATTACTTCAGGATCCTAAATTCGAGTTTGGTGATGAAGAACTGTAAACACATGTACGTTGGCTTTAGCTTCTCCAATGCCTGTGCGCGTGTCCCTGTTGAAATATTACTTATTCTTCGGCAGATAGTTGTAATGTGTGCGCAAATAGTTTTAGTGGGCTAAAATAGAGGCGACGAAGGTGAGTGAGTCCGCCGTTGGATGCGTTTCGCTATTCCCTGCCCTTGACTTAGTTTATGATTTAGCTTTGGTTGAGGGACTCATTATATATTTTATTCTCTGGATTATGCGCAAAACAGTGGACCTGCATAAGTCCTAGTTCTTCATACCTAATCTACGATTATCTCTTGAAATGCGTTCTAGCACAATTCTGCTAGGACGTACAAGAGGGTAACCTCTTGTGCACAGTTTAGAAATTATTCTACTAACCCACTTGATTGCTGACACAGAAATCTTAAGCTTCGCTTCTTTGAAACTACCACAACTGGCTGTTAACATGAATTGTATCCAGCACTTCCTTGTTCTTCTGTTCACCACACCCTGGGCTAGCCCCTACGGTTGCTCGGCGGCTAGTTTTGTCTTTGGATGACCTTTGTCAGCAGTCCCCACAGGCACAGCATTCTTCCTGTTTCTATGTGTGCACCAGCAATCGTTGGTGTATCCACGTAGTAACGGAAAAGATTGTCCTCTGCATGCTGCGTTTGTCCGGCTACAAATTGATTACCACTTAAGGGCGTGGTCTCCGTGCCTTATGCGGCATACGAAAGTTTTAGATAAGGTTAAGGGTCCAGCGACTAAGATTGTCCGCTTCCTTCACTATCGAAACCCAAGGGAAAACGCCTGCCAGACTCATTAGCTCCAGGCCTCATGAACTTTGGGAAGAACCCCAAAATACCGCACGTTTGAGTAGTTTAACAAAGACGAATTGTACTCCACACCTGCTGCCTCTTAGTGTCTTATGGGTTTGTTTAAAACTAGCGCATTGTTACCTCTCCTACAGCGCAGTCAATTAAAGCTTGCTTACTGGGTTTATATAACGAATAGTGCGGACAAGCTTGGTTGCCTGATCATTAACCTTATAAAGAACCTCGATATCTCGCGTGGTGCAGGAAGACCACACCGGTAAACGAGTTGTAGCCGAACAAATATTGCATGTATCAGACGAAGGTTTTCACGTGAGATGATGGAAACGCCAACGAATAAAGAAAGACTGCTTCCGCCTCATGGCGGCAGCCTGGGAGCATTGTTTTGGTAACCATAAACTATGGCAAATTAAAACTTGCATATGGGCGGCAGGTCGCGTTCATTTGATGGCCTCATCAGCTGACAACACGCAAAGAAATATCTTGATCTAACTGGAAGTTGATTTCGAGGAAGTGCCATTTCTGCGCATTCGCCGCAAGATTCCGTTACTCAACATATTCGAACAGGATTCTCGGGGATAAAGTATGGTTAACTGGCTGGTACAGAAGTTTGTAAGACGGAAACGGTTCATTTGGGTAGTTTTGAGGACAGAGTTGGACGTTTACTATTTTAACTGGTCAAATACCCGTCCCATGGGGATCTCTGGTATAAAACCCAGATTGAGCACCGACGTGTATTCGTCACGGGTTAATTTTACTGAAGACCGGCAGTGTGTTGGAAAAAAGCACCTGAACGGCTCTCAATGGAAATTAATGCGGACAGGATGGCTACGCGGGAAAAATACGTTTTAGCCTTCGATATTTCTATTTCCACTAATCACGCGTTGGCCTGGTCCTACCAGTTGCATACCCCTCCTATTCCAGGCTTAGAAATCGGCTTTGCGTCGAAAATATTTGCATTTACGAAGAAGTATTCGATTGGTGTAGTTATTGTAACCCCCTTCTCCCCCCTCCCGCGAATGCCCGTCTTGTTGTTCACGTCAAATTTTAACCTCTTTCATCCGTGTAACTTTCTGTTTCTCCTTCCCAGATGGCTTCCGAATCCGTTCACACTATTCATCTTCCAGCCCCCAAGGCAGTTTCCCCATTCATCAGGACAGCTCGATGGGGTCTTCTGCTTGCCGGAGTCTTATATGGAGCTCTTCGACTAAAGTATCTCCAGGTCCGGGAGGTGAAAATCCAAAAGAAGAACCATGCCATCATAGCTAAGAGAAAGGCGGACCACGATATGTGGTGCCAATACCGGTCCGAGCAATCAATGAAGCAGCTACTGAAGGAAAGCGGCCTCGATGAAGCATAGGCTGTTGACTTTGATTCAGAACTGCAGTAGTGGCAGAATTTTAACTATACTTTTGCGTAGTCTGTTTTCTTCTCTTTACGTTAAAGACATTTCGAGAAAGTTTGATCAACAGAAGTCGGCCTCCCACATACTAGCCACGTCAGCAGGCTTTAGCCCAACATTAGGATCTCAATTTGTTTAGAATGTGTATTAGACCATATAAAAACCCACGGTTGCGGCCAATACTGAAATACGCCAGCAACCTAAATTTGCTTTAAGCCGACGCCGACTTCGAACTTAGTTATTTTCCAGACAATCGCTTTGGGCATACATTTCGGGGGCGTTCCTCAGACCTATCCTGTTATCTGCATCATGCAACACAACAAAGGGATTCGTACCACTCACGTACCATCGGGGAGCTGGTATGCAACGAACAAGACAGTGTGCAAGTGGCCGTTGGGACTTGAGACTCGCACCTTGGGGTTCTTCGGTTTGCAGCTCGAGTGGCGGCTAGTAAATGGCTCTTAGCGAAGGTTATTTGCGAACCAGACAGTCTATTGGATCTGTCGAATGGGCAGTCGCCGGCCAGGAAAAAGCATTCACTAATCCAACAATGCTTTTCCCAAATATGACTCATACAGATGATTGGCAGGATTATCAGGCAATATTCGATATTCTACCAAGTGAAGATAAACTTAGGATCCTAGTTTGTGCCAGTCGATGTTTCAATCTTTCGTCTATGTTAGTACGCCTGCGAGATTTTGCCGTCATCGTTTTGCTGTCAGGAGGGCGACGTAGGATTAGGTTCATTAAGGGGAATTTCAGCCTTTGTGGAGCCAATGGGAGGCATGGCTAAGTAGAACATCGGCGCACACATTCGGTAAGGCCGACAGCTTGACCTCGTGCACGCTGCCTTTTTTCGGCCATGGATATCTTAGTGCGAGATTGATTGATTTTCCAGTTACTTCGGAGTACTGGGGAAGACGAAATGTTACTCCGAAGTGCCTGTGCTCTCAAAGCCTGAAAGGCAGTTTAAAATTCCAGCCTTCTGCTCCGATATTCTGTGTCAGACCGCCGGAGAGCGCGTCTTTGATGCCACGATTCTGTTCTGCCCCTAATGGCTCAGAACCCGCAGTCTAGCGAAGAACTTCAATTTTTGAGCGAGCCGGTCAACGGTTTGTCCACCTTGCCTGCAGGTCTCTAGAGAGGTGAGCAAAGATCTCGTTTCAAAGTCTTGAGTAGAGGTCCCACTGCAACCCAACAACTTCGTGACTCGAGCATTTACTAATGCACTACCAGAGTGTCGCGGCGCTCCAGTCGCCTGGCTCGGACGTGAAATTTTCAAACCGGAGAAAACAGTGCTTCCATTGTTTGGGAGCGTCTGGAGCATTCGGATCGACATTGAATCGTTTCGGCCGGAGAAATCGATCAATTTTTTAATTAAAAGAAAAGTTGCAGTCAAAACAGCCACGAGCACGTGAGTGGAGCGGTACGAGAGAGTTGAGTTGAAAAAAATTGCATGATGGAGTACACTGAAATACGGCTTTATTCATCCTCCAACCGTCGTGTGGGATCTGCAACGAGAACAGCAGCCTGCGATATGAAATTTGATGAAGATAACAAGTTAGCATGACAGTATGCCTTGACGCACACAAGAACTAGAGTGTAATTAATGTGGGTCCCACAACAACTGAATCATTGCCAGATCCCTTTTCAGTTCGCTTGATAATGTTGGTAGATAGGTCACCAGTGACCACTCCGGCTACTTCCACTAGATCGGTGTAAGTCCTCCAATGTTGGCGGCTTATCGTCATAAGACCACCTGCGATGGCCGTATCGATAAGCGACGATGCGGGAACTGAAAGAAGCGGCCCTATTTGCATTTACAAGATCACACGCCCTCTGAATGTGACCGCGCACCCGAGGAGAGCGTGGCCACTGTCGCTCGGCTGGAAATGGGGCCAGGTGGTGTATGCTATACGCAGGTAAGACACATATCCTTAAAACCACAGAAACATGGAGTGGACTAGGAGAAAAAAAAGAGCTAGGAAGGTGTGGGGAGCAGAAGACAGGACGAAAACGATGACAACGCAACCGCAGATGGGCGTGGGCGTTGTCGCTGACACATGCCTGTCGCACACGATCTGGTCGCGGTCTGGTGCGCGCTGGCAGTTCTCTGACACCCGGTTCCCTGCCGGTAGATGGGCTTGCGCTCCCGCTGGGTATAGAGGTCGTGAGCATGGCTTCCCAGCCATTCTCGTCATTCTGAGCCGTTGTAGTGTTGTTGGTTAAAATCCTGGCCACTTGCTGTGTGAACCAGAGGGTGTGGAGTGCCAGCCACCTGCGCCCACCCTCACCTCCACTCTTATTGGCTATGTCTTGACACGGCTTCAGGTAAAAAGGAGGAGGTGCGGTAGATGCTGCGCAAGTCTACACGCTATAAATCAATGCACGTGCAAGTCACTGCGCCTGTTTCACCTTGCTATGGTGGACATATTCGGCAACGACGACCGAACTGCCGGTCCGCACCACATGTTCGACGTATCTACGAGGGCGCCCCAAATCTCACATTAGTAAGCGTTATAAAGGTTACTGTACGAAGGAGCAATCAAAGCCTGACTTGCATTCTTGCGATGACCCGGGTTACTCCGCCAGTTGTAAGCCTCAGCAACGACTCTTAACACGTCTTGGTAGGTTGACCCGATTCAGTTTTTTATAGTTAAAAATGCGCTGATGTGCCGTTAGGATCGATTTCCCAGAGTTGACCTCACTGTTTCATACACCGATCGACTGCCTGAGTCTGTCAACGCAGCTAGTAACGGGATTGGTTGTGGTGGCTGGTGCGTTGTGAAGGCTTACATCTGATGAGGTTTTGATTGACGAAGCCCACATTGTGCTCCACAACAGGGTGATAGCAGGGACGGTGGCTTGCGGGCCAGTTGGATTAAAGTGGTAGTGGACTTGCGCAGCATCTACCGCACTCCCCCCTCCCCCATTTGGTGCCCGGTGTCATGACAGAGGCGCAAGAGGGCGCTGGCAGGTGGCACGGTGAAAACCCGCACCTAGGCAATATTACCACATCCCCGGGTCCACAAAGCACACTTACCAAGATTTATACAATAAGAAAGAAATGGAGGCGGGGATGGAGTGCTTTGGGGTTCCACTGAGTGGGAGTGTCATAGAAGCCACATTAAGGAGGTATTGCCGTTCAACTCTCAATCCATCAATCAGGCACTCCACACAAACACTGGGTTAATTGCGAGATCCGAGTTATCCCGTCATTTGGCAACCCTTCAAACCACGGCTTTTAGCGCAACGTGATATATTTAAGCGTATTAGATCGTTTATAATGAGGAATATATGCTGAGACCGTCGACCTCTCTCTTCCCACTTCCGGGCACCAGTCTGCTGTCCAAGCCGGTCAGTCGTCTGATGCCGGAAGTGGACAGGGTGGCTGACAGTGCTAGAGAGCACGCCACCTGCACAACCTGTCCCCCCCCGGACGCACACATCAGGATTACGCGCACAATGGGCTTGACTGTTCAGATCTCAAACGTAACAGAGGAGCCACGGGGAGAGGGTGTCGAAGACTACCTTTTGTTTACGTGAGAGGTGCCGATGTAGTTCGGTCTACAGTGATTTACTGCATATTTGCGTGGAGGCGCCTAAGACCGACTAATCCCATGCGATTGCTGAATGTGGGAGGACGATGCGAGCAGTTGAGGCGATTGCGTCTGGTGTGTATTGGTGCTCCAGGCACTGGTCTACCGGTCTCTGTACGATAGATCTACAAGTGATCGACCAGGCCGGTGCGTGAGATGAATGTGCGGTGGCAGCGTGGACAGGATAGGATAAGAGTCGGTCGCCATTGCGGTGCTACTAGTGGTGGTCGCGCGGTGGGTGGGCAGTAGGTGGGAGAGTAAGTGGGTGTGCAAGATGTGTCAGTATTGCCGTGAATTCCGCTGTTGTGGACACGCATGTCACATACACGAGGCAAGTGATGCGACTTGCTACAATCTACATGGTGGAACCCCCGTATAGGCACCACCTACCTACATCCCGGTTACACACACGACGGGACAACCTCATGCGCTTTATCCCCCTAGGCCGGGTAACTACTGGAGCGCAAGTACTGCGGTGAGCGTGGCCTTGGGAAACTGCAAATAAATGCTGGCTGTCAGAAGGGAACAGTTTCGAACAGCCACTCATGCGAGGAGACATGCTGCAGAATTAAAAATCCTGCAAAGCTGATCCCCGGCTAGGGCACCCCACAACAGGATTACACGCCACCATTCGATTCCCTGTAATATATTACTAAGTTATGAGTCAACGGTAGTTAGGAAGCAACGACGCCTGGTCCGGAAATTTCGCCATCAAACAGGAGGAACGGATCAAATAGGAAGTTGTCGAATGGGAGTCAGCTTCACCTAACCGATTGGTGCTAGATTAGCACATGCCAGTTAGTCCAGTGCTAGTCGACGAAAGCCTCGTAACATCAACATAGCCGAGTACACCCTTATTAATGAACCAAAAGCTTTTTTAGTAACCTTTTTCGTCCGAAATGCATTTGCACATACCAAAACTCCACTGGAAATGCAATGTGGGCGATAAGTATGACCTTTTCCTCTGATAAATGTGACCGTAATTCTCGAAATGCAGTGAGGCTCCTCATCAACATCCTCTCAACATTTGGACGTAACGCAGAACTGCCTTGATTATATGCATCTTTCGGCAGAGGACTTGCTATTTTATGAGAAGTGGAGGTGGCCAGGAGAGCATTTCGTTCTTCCCGGGCTGCTTTATTTCAGCAATCTATAGCCAAGGCGCGACAGCAACACTGAAATAAAACTGTTCCTTGTTACTTAAATAAAAACAGTAACACTGTACTACTTCACTTGTAGTAACCTCGCGTTTGGCACCACCACGGGCGGGCGCACCCAGGCACCCGCAGGTCGCGATCCCATTTACACCTTTGTACAAGAGCCAGACGACTGCCATGACAGCCGTAGTAATTGGGCCCT